AAAATTTCACTTTGAATTTATTTTTTGATATTTAATTGCAAAACAATTCAGTTGAAATTTCACTCACAAATTTAAAGTTCTTAAAATAATTTTGGCATGAAAACTATCTCGATAAATTCTTTTTAACTTCCTTTGTCACTGAAAGAACTTTTATGAATGCAAGTGCAACAAATATTCGATTCTTAAAGTATAAATTTTCTCAACAATTTTCTCGTGGCGAGAGAAAACTTTCTCGCTTAAATATTTCTCTTGATATTTCTCGATTGTTGTAAAGAGAGTTTACATTTCCATGTTTTACATCTTCTGGGATGTAGCCAATTTTCACTTACGCCGCACGCTACATTTTTCTGGTTTATGGGGTCACACATTTTAAAATTAAAAACATTTTGAACAAAGAGCTTTGAAAAATGTTTACAGATTTCTAAAGAAGAAGTTTTTCCAAATCAATCATAAAAAGCATTAGAACAAAATTGTCATCAAATGTTCTTCAAAATTTCGTCATCTTTTTTTCTATGCGACAGACAATACCGGAAGACATTTTCCTGTCGAATGTTCATTCATCAAGCGAAACGAAAAATGTGTGTAGTACAANGCTACATTTTTCTGGTTTATGGGGTCACACATTTTAAAATTAAAAACATTTTGAACAAAGAGCTATGAAAAATGTTTACAGACTTCTTAAAGTTTCTCCAGATCAATAAAAAGCATTAGATCGAAATTGTCATCAAATGTTCTTCAAAATTTCGTCATCTTTTTTTCTATGCGACAGACAATACCGGAAGACATTTTCCTGTCGAATGTTCATTCATCAAGCGAAACGAAAAATGTGTGTAGTACGAATAATCACAAAAATTCTCTTTTTTTACCACTAACCACTCTTTAGCGATAAAATTAACGATAAAAAAATCCCCTAAACATGGAAATGACAAATTGTTGGCATAAATGAAACAAAAGTATTCGATTGCATCAGAAAATGTAACGCATGGCATTTTTTACACGGTCGTTGATCGCTAAGATGTTTCTAAAATATATGCTGAAACAAAATAAATGAATTGACGAGACACAAAAATGAGAGAAAAAAGAAAGAGAAAGAAAAACTACGAGAGGGATAAGAAGAAGAAAATTTGTAAAATATTTTTTCAAAACAGACGACGCGATATTTTTGCAAAGGGACTTTTTTCAATTTTGCTATTTCAGGCTTTTATCTTAGTTAATTAACTCACAATCACTCATTTTTCAATCAAAATTCTTTTATCAAATTGAAAATCATGTCTTTGCGATAATTATAAAATTTTATCACGATGACGAAGGAAAACTTTTCTCTCTTCGTCATTATCGTGACGTCAGATGATAAACACGTGAATCGTCATTTCATAATAAATGCCGATGAATTTCACTTTTTAAATTCTCTTTGATAAATTTCTTATTTCTCATATCAATGAAATGAAAAAATGAGTAGAACAAGTAATTTTATGATGTAATTACAACCGACACTTGCCATATGTTTGACCGACCCCAGTAAAAATCGATCTAAGAAATTCTGCCGAGTCACCATGAATATTCCTCACACTAATTGATGTACAGGAAATAAAACAAAATAAACATTACCGTCACAATGACAATAAATACTAGAAGTGATAAGTGTTGATGATTTAGTAAATATCTAAATGGTTTTATTTAAATATTAAAGCAGATCAAGGGATTCCAATTATTGACTCGACAAGTTGAATTCAAAATAAAATTGATCAAGTATTTTATATACATACAATGGAAGTGTGCCATAAAATTTTACTTTCCATGCATTTTATCGACTGCAACCATTCAACTGTGAAATAATCTCCGAAGTCTTACAACTTTTTGTTTTGTTATTTCTTTCTTTTTCAGAAAAAGATTCGGCAGGTTTAATTTCTTTGTAGAGTGAATGTATGGATTATCATAATGCAACACAGTTCATTACAAAGAAATAATATTAATGCGGGCTATCACGTGTTACTTAATATCTGTTCTGATCATATGACGTATGTTTATTATTTTAGCAGACAAATATTTAATCATTTCGAATCGATCACTCAAGTTTCAGTCAAAACAGGCATATTTTAGCTGTCAACTGTCTGTTGAATGGAACTGACTAAGATTTAGTCTCCAGACATTAAATTACAGTTATTTTTCTGTCGAGTCGAGCCCACACGCTCTACAAGCACTTTACTCAACGTTTTCTTATGAAAATGATTTCATGTACATATAAACCTCAACTATACATTAAAATAAAACGTCTTTAACAAGTCTCTTGAATCGGATTTTTCTTTTCTTAAACTTCTGTAGTTCAAAAGAACAAAACGAAATCTCAATCGTTTCATCGGAACTTGACCCCAAATGTGGTTTTACGTTTAATTTTAAAGTCACGTGAAGGAGAACGCGGATAAGACAGTGAAAAAGTAAATCAAATAGAATGATGTAATAATTGCAATATTTGCTTTTGGAGAATTACGATAATATTTGATATCAAATATTTTTCTTCTGTTCGAAAATTTGCAAATTTTACAACACGTGGCAGTCAGAACAACTTTCATTGAGAAAAAATTATAAATATCTATGGAATATTAATTACTTTACAGATATTTAAATATCTTGGATAACATTAGCTTTCAAGAAATAAAATTTTGCATTCTGTTCAATTAATTTAAATATTTAATTTATTTTGTTATTAGCGCCTTGTTTAATTTTTCAATCAGTATCAATGATTATTAATTGAAAAGCTACTGCAATGTTACGCTTCGATTATGTTATGAATTTAGGTCAAAACTCACTTCGTTTTCTGTCACTAATTTCTTTATTCCCTAATTAAGCTTAAGTTCAAAGAAAGCAGAAAAATACTGCACTAGTCTTTCACAGTCTAAGAAACAACTGAGAATCTATTTAATATCTTCATGTAGAAGTTAATATATGTTAGCTTTTCTTCTTATTCTGCTCTCTTACTCTCTATGAGTAGAAGTTTTTATTTTCGCACACATGGCGCAGTCGTCGAGCATGATAATTTTTTTGTTCATAGTTTGACCTTAAAACTTTATGCACAATACTCAGAAAATGAATGAAACCAACATTCTTTTTTAGATCCCTTCCATTTTCAATAGTTAAATCTTTTACCTGATCACACTACAATGAAAACATTGTGAATTTTACTAACAGACACTCTTCTTATTTTAAACTTCCTTTTGTTTCGCTCCCAACGTGCTTCTATCGTGAGAGGAAGATTACGACAAAGAAAACATGTTTTTGAGAAAATAAAATGTAAAGAGAATCAATGACGGTTTTTTGACATAAACATTGAGTTTTATGATTGAAATTAGATGATTTACATAATATACATTGAAACTTTATGCAACTGCTTTTATCAGGTTTATTTTAAAGTTAATAATTGCTAATGTGAACAATGATATTTATAATTTATTACTTGTAAATCGTCATTGCTTATGATCGTTTCAAATAAATTTATTTTTTCCTGCTTTATCGACTGGCGTTTACGTCAGAATTTGGAAGCGGTATGAAGACAATAAGATTTTTGTTCGTCTTTAATGATGGTAGAAGAAAATAAATTATTATATTAGGTATTCTCGTTATTTTTATTTAATTTAGAAGAAAAGCTTTAAATCTGTCTTACCTAGTTATAAAAGTCATAAAAGACACCAACGCGAAAAAGCTGTATTGTCGCAAAATATTTGCTCAACTTTATAAAACCTCAATAAACCTCAAATTCTTCGAAATATATTTTTTGCTACAGTTTTAAGTTCACAAACCAAACAAAACAATCTTTGCTTCATAAAATTTATATTTAAATTAAATTATAAGATCAAATAAATATGGATGCAGAAAAATGTTTAGAACATTTTGATCCACATAAAAATCGAGAAGGAACACAATACAAATCGTAATTTAAATTGAGTTAGCGACATAATAATTCAGATGGTCATAAATTTCATATTTCAGAAGTATTCAAACATTTTTTAGCTTCTTATCGAACAATTTCGATTCAATCATTTTCACGATGCCACTTGCATTTAAACATGCGGGACTTCTTTATGGAACTTTAACTCTAATTGTCACTTCAATAGCTTGCACCATAAGCACATCAAAATTACTTTGTTCAAATCACTTTCACTGTCGTAGAAACAAGAAGTTGCAAATGAGTTTCCCAAAGGTCGCTTACAATGCATGTAAAAGTGGTGAGAATATTTTGAAAGTTTTCGCATCGAAAATCGTCTCTAAATAAAATGAATGCAGGTCCAAATTGGATGCATCCCTTCGCAAATTCTTTGATGCTTCTTACAGCTTCGATATTAGGATTGACTTATCTCGGACTTATATCATATGACTTTGTGTTAGCTGCAAAGAGTTTAGAACAATTGATGGAATATTATTTCGGTATCGACTTTGAAATAGAATATTACATGGTGATGATGTCAGTTCCGTGTTTCCTGTTATGCTATCCATCAAATATCAAATACTTATCAATATTAACTAACATTGCTCATGGAATGTTAGCAATTGGATGTTTTATTACTATTTATTACTGCTTCGATGACATGCCACCATTGAAAACTCGTCCAATTCCTATTTCATTTACAGAGATTCGATATTTTTTTGGAATTGCTTTCTTTTCAATGGAAACGATTCGAAATGCTGTACCATTGGAAGCTAAAATGAAGAGTCCTAGAGACATGTGTAAACCATTTGGGGTTCTCAACATTGGAATGTTAACAGTGACACTTTTTTATGGATTTATTGGATTCATTGGATATGCTCGATATGGACAAGAAGTTGAAGCACCGATCACAGTTTTACTACCGATCAAAGAAATTCCATCACAAATCGCTAGAATTCTTTTGATATTAGGAATCATAATATCAAATTCATCGTTGTTCTTTGAAATAAGAAACGTGATGTGGCAAAATTTAAAGAAAAAATCAATGAAATACCCGAAATGTGCTAAAATCGCGACACATAATGTTCTTGTTACTTGTGCTGTTTTAATGGCTGCAGTCATTGTAAGTGTTGGACCGTTTATTGTTTTCCTTGGTGGTCTTTGCTTCTCAATACTCAGTTTAATCGTTCCAAGTATCATTGAAATTGGCACGATTTGGAAAGCAGAAAATAGAAAATGGAAATTATTGATAAACATTGTGATTGGTTCCTTCGGCCTTTTGTGCTTAATCTTAGGAGTTCTGACAATGGTTGATAACACCTTCAATTATTTTGGAATTAATAAGCCAAAAAAGGAAATCTTTGAAATTATTTCTAAAGTTTATTGAAAGTTTTAAAAGAATAAAAAAGTCACAAGTAATAAGCAAGCTGGGGCGCACAAAATGAAGTTTTTCCTTTAATTGGAACATAAATATCATGCAAATGTTTTCAAAATTCGAAACTTATGAAGCTTTTTTGTTCATATAGAGCTTATATGCATATATGCTTGTATAGACTTAAAAGTTACTGACAGATTAACGATGATCAATCTTGTTTGTGAGTTTAACCTTTGACTTTCATTAATTATTAATCAACAAAGAAATGTTTTTATTTCAGAGAAAGTTTTTAACTGCTTTCAATGTAAATATTCAAACACACGCAGGAATTAAAAAAAAACATTTAATGTTCCTCTAACAAAATTTATTAAAAGGTCGTGAACAGGAAATCAAATTATGAGGTTGAATTTAGTTAAACTTTAAAGTAAAACGTAATAATGTTAGAAGACAACTTTCATTAATACTATAAAGCGATGAATTGAGCTTTAAAAAAAAAATAAGAAAAGAACGTTAATTAGACCCTGTTTCAGCATGTTTTGTCAATGGAACTTCTGAAATATTTCTTGAATCTTCAACTGCAGCATTGTGATTACAATCGAGTTTATTGTTAACTTCAGTCTTCTTGAAGTAAGTTTTTCTGTAGAAGTCGTAGAATAAAATAAAAATGAAGAAGTTTTGAGGAAGCATGAAGAAGGAGAACCATTTTGGATATCCACAATCTGGTGCAATGATCAGGGTAAACCAATGAAGAGCCATCAATCCAAACTGTATCTGTATGTCAAATAAACCGGACGTCATATTAAAAGTAAACGAATAAGATTATGAATAAAATTACCATCTGAAGTTGTGTAATGTATTTTTTCCAGAAGCTTTGTTTGTACTTGTTGTCAACAGATGTTAAATAATAATAAAAATACATAATAACATGAACGAAGGAGTTCAAAACACCCATAAATGCAGAATGACCACCGCTAACATATTTAAGGCCAATCCATGCTAACATCACCATTCCAGCGTGATGATAAACGTGAAGAAAGGAAACGTGACTTTGCTTTTTCTTCAGCACAAAAAAGACAGTATCGAAAAGATCAACGACCTTCGTGAGAAAATAGTAATGCGCAACTTTTGTAAGCTGAACGGGGTGATAGTTCAATGAATAATCAACTGGTTCGCAAATCAAACTGTAGCCTTGTCCAAACGTATGATAAAATCCTTTGATTGTGATGTACGAACAAACAGCGACTTGAAGTAAGTTGTAACATTTTATAATGTTATCAAGTTTCATCGGTTTCCTTTTCTCCATATATTTTGGTCCCCAATTAAGTACGAAGTAAAGATATACGGCGAGAAGTGTTACAGGTTTGAATGGATTTGAAAGCAGGAGCATATCACGAACACGAACATCTGCGAAGTTTTAATAAATTAGTTGACAACGTTAAAAAGTTAAAATCCTCCCATCTTACCATCATATACGTTGTTAATTTTATAATAAATGTCAAGAGCGTTTCTTATAATTAGCGCCATTCTTGCAATAATGCTTCTCCCTTTTTAACGTTCCGTCAACGACAACAAATAACTTTAGAATGATTTCTTTGAAATAAAAGAACGAATAATTTTCTATTTTAATTCTTTGTATTTAAATTTGTGACCTCGAGAGTGGAATTCGATTAAATTATTCGCTGGAAAGAGTAAAATTTATTGAAAACGCAAGTATTGACAGTTTTCAACGCAACTATTGTAGAAATTCGTAAAAATAAAAAAAGCATGAATGAATAAGTTTGATGATGAAAGGAAGAAAGTTATTGATTGATGATTTTATTATGTAAGATAAATAAAATATTTAAAAATGAAGTTTTATGAATTCATTTTAGTCATAAGAATAAATTAGAACTTCAAAATTTTAAGTCTCAAGTCCCACTTTACGCAAGATTTTACTAGTTCGTCGTTGAGTAGATTAAGAGGCGCTAATTCCATACGACAATACTTATCTCCCAACTCAAGTCAGTCAGTTCGTCTTCTCATCTTGTGTACTGTGGAAAAAATATTGCTTCTCACACTTCAAACTCCATCAATACACCTCAGTCATCATAGCTATATTGTGCTCGTACATTGATCGTTATGACAAACATTCATTCTACTTATCAAGTGCTTCGAAGAAAAATTTGAAAAAATAAAAAACATCAAATATTGAAATAAAAAGTTCAACCCTTAAATTGAGTATATTTTTTCTTTATTTCTCAGTGATTTGAGATAAGAAACAAAAAATTTGCGCATTATCACAAAGCGAAGTTTTTTTGTGCTATTCGTCAGTCATCGCCTGTGTTAAAGAAAACTTCAAAATTCTTCCCTGAATCATATTTCAATTTGGATATTTATTTTTCTTCGTCCGGTGTAGGCGTGTTTGTCACAAAGTTTTAAATAAAAACAAAAAATTTAGTAAAGTGATTAGAACTACAAAATAAATTAATAAATGAAATAAGTTTAATAAAATAGCCCATAAATGCCGAGTGTAAGCAATCAAGACGATTACAATGTTGCATTTGTCAAAATGAATGGAAATTTATGTTAAATAATTTTTATTATCTGTACATACTTATAGGAAGTTTAAAACAATTAATAAAACATACAAAATTGCAAGTAACAAATATTTTGTCAGTGTGTGAAAGACAAGCATCAACCTGAAATTGACAACAACAATAGGCTTGTGGGGCAATGGTCAGCAGAAGACGCCATCCCCAGGTGCAAGCCCTCCAACATCTCCAACGCCAGCCTCTGAAAAGTCACCGAGCTTTAAATCTCGATTTTTCAATAATTATATGAATCATTCAAACAAAAAAGAATGCAAAGGTAAAAAAAATAGATACAGGAACAAGTTATTGCAAGATTGCTGCTTATCAAATTGTGTTAATTGCTTACTAAGTCACCCATAAGATAATACTTTGTTGAAAAAACAAAATACGTCAATGACGAGTAGAGTAACCACGAAAAAGTGTTTACTTTACTCTCGTATTTTTATAACGGAAATTTTACGCGCCATCATTAAAATTCAAATTTCATTTAGGATTGATGGACAAATGTCGAAACATTTGAGAAACGATTAATCACTGATGAAATAATATCCCTAATGAGCTTAAATGAAGTAATTATAAGGTATCATTCATAAATATGTTATCACGTGAAATGAAAACCGATAAGACTCGAATATTTATTAAAAAGGGCAGACATAAATATGCAAACTCATCATAGGTGAACCTACCCGCTTTGCGAATTCGTGTGAAATTTTGTAAAAATTTTATAGTTCTCCATAAATTCCGATTAAAAAACAAGTAAACTATTGATTAAGAAGCTGAATTGAAAGAAGCATTAGGATCTTATATATGAATTACGTTTATTTAAATCGTTTCTAGCCCAAAAAAGATGTCTACAGGTATATTTAGTGCAAATTTATAATAATTTTCGATCCATCGCTAAAATATTGAGGACATCCCTTGAAAATATGAAGTCTAAGTGACGCTTGTTATTCTGGGACCTAATAAACTATCAAATAAATGTTGAATCTATAATAATGAGTAAAGGGAATTTAGTTTTTGATGATTCCTAAGACGGTGATAACAAAAAGTTCGCTGAAATCAATTTATTGATCCGCGAAAGTGAGAAGTTTTTTGCGTCATTCACTTAGAATCACAAAAATAAACAAAGCTTAGGATATCATAGTTGAAGCTCACGATAATTAAATCACATCATATGATATTCAAATCATTTAATACTTCAAATAGTCACTTTCAGTATTCTCAATTTGGAGCATTATCTTTTTTTCACGCAGCGATAAAATGCTTCAAGGTCACTCAATCACTCATTTTTTTATGTTTACTTAGTATTGTCGTGTAATTCTGACCCTCATCGCTCTAGTATTGCATAAAATGTTTTTCTATCCGGGTTCATTTACTCTTTTTAAAGGATTTTCACTTTTAATTTCACTGTGAATAACTTTAGTGGTTATGTTTACATCTGAACAGATCCAGCTGGATCTAAGTAAATAACTACGTCTTATTGTATTACCTTTTTAATTGTGCTGGTTTTAGGTCATGGCGAAACAAGTTGGTGTTTTTCACAAGTCAAAGGCGCACTAAACGACGATATTACCGATGCTGATGTTATCTCATGTGTGGAATTCAATCATGATGGTGATTTGCTTGCAACCGGTGACAAAGGTGGACGTGTTGTGATTTTTCAGGTAACTTTCATTTAAGAAAAGTCAAAATTGAAATAAATGATTGATTGTTTGACTTTAATTTTTTAGAGAGATCCCAATTCAAAAACATCTAATCCAAGAAGAGGTGAATTCAATGTTTACAGCACGTTTCAGTCTCATGAACCTGAATTCGACTACCTTAAATCACTGGAGATTGAAGAGAAAATCAACAAAATTAGGTGGCTCAAACGTAAAAATCAATCGCACTTCCTGCTTTCAACCAACGATAAAACGATAAAGCTATGGAAAGTGTCGGAGCGAGATAAGTGCGTCGAAGGATACAATACAAAAGAGGAGAATGGACGAATTCGAGAGCCCGCCGTCGTTACCTCGCTTCGTGTGCCATCCATAAAGCCGATGGATCTAATGGTTGAAGCGACACCAAGACGTGTCTTTGCCAATGCTCATACCTATCACATCAACTCAATTTCGGTCAATTCCGATCAGGAGACATACCTTTCGGCCGATGACTTACGAATTAATTTATGGAATTTGGAAATCACCAATCAGTCGTTCAATATCGTTGATATCAAACCATCAAATATGGAAGAGTTGACTGAAGTTATAACAGCAGCTGAGTTTCATCCTCGCGACTGTAATTTATTCGTGTACTCAAGTAGTAAAGGAACGATTAGACTTTGTGACATGAGATCAGCAGCGTTGTGTGATCAACATGCAAAGTTATTTGAAGAGCCTGAGGATAACGAGATGAACAATAAAAGTTTCTTCCGTGAGATCATCAGTTCGATTAGTGATGTTAAGTTGAGCAATTCGGGACGTTACATGATGTCAAGGGATTATTTGAGTATTAAAGTTTGGGATTTGCATATGGAAACAAAGCCGGTTGAGACATATTCGGTGTGTACAAAACAATTTTATTGAGATTTAATGAAAATATTAATTTAATTAATTTCTTTCATAGGTTCATGAGTACTTGCGAACGAAGCTTTGTTCCCTCTATGAAAATGATTGCATTTTTGATAAGTTTGAATGTTGCTGGAATGGATCCGATACGTCAATAATGACCGGCAGTTATAACAACTTCTTCCGTGTCTTTGATCGTAATTCAAAAAAAGATGTCACAATGGAAGCGTCAAAGGACATCATAAAGCCGAAGACGATTCTCAAGCCGCGCAAAGTCTACACGGGGAATAAGCGAAAAAAGGACGAAATTAGTGTTGATTGTCTGGACTTTAATAAGAAAATCCTTCACACTGCTTGGCATCCACTTGAGAACATCCTTGCTGTGGCGGCTACGAATAATTTATTCATATTTCAGGATAAGTTTTAGCTAATCATGCTCCATCTCAGCATCATTTACATTAATTTTTATTTCAAATATGATCCGCTCCCCAGACTCGCGCTTTTTTTTCTTCTCTTCTTTTCATTATTATGTATGAGATTCATTGGACTAAAGTGCAAATGAATAAGTGAATCAGATCGCTGGCGAGTAGATACGTTATCGAATGAATTTGCTTTTTAATTTTACCATCCAGTACATCTCTATATAAAAAAATGCCCTCCCACGCACGAACTTGTCTTTTTAAAACGCTTAAAAAAATTACATTCATCGTGTTTGTTTTTAGTTGATGAGTTCATGTGGAAATAATATTTTTTTCATTTTTAAAAATTCCTAAACTCTTTCTTTTATTAACATCACTCGTTATTTCCTTCAATATGTTTTTATATTCTTTCAAGTTTTCTTTTTTGTGTGCTGAAAAATTTCCATGAATCGCGCAATAATTAGAAAAAAATTTCATTATTCAAAAAGATAAAAAAAGAGAAGAAGAAAACATAAAAACCTGATTAAAGTTAATTAAATGTAATCGAAAACAAAAGGTAAAGAAACACATTCTGGTCGCTTGAAATTTCCCATCATTCCATCAGATGTTAATGACGAGAAGCTTAATTTTCCTTCTTCTTAATGGATAAGGAATTTCCTTAATAATCCTTTGCTTTTTAAGCTCATCAGATCATTATTAAGTCACATTTTCTTATCTGACAAGAAATTTGTTGAAGAAAAATTTGCTGAAACTTTTTCCGCTTAAATATTTAAGAGAAAGAAAAAATTTGCAAATGAAAAAATTTCAACAGAGATAAATTTTCTTTTCTTCAATTAAATTATCAACTTTTTGCTGGGATTTCTGTGATGTTTCGCCATCAATTTTTTTTTCTGTGGGTGATGTTGATGGGGGTGCTTTTTATAAATAATTCAAGGGAAAATTGGAGAAATTGAAACTGAGATGACGAAATCCCTGCTTTGAGTTGCAATTTTTTTTTCTTTTCAAATAAATAATAAATAAAAACTAAATAAATAAAATTTGCTGATTGATTACTACCGACTAAGAAGAACAAAAGAAAATGTGGAGATAAAATCATTTGATAAAAATTTTAGTGTCCATTGAGGGCATGAAAAATGAGCATTTGACACAACATAAAACATTTAAAATTAATGTAAAAAAAAGTTTCTTTGCAAATATTTTGGTTTTTCGGAGTTTGTATAAAAAAATATTTTTTGCTCTAGAGAAAAGATTTGGGAGAAAAGAGTTGTGCATTGCTAGATTTATTTTTTAATAAAATTTGACTCGTGAAAGAGAAAATGCTAGCTTCCCATACTGAACATTTCAACGAAAAGACCAACATGCATGCAGACGAAATAATTTTAACTTGTAATAAGATAATAAGACGAGGAAACGTTAGTGAAGTTTCATCAAACATGGCACTAATAAATTTAAGAAAAAAGAGTAAATTCTTTGTAAAATTAAGTAGCTTAGAATATGGAATTGTGGAGATTAAAGACGATGATTTGTGAGTGCAAATTTACGGTGCCAATTTGATGAGAAAAAAGCTCGTTTCAACTAACGTCGGATGGACTTGCCTGACAAGACTTTTTCACAAAAAAAAATAATAAAGTAATAACAAGCGAGTTAAATTATTATGTAATTATCTAACTGAAGTGATTGATCCTCTTTTTTTTCAAGCAACAAAACCCCTGCGAGTCGCATTTTAATAAACAGATCTTTCGGTTTTTTGCCATAAAAACGCGAAGTGCTAAGAGTTACATGAGAGCAAATGATAAGAGCAAAATTACAACAAGAAAATTATAGAATTATTTACTAAAGAAGAATTGAAGTAATAAAACAAATTCAAACAAAAGATCCGCATAAATCAATTTATTTTTACTTGACTTTCAGTGCGAACTCGAGTGACTTGCACAACACTACAAGAAGGTTTGAAAGTGTTGGTGTTAAACAACATCAACGTAATCCATCAGCATAATCCAATTGAAGAGAGAATTTAGTGCCAACAGCGAAGAAAACTTGTTCAGACGTAGATTTGGTGATTTGTGAAAATGCAGTAAAAAAGCTATCGTGAATAATTTTATTAAAATTTAATGATGAGATTTTTAAGAAATTTAAGTATTCTGTTAAGTTTTAAATGTCTTATTGTAGTGCTAATATTAGGTTTAACAAGTTCAGGTGATTTGAAAGCTTTCTTCGTCGATCATACTTTCTTTCTTCCCATGACGTCATCGATCTGATATTGATCAAGATTAATTTTAAAATAGATAAAATTATTATTCTGAGCCAATGAAAGTTGTTATTAAAACATTTCTATCATTTTCTTTCAATAAGTTCAGAGTTTTTAAGTGAATTTTATACGGAAACTTGCAATAAAAAGTTCAATGCTATTGAAATTGTTTGAAGTTGACTGATCAAGTTTCACTTTCAAATTCTCTTATTTCTCTTATTTGTATATATACATGAATAGTCGACTGCCAGAATGATAAAGAAGACAGAAAGCGTGGTAAATTCATAGGGAGCTTTAGTACATTTGAACATCAAGTTACTGGTGACGTTTATGCGGTTGACGAGACTACATTTCTCTTAGTGAATTTTAACTATGACGGGAACGGCATTGACACATTTTTCTGGTCTGGTGCAAGTAATCGACCAGGTCCACAAGGATTTATTGTTCCGGACGAGTATGGAAAGTAAGGCGTTGTAAATAAATTTTGTTATTCAAGTGAAGTTAATTAATTTTCTTTCAGAACCAACGTTCTGTTGAAATATTTCAACAAAGACTTCACTTTGACCCTTCCTGATAATAAACTAATTACTGAAGTTAAATGGTTAGCAATTTATGATCTTGGATATCAATTAAACTTTGGAGATGTTCACATACCAGAAGAATTCGAACCGCCAGCACCACAAAGAGTTGGAAGTTTCAGCAAATTAAGTCACAATGTCAGCAGTGCAAGTGTTGAAATTTTAGATTCAAAACGAATAAGAATTCCAAACTTTACTTATAATGGTTTGGGTAAAAGAACTTTCTTTTGGGCAGGTGTTGGTGCACAACCAATAAGCAAAGGTTTTAAAATTCCGGACGAACTTGGATAGTAAGTTTAATTACATTAATTATTAAATTGAAAATAAATTAATAATTTCAATTTTAGTTTAGATCCGATTCGAGAGTATAAAGACGAAACCATCACGCTTGAATTACCAGGAGAAGAAACGATTTTTGACATCGATTGGTTAAGCATTTATGATTTAGAAACAAATGTAAACTTTGGTTCGATTCTCATCTCCGATGGTCTCAACGTTCCCCCGTCTTTGACAAAAATCATTTCACATAATTTAGCGCTGCCAAACTGCCGACAATTGCATAAGAATCTGCAAATATCATGGGAAGTTTTCGGACCAGCAATCACAATGCAACTGACAGGTCAAGTCGAACTCGACGATTACATGACATTTGGAATTTCTGGTTCTGATAAGCGATCGCAAATGCATGGAGCTGACGTTGCCGTTACTTACATTGACGGTCATCTCGGTTATGCTGTTGATTACAATATTGATTCACTTGCACCTTGTGTTCAAGTTCTTGGTCAAAACAAAGGAGTTTGTCGTGATGATGTTGTTGGTGGTCAAGATAATTATCAACTTCATACATTCATGCGTGAAAATGGACTCAACAAGATAACATTCAGGCGATCATTAATTTCATGTAAGAAATTCTTTTTAATCATCAAACGTTTTATTATTTTTCTTGTTCTTTATTTATGTAGCTGATCCTATGGACAAAGAATTTCTACTTGATCGAGCGCTTTACGTTGTGTGGGCGTTAGGAAAGTTGGACACAAACAAAGAACCTGCTTTTCATGAAATTTATCCTAAAAAGGATAATTTGATTCACTTCAACACTTCAGAACCGGTTGATGACTGTTTTAGTTTCACTTCGAATGATGAGAAACCGGAAATTGAACTCTGGGAACGAAATAATCTTTTTGATAAGTCGATTAGATCATTTACTGCTACATTGGGGCCATCAGGTGGTAAGAAAGGATATTCTGGAATTACTAATCATGTTTCAAATGGTCTTGCATGGTACATCAATGGATTCTTAGCCCCAGATTTGTATCTTCGTCGTGGTTTAACTTACTCATTTAAAGTTCGTGGTGGAAACAATCCACACTCTCCAGAATTTTATCATCCAATGGTGATAACTGATGAACCTCACGGTGGCTTCGATCGTTTAAGTGACTTGAAACAAAGTGAAATTCGTGTATTAGCTGGTGTTGAATATTCACGTCGTGGACGACCCAAACCAACTGCAGCTGGTCCGCTTTGCATCTCCAAATATCCACCAAATCAAGATCGACGTTTAGATGATAATTTTCCAACATTCAGAAAGTTTAATCGAAGTCTCATATCAGATTGCGGTGGAACTGAAAGCGCAATACTTGAAATAACTCCAAATTCATCATGGCCTGACACTGTCTATTACAATAGCTTTACTCAACGAAACATGGGCTGGAAAATTCACATTGTTGACAATTATGTAAAAGCGAGCTTTAATAATGGTTCAATTTTATTGACTAAATCTTCAACTATTATCTTCACAATCTTCACAATTTTCATAATACTCAATAATCATTTGCTCTAATAGAAATAGAAAATCAAACAGACAGACAGATAGAGAGAGAGTGATAATATACATAGAGAGTGTGGGATAAGATAATGGACTGTTTCGTTCGTGATAATATTGAGTCAGCTTTACAACATTAGCTTCGTAATAAAAAAAATGGTGGATTAAATTTAATTAAAAATATTATAATAAAATGAAATGAACATGCTTCGTCAACTAATTTCATCAGTACGAATTGTGATTTAATTATTATTCATGGTCTTGAACAAATGTTTCCAGTGTTTTTGGTATGAGATTTCGATATGGTATGCGATACTTTACAACACAAGTTGCAGCTAAACATTTGAGTGTCAAGTAATTCATAATTGGGATGTTGTTGAGTGGATTTGAGATAAACATTGTTAGTGGACGATCACCGGTACGATTTGGATAATCCATTTCAGCGCCAACTTTTAATAAAGTTTCGATGAGCTTAACAAAGATATTTGCAGATTAAAATTATTTTCATAATTTCAAAAGTTGATCAAACTCACCTCAAAGTTATAATTATAGGGAATTGAAGCAATGAAAAGTGGCGTTGATCGACATTCATTTCTTGCATTAACATTCGCATTGCAATTGAGAAGAAGTTTAACAACATCAATGTTGGGAAAAACAGATTTTGCTGTCATGTTGTGATCAGCAAAGTATCCATGCTTAACATAATTCAGACGAGACACACACATATGCAACAATGTATCTTGATTAGATGTTCTTATATCGCTCTTCATAATTTTATAAACTCCTTTATGAATCAACATAAGTTTCTCTTCACATTTTCCAGCTGTTGCCAACATTAAATAAATAAGATGCGTAATGCATTTAAGCATTTTGTCAAAGTTATCTTGTTGTTTCTTATAAACAGGTCGAATTGATAAAAGTCTTTTTGCTTCTGTAATGTCGTCAGTTAAAAGACGAAACACTTTATAAATTTCTTCAAAAGATGGCAAGTCTGGTTGTCCTTGAACTTCAAATGGAATAAATTCTGAATCTTTTAAATTCAAATTCAACATGAGACGAACAATCGCTTGGGTCACAAAAACTGTATCTGAGTGAAGCAAAGTGTTCTTCTCAACACGAATCTCTAAAGAAAGAATCCAAAGTTTCAAGCAACCATCATATCGCATTGAATCAGCAAAGAATGCTCCACGATAAAGCAATCGAAAGAGAAAATCTTTATGTTGTAATCCCAAAATTCTTTCACTGATAATCAGACTTTGTATGCGCATATCATCAAGATCCATGGCAATTGAATTTAACTCATCAACTGTCGTGAATTCAACGATATTATTAAATACTTCTCTCGGTGATAGAATATTTTTCGGAACGTTTTCTCGAGTTCGAATCTCTAAAGCTTGTCGCCAATAAACTATTGCTTGACTTTCGTTCGGTAAATGCTGTTCACCAGTTAAAATTGTGCTTCCTAATAGTTCTAAAGCGTTGGCAATACGATCAGGTGAGTAATAAATCTTTGATCGTAAATATTCAAAAATCTCATTTGCGCCCCTAAGACATGCAGTCTGAAGTGCATCATCACCATATCTTGACTTTGTAAATGGATTTGCTCCATGCTCAATAAGAAGTTGAGTTGTTTCTAATCGATGCTCTTGAATTGCATAATGAAGAGCTGTTTTGTTCTGAATATCTCTGGCATTAACATCAGCACCTTTGCTAATAAGAAAATTGCATAATTCTATGCTTTGAACAGAATTAATTAAACAAGTTCCGCCATTGAAGTTCGGCAGTTTGAAATTTGCGCCAGCCTCGACGAGAAACTCAACTACAAGGAAGAAAAGAGTGAAACAATATTGAAATAAAATGTAAGTAAACAAGGTCGTCTCAATGGAAAAGAAAATAAAACAAGTTGTTGATAACAAAGTCAGACTTGACCTGCATACTCACCAACTTCCACGTTCGTCATGAAGCAAGCGGATCTTACAGCTGTTGAACCAGAGTCGGAAATTGAGTTCATATTTGCGCCTAATCTCACAAGAAGCTTGACTACAGGTAATTTATTGGCTACAGCTGCAACCCAAAGTGGTGTACTGTAGTGAAAAGTTTTCTCTTCATGGACTTCGAAGATATTTCTCTGCTCCATGTCGGCATCACAATTTGTTACTAGGTATTCCACAGCTTCACAATTACCGAGTTTAGCAGCATAAAACAAGGGACAACCGCCTTCTCTTTCTTTTTTCATCAAGTCACGTCTGGCATCTCGAGAATAACTAAAATTTTATCACGAAACTTTAATTCTTTCCATATTTTCACTTTCGTTGATTTATCTTTAATAATTCATAATCTATTTTTGACTTCAAACTTTTGAGCTTTAATAAATTCATGACTTTTATTGATTTTTTACAAACCTTTCGATTAGCGATTTGAGTTGAGATGATGGAAAACTATTTTGACTATTTTTGATCTCTTGATACAATAAATTAAGTACTTCTGTTTCCTTTGGCAGATGAGTAGCACATCTATGATTGAAAAAAGGTTTCATTTGATATATTTTGAGCAGATAAATGAGGATATTTTAAGGAAAACTATGGAGAATTATTTATTTGTTATTGTTTCTTTCTGGCTTTCTTTGAATTTTTTTAGCTTTTCTATTTGCATATGAAAGAAGCTTATTGATGTCAGACTGTCAATGATTGTCATAACAGACGTTTACTTGTAATTTAAACATTCAATACCCGTTAACTTTTGAAACAAACTTTTTGTGTAATGAAAGAAGTTAAATTTAACTATAACTACGAAAAACATCTTAAAAGCTTCAACTTTTCTGAAATAAAACTACATCGTGGAAATCTCAAACATCACATAAAAATTAATAAGAAAACTCTTTATTGAAAGCTCACATAAATTTTATTGAATATTTTGTATAAAATTTCAATAAATTTTACAATATTCTTAATTTCAATTTCTTAAAAAAGAGTTGTAAAAAGCATTGAAGGCCGTTATTTCCATTGAGCCTTTATCCTAAACAATATCTGCGGATTTTTCCTTCTTGTTATTCTCAGAATTGTGTTAAATTTATATTATTCGATATTTGTTATTAATAATCATAAGATGAAATATTTGCTAATTTTTCTTTTTCATTATCAGATTAGAACTATACATAAACAAATTCATTTTTAACATAAAATTGATTATGATTTATGTATGTCAGTTTAGTATAAAATTGAAAACCTCCGAGGCCCAATTTTTCAATTATTGGACAATTAATAATTCAGGTTAATAATATTACGGTTATTTGTTAATATTTTATGTAGAATCTTATGAATTTCTAATTAAGAAATAAATGTTTATACTTAAACAGTTCTGTATTTAAAGTTCCATTAACTTCATGAGGATTTAATGAAGTAAATGGAAGGTGTCGATTATATTCATATCAATATTAAATATTTTCTTTTCTTTAATCTTCCTTAAAAAAATCACATAAAAAATCGCTAATGGGCAGTTCCTTGGGCAGTTCTATGTTGCAGCACAATAACGACAAAGTTAAACTTCTTTGGCAAAATGATTGTTGATGTATGTTATCAAGTTCCATTTATTAATTATTGCATTTCAGCAGCAGCAGTTGGATTGGAGTTTGTGCTCAATCGTGTTGATGAATTTCTTATTGGCACAGGTGGACCTCGTGTTGACCGCCTTTGAGGGCTGAGTGGAAGAATTTGTTTTGGAATTGCACTTACATCGCGCATCACGACATTATTATTCTGCTGGTGAACTGTGGTGCCATTTACTTTATTGCCATCCCAGTTCTCATATAGATTGTCACCATAATGTTCTAGGACCCAATTGGATGTGGACGTTTCACGATAATAATTAGATTCGTACGTTGGCTCGGGATCTCTAAATCCCAAAACCTCTCCAGGACTCATTTGTAGATTCATCTTACATTTTTGAGCTACGCCCAATTTCTTATTCACTACACGTTGCAAGTCTTTCCAGAAATCTTGCGGCGGATTACAAGCTGAATCACAAAGGCGCTTTGGTGATGTGCACGAGAGAAAAGTGCTTCTATCACGAAGTGGTGGCAATGGCGGTGCTTTCTCTTGTCGCGGTGAAACAATAATTTTTTCAACTTTTTCATCGAAGCAAACTTTCTTACGTAACACAACTGGCGGTGAAGAGTCAGCAAATGTGACAGATTTTTGAGGAACTGGTGGTGGTTGGCTATACTTGTTTTTTACCGGTGGTGGTGATTTATAAGGAGGTGGCTTTAAAATAGTCTTGTAAATTGGTTCCGATTCGACATTTCCGTTCGTCGTCGGCATTGTATAATTAATATTTTTGACAGCTTTAGATTCATCATTAAATTTGATTGTTGTCTGTGATTCTACTAATGAATGATCAGTCATAGTCAATTCTTTGAGAACACTTTCGTCGGGTGGATCCGGGAATGGTAAAGAGTTTAATGAAAGTGTCGAAGCTGACATAACACAAGTGCTTGGCTCGGGAGGTGGGGGAAGTGACAACATTGAATCTGTCATACAATTACTCATGAGATTAGTGGAATCAACGGCGTCGATTGTTGGAGATTTAATAAATGATTCTTCCGGCGTCACTGGAGAATTTGCTGACTTCATGCTGTCAATGGAGGTTCTCTGTGAGCCTTGTCGTTTCAACGTACCATTACTGCTGCTACTATGACTACGACGACGCGTGAGTGTTCCACCCTTTTCTAAAGAATCATTATCGTTTCGTGTCGAACTATCTTCAACTTCTTTAATCAGTTGTCGTGTCTTTGTCGTTAATGGAAGATTTGGTTTAATAGTTGGCTTCCGTTTTATTGTACCCGTTGTGAATTCCGACTCGAAACCGTTGTTGTCATCTGATAAACATCCGCTAGAACTTGAACTAGTACTTGCGCGTGATAAACGGCCATTTGAATTGGAACTATTAACGCTAATCTTATCCGCATTCATTTGTGTTGTGATGGGCGTGAATGATAAGCGAGTTGAAGCGATTTTATCCAAATCTTCTCGAGCTAAGTCCTCCACAAGGTTTTTGAAATTATCCACGAGTTTCTTTCCATACTTTGCAATCCGACAACACATGATCCACTTTTGTAATGATTCCGAGTCTTCAGCACATAACATTTTCATTCCCTTTCCAGTAATGTTGACTTTTGGACATTTCAGAGCGAAACTGTGATCTGTCGGCGCTTTGTATTTCTTTTTCCATCCAACGCCTTTATAAACGTTGTGCGAATTGAAAAGCGCTAAACACATGAGATCTTTGGAAGATTTCACCTTCTCTTTCTCTTTCGGATAATAATAAAGACCCGATTGACGTAGCACGAAGTGATAACGTTTCCATCCTTTCTTTGATTCACTTTTCAAATAAAGTGGACCCTCCAGTGAGATTGGGTTGTTGTTGGCAAAAAATTCTTCAAGCAATAAATTTCTGAAAGGAGAAAAGGAAATGTTGAAGTACATTCATTAAAGAAGATTCCTTGAACTCACCTCGAGTCTTCATCATGCTGAGTGCCGGGGGCCATTTCAAATGATGGAAGATATTTTTCGGGTGTCATAAATAGAGCGACTCTGTCGGGTCTTTTAAGGAATAATACTCGATTCTTTGAATCATTACTCCAAGTGAGAAGATTCTCAACTAACAATTCATGATCTTCATAAAGTCGTTCAATATAAAGTTCAGGGAGATATTCAATAAGTCCCCAAGAGACCTCCATGTTGACATGATTTTTGTCTGCGAATACACAAAAACAGATTTCAGTGAATGAATAAAGAAAAAGAATTACCGATGAGTCAGTGTTTTCGACATGTCTTACCTGCTAATAATTTCGTAACAAAACCGCAATTCATTCGTTCATCGACTAACAATGATTTCGATGACCCGTCGTCAGAAAATGCTTTGACAAAAAGTCGTCTCACTGAAGCGTGTTCAAGCTTCTGTAATGCGAGTTGAATTTTTGTAGATTTTGCATCCTGAAAGCAAAAAGATTATGTAAGAAAAAATATAAAATGAATAAAATTTGTAATCTTACTTGTACAACATTGTTTTGTGGAGGAATTTTGTTGATGTTATTTAAAGAACTCAGTCCGCTTGACGCTGATGACTCGCTTGATAACAATGAAACTGTATCACTGAATGCCGAATCATTATCAGGACTTTCAGTTCTCGACGATTCTCTTACATCACTTGCTGTGACAGTGCTTGAAATTGTCGAGTTTGCACCCGAAACTATAGAACTTGAACGACTGTGAGTTTGTGTTCGACCTTGTCGCAAGTCACCTTTCTGCTCCAACAAACTCAGTTCAGTTAAGATTGAGTCGAGTTCTGACTCTTGAGTTTCTTCTAAATTCGCCATTGAGAATCTGTAGGAATTTGTTCTTTCACTTTTTGGCACAGAAAGCTGCTCTTTAGGTCGAAGTTTTACTGGTGATTGTTGGTATGTTTCTAATCCCTGCAAAAAACACAATAAAAAATCTTTTTTTAGCCTTCACAATTTAAATTATTAGGACAAATTTAATTACATTAATTAATCAAATTTTTTTGGAATAAAAAATGAATCACATAATAAAAACAGAACTAAGAAATGAACTAAACATCTCATCAATTGAACAGAAATTTCTCGAGTGGAGTTAAGCAGCAAGAAGTTTATGCAGTTGTAAATCTTTCCAGTGCACATGCGCTCTGTACACAGCAGAATGAGCATTGCATTATTTGCCTATTAAACAGATGGAAAACAACATGAACTTTCCGTTTACTTCGTTTAAACATGAAATCTGTTTTAAAAGGAGTTTTACGAATCTGTTTGAAGTTGATGAGGGTTGATGGGGAAATGTTAACACAATCTAAGGTCATTAATGCATCTTAAAGTTTTCTTAATTTCTTTATCGCTTTTGAATTTGAAGCAACTTCATTAAAATCTTCTCTTTTTCCATTCTTTCAAACTGTGGTTTTTTGTTAGAAAAAAAAGAAAGAAAATAGAAACTTGGTTCCTTTTTTATGGATAACAAGAACTTGAAACGTGTGAAATTTAAGGATTCTTGATTTTCTTCAAGGATGTCGATGGGAAGGATAAGGATAACACCGAATAACAAGAAATATTTATTTTAATGACCCTCAGTTCCTCGTCAGGTATTCGTTTTGACTATTTAATGAGTTCCTTCAACATACTTCATGAAATATTATTCACATTCATAATTGTGTGATATGAACTTGCTCAGCATAATAATCATCATAAAATTTCAGTTTAACGGTTCGCAATGGAAATTTCTTATCTTGTTTCACTCTTTCTCGTGATGATAACGTAGAGACATCAAAAACTTCCTGTTTATGCAAAGTAGCAATTCGAGATGAAATTTCATGAATGAGAATGATTGCGATGTAAATGTTATCACTTTAGAAAGACATAAAATTATTAAAATGACCCTTGAATCCCTCAACATTTTGGAATGTCAAGTTTCAGATAGAAGCAGAGGAAAAAAAAAGATTGTTGAACTAGACGCTGTCATTGCCTTCGCTCACATGTCCCAGCTGCTTCAAATTCGAAGTGTAACTCGATACTTTTCAATACGTCAGTAAAAAAAACCGAACTGAAAACGCAAACAAAATTTGAATCCAGTTCTTATCCACAAAACAAACTGAAGTTCTGCAAATAAATAAATTTATTTGTATTTCTACAGCAAATAAACTTCCTACAGACAACGATTATCATTGTTTTCGAAACACTTTCCTCAGAACTTTTTAGTATCGCGAATTGAGATTAATTGAGCAAAACGTTGCGCCTTAGCATTTATGTGGGAACGATCATAATTTTAAACTTTATTTCGACACTTTTAAGAAACTAGAGCAATTTATATAAATAACTTGTTCAGTGATTAAATTGACATTGGTAAAGTTCTTACTGATTTCATTTTGTTTCAAACAAAATATGATTCTCACTTCCTTTATGTTTATAAGAAGTTTGATTCTTTAAGTTAAAAACTACATCGACTATTCATGTCAAACTTATTTCCTCAACTAACAGACGAGAAGACAATTTTGCAGTTGTCGCAGTTTGAGACAATATTTTCCTAAGAATCGAGTACGACAGAGGAACTGGCGAAGATCACATGTTTAGCAAACATCATCAAGAAGAAAAAACTGTCTTAACAAAAATAAAAATTATAATTCATGACATCAAACAGCAAATAATAAATTTGTCGCTGAGTTGGCAAAGGCCAATACTTTTCACAACATAATGTTTGATAAAAATCGTTTATGAAGGCAGTTTAGCGACAACAAAACTTAATCTGAATACCAGATGTTGGTGAACAAAAGAAGGAACAGAAATAATATTCACGAGTTAGATTGAATAGAAGAAGAAAAAGTATCTTAGAGTCGACGATCTATGATTAGTCATCAATAGTCAATACTTTACAGAAATGGGTTAACTGAAGAAAGAAAACAAAAATCTATACAAAGCCTCTCACTCACTTCATTTGAATATGTTGAAATTGAATCGAAATCGGACCAAGTCGGACTATAATCCATCATTAGATGAAGCTTGATGTAAATTCACAATTTCACTCACTCAAGTCCATTCAATTTGATCAATTTAATTCATTAACTCCACTCCCGATATCTTTACAACTTGTAAGAAAACTTATTTGGTTGATCTTTCCGAGGTCAAATTCTTCCCATTCCTCCGGCCCTTTTCGGAATAATTTCTTTCAATTCTTTGGAACGTTCAAACACTCATAAATAACAATTTTTACGACGTAAGTTTATAAATATACACTTTAGTGATTACTTATTTGATGCGACAAAGGTCCCGACAACAACAACGAGAGCGAAAGCGTTTGTTTTCACAAGTTCTGTCTTGACATTTATGTTTCCCCAAAACTAAGTAGATATATGCGACGATATTCTCCAGCGAAACAACCAAACTTCTAAATTAATGTTTCACATACACAATTTAACCAGTTGCAGTGGCGGAGTTGAGAACTTTTTCCATTCAAGGCACTCGCATTAATATTTTTCTCATTAAACTTTTTTTGTCTTATTCTTATTTTTTTTGGTTTTAAATTATTATTTTTATGTGATCGTCTGCATAAAACGTACAGGGAAAGACTAACAAGCGGAGAGCGACTAAGCGAACTGATCCTATAATGTTAACGTCCAGAATAATACTGACGAAGCATAGATTGAACTTGTTTAATTCTTTACAGACAACACACTGCGGTTAACATGTAGTAGTCGTTCATGTGCATACATATATCTATGTATGCTTGATATTTTAGAATATTTTATACACAATCACAAAAAAAAAGGAATTATTATAACAAGAAGCACAAGCAACCTTCACACATCCAGATCGTTTATGCAGAACAAATAAATATTATTATGCGTACACTGAGATACTCTCCAGTATTTAAGATGGTGTGAAAAATTATTTTTAATCGTCATCGTGCTGAGAAGCATGAGATTGTTTGTGCAACATTTTTTCTGTACTCTGTTTTGGGTTATTTTTAGTCAATAAAATAAACGGGAAAGAGGGTGAAAGGAAATTTCGTGAATACTTTTATAAGCAAGTATCTGGAAATGCTTTTAACATTGGAATCATAATGAAGTTCTGATGACGACTGTTTGACAATCTTGGCGACAAAAAATATTTCGTAAAGATTTAAGATAAGGTCAAACAATCAAGAAATTTTTAAGACTACTTAAAATTTCCTGTCGCTTTTTAAATTCGTCAGTCAACTTTTAATCCTTAAAATAAACAATTTCTCTTAATGTGATTAAAAATATTTGAAAATTGTTTGCGGAAAAAAAATCAGAACTTTGTTGCGATCTTGGCAACCGGCGAAATATTACGAATCATTTCTCGAGCAGACGCCGCATTTTCCACGAATTTCCCATTCATCATCGTTCAGTTATTTCAAAAGTAAGAAAATAATATTATTTCAAATTTTCTTATTCTGAAGATGAATCTGAGAAAAAGTGTTTTCCGACTTATGAGTCATCGTTGTCGTTCTCATACATTAAATATTTCTGCTGTTGTTTTTCTCTTTTGGTTTTCCCCCGATATTCGATGGATACGAAATGAAAATCTCTTTGATTGAAGCAGACACGAATTTTAGGGGGGAGGATGATGATTTATTATTCGTATTGTCAAGCGCTAGACATTTGTAATCGTTAGTAGGTCGCAAGCATCAAGGATGTACTTCCCTCCTTGCCTTTTAAATGAATTCCGTAGGGACTTATTTCCACTCGACTGAATTTTCTCCTTTAAGAAGGAAAAAGTATGACTCACGCGGCATGCAATACACAACAACCGTTCTCAAAATTTTTCATATCGTTGGAAGTCATCGGAGTCGTTCGCGTGTATCTATTTTGTGGGCATTTTTATTCTGCATTGTGGGCTTTATTCAAACACGCTTTCTCCCTTCTTCTTCTTTCTATGTTTCAATCGAGACACGGAATGTTTTTTTGTAGTAGTGTTACGCACACGCACACATTACTTCAACTTTAAAATATAAACATTTGTATAGATGTATGCAGATAAATGATGATGTGTGCGACATAAAACATTTTTTCTTCCTATTTATTCTAACTTCACAACATTATGCAACGCTTTGCTTCGTTATTGAATCTATCTATTTGGAGTCGTTATTATTGTCTTTTCAACATCATTCAATGACTTATTGGAAACGTGATTCTAGAATGATTTAATGTTCATGAAGTCGTCGTTGTCGGCTTTTTCATCTCCCACGCGAAACATAATTTAACGATCCACAGTGTTCGTTGAACAAAAACATAAAAATCTGATTGTTGCGTTGGGTATCCATTGGATTTATTCCAAAATCTACAAAACAGAATATCCAAGCGGTTCAGAATGAATGAAAGAAAAGAAAAATTTGCCAAAAGGCCCTCGAATTCTTTATGCTCGCTTCTAAATACCTCATGATTGTTAAAGCGAAGAATTTTTTTTAGAAGAAAAATTTTTTGATGTTGTTGTTGACGATAAAAGACAACAAAGCATTCGAATAAAATTAATTCTTTTTTTTCTTCTACTGTTCGTCTTTTTTCTTATTTTTGGAAAAAGGTTTCAAATAAAATATGGTTTTGTTAAACTTCTAATACCTTTCTTTTAATTTCATTTATCTTACTATTTGAAATGACTTTTTAATAAATTGTGTGACGTAATATTTCAACATTTCCCCAATTCTCTTTAAGGTCTTTTAACAAGAAATATTTCGTTATCAATGTTTCAATCTCTTATAAACTTTTCGATCTTTTCTGTTCATCTTTTTGTTGATATTATTAGAGGATCATTTATTATATTAAACGAACAATGATGTAGCTCAAGCGTCGTCGGCATTTGATGATAAAATATTGCTTTGGAGAATGGAATGGCGTTAAAGTGCAGTCTATATAAATAACAGCAATAATGTAGAGTTAAGTTGCATTATGGCGACAACGAGATAACTTTGGAATTGATATAATTTTTCATATGAATGATCTTTATGTCTATGAACTTTCAAGCATCATTGAATCGAAACAAATAGAATAGAAAGTATTCTCATCATTGTTTAAATGTAAATGAAGTTTCTTTTATTATTATTGATGATAAAATTTTAAACTTCAATGTTCACAGTAAACCATATGGTGCGAATCTCATGCGTCTGTCGTTACCTCGAGCAAAGTTTCTCCTAAATACATTTGATAATCATTTGTGTAATCAAAAAGCCCTAAAATTATCCAAGTTTCATCCATTAATTTCCACTTTCCTACCCCCACAATCTTCTTGTTAAAATTCATATATGAAAATGTCAGGATTCGTAACATAATTGAACGATTAATCTTTTGATAAAACATAAATGAGAGAAGCTTCTATTGTTGAAATCAAACCAAACAAATTTGATGTTGGTGCACAACAATGAACCCATTATATGAAAATGAGACTTAAATTGACTACACTCAGCCGTGTCTCCAGCAATTGAATCAGATTTGAGAGAAAAAGGATTCAACTAGACATGAAACTTTATTACGGTTGCTTGGGACTTTCGTGTTCTCGTCGACACATTTTAATGTAGCGTTACAAATTAACATATTTAAGTAAAAACTCCTTGTCAACCTCAACTGTCGTTTCATGATTTTAATCACTTCTCAGGAAGCTAGCTGATGTTTTGAATGACAAATCAAAAATGTAAATTGAAATTAACAACTGACGCCCTCGTGATATTCATGCATGATAACTAAACTCGTAAGCTAAGATTCTACATTCACCATCAAGTCATGTCTGAAGAAAAGTTTATCAATTTTCAAATTCACTGAACTAATTATACGCAGTTGGGAATCTTTTCAATCAGTTGAACAACAGATGGAGTTCTGTGTCGTTGGTTTGTTGATGATACGCGCATTAGGAAACGATGCTGAATTTATATCCCCCCTGAGAGCCTCGACATCATTGCTGTTGATTGTTTTGTGTTTTCGTTTATACAAGTGAAATAAATTTTTATGGTGATAAATTTTCTTAAAGCAGATAGAAGATTAAAGTTTTGATTTAAGGAACAAATCGTAAGAAGGAAGAATTTTAAAGTTGAACTCATTTCATTTAATAACCAGTATTTAGTTTTCCCCCATTCACCATTGCCACCATAAAAAACTTGAGTTATTGTTTAGCAATTTCCTCGCCAATTTTTCAATTACGAAACAATTTTCCAATTCTACTAAAAGAACAAAAAGAAAAATTTTTATGTGGGGTAGGAGAAAGCCAAATATTTAAAGGGATCCTTTTAGATAGAAATTTTCCAATCATTTTCCATCATTCTTTGTTATATTTTCCCTCATTATTTGAAAATCGGTGGAGATGTGGTGGAAGGGGCCGACAAATGAGCCATTATCACAACTTAAAGGTTTTCTTTTCACAAAATCGAAACATTTGTCAGCATTTAAATTCTAAACGATTCCAATTTTATCCAACATCTTCAAGTAAAGTCTTCACTTAAATGTTTTCACGCCGCTCAGAATCGATAAAATGAAGTCATGGCTGGCAAAAAGGCATTAAAATGATTCATGAGAAAATCAGAGATCATTTTAAGTTCTCTTGTTTCAGCTGAGAAGAAAACTGTGCCATTCAGCGCCAATGCAGTGACGAGACGACGTGAAATGATATTCTCCGAGCACGATTGTAATTCTACATGAATCACATAATTTATTGCGCCATGAAAATCGTTCAATTCGTTATCATTTACACTCAGCCATATGCTTTGCTTTGTACATCGAAGCAAACAACTTCGAAGCGTCGGAGTCGCCGATAAATTAATGGTATCGATGAATAATTGAAGAGCTCAATGGAAAATGCATATTGATCAGTTTGTGTGTGTATGTGTGCATTTATCACTATAATCTTTATAAATAGGAACGCAGTCAGTCACGATGTCACTTAAAAGGGTTCATCTAGTCCATCAAATGAAATAAAATGAACAGGAAGCATGTCAAATCATTCTAAACCGCTTTTTCTTGCTCTCTTAACCTACATGAAACTTACACTCATTCGATTAAATATTTAAAAGAATTTACGGTCGTGCACGGAGTTCTTTCTATGGTTTTGGGGAAGAAATAAAATGAAATATAGATGCTGGTTTCATTTTTGTTATATATTTTATTTTGAAAAAAAAAGAAAACATCAAATCATGATCTCTTATGAGGCACGAGAGGGGAGACATGTGCTCATCTTGAATTGCTTGCTGTCTTGTTTACCTAACATGAGAACAGCTGCAAAATGAACATTAATTTTTGTAAACTTTTTTTCGATCACTTTCTTCTCGTGTTATTGAATATGGTGGAACGTGAAAGAAGCGCGTGGAAGACAGAATAAGATAAGCTTAGTTAATAAAATATCTTGACACTCTTGAGGCTTGTTGCGATAACTTCAATGACGAAATCAACTTAAAGGAATCTGTTTTTTCTTTTAACTACTTTGATCCTTCTTTCCCCTCCTTCTCTTTTGTCCAAAAACCGATGAAACTCGAAACAATCGTTTAATAATGGAAAAGAAAAGATTGCAAAGCAGAAGCAAGTCGTTAAACGAGAAAAGTTTTTATGATTTTCTTCCTTTAATGCTTTTCTCTTTACACTCTTCTTCATCTGAGTGGTTTCATAAAAAACATCACGATGATTGTAAAACTGATGCACGTGCTTTAAACTCGGAAGTTTCAATTTTCTACCGGCACTGAATGGTAAATGGAAGCGTCTAGAAATTTAATAAAGGCATGTCGTAGATTTATTTAACTCATGTTGATTCCCCTCTCATTCTCAAGAGGAAATGTCGAATGAACATCAAGAACGTCAAGTGTTAGTTTTGGTTATAATTAATGATCAATAAAATTAATCACGGAGTTTAGAAAAGGGAATGAAATCGGGAGACTTACTAGTGTAATTGGGTCAAATCTAACAACATGCCTTCATCTCCCTTATCAACGATCTTATATCACAAGTAAGAAGGGATTTAAGATTTAATGTGATGAGAAATATAATGAAAATACCATCAAAATTCATCTCGTTACTTTAACGAAAATTTTCTTTTTAGGATCAACTCAAACGATGGAATGTCGATGGAAACTTTTGATGAATAAATTTCTGCATGAAGAATTTCATCCATCAAGCTTTCGAATTGGACAACGACGAGTAATTCAATCAGAAAAAATCTCCAACCGATCATTAAATCTTTTCATCAGACTATTCAGAGAAAAAAGAGAGAAGAGACTTTCATTATGAAAAAATCGATATTTGCGTCCATTGCACGATAATTAAATTCACTTTTTTCACTTAAAGCGTAGCATGAATTGGGAAAAGCAGTGCTGAAGGTAAAATTGTGGTTAAATTGATGGGTTTTGGCATATTACGTGAAGGATGTGTGGATATTGCGATGACACTTTGATGGTCAATTTAATGCTTTCCCATTTCATGATCTGAATCGCTTCAGGTGAAGAACTCATTCACAATCACAGCAATATCCTGTTTATATATAAAGAAAAGTTTTAATTTACGTGACTTGGAATGATGTCCATCGTCTCGTCAAAGAAGCAACTCGGCTTAACGGTCGAAACGTGACCAAGCGATTCCATTCTTTCTTTTTTTTGCGATAGACGTTCATTCTTTCACTAATTGGACATTGCTGGTTGAGACTATCAATGTTATAATAACAGGACGAACATCTGCTGACGTAACTAAGCAAATTACATTAAAACCAACTAAGTAGCGACATTGTGCGAACGGCAAATGTCATTATAAAATGCTTTTGATTTCCGTCCAGCTTTGTCATCTTAAATGGCCACTTATCAAGGGCGATTCTAAATAGTGCGACGAAAAATTGAATTCGAAAGCATTCTTGATTGAAGAGAAAAGAAAATTATATGTTTCAACAAGAATCAAATATAACTGATTTCGAAATCCTATATAAAAGGTTCAAGTCTGTTTAGAGCAGATGGTTAACAATTTATTCTGCTAAATATGAGATTCAAATAAAGATTTTATAATTTTATTTCTCTCGTTTTCAGTTCTCTTAACACAACAAATAACACACAATTTTAAAGATGTTTTGTAAAGAGTCTTAAGGGATGATTTGACAACAGAAAAGAAATTTGACACTCCCCTAACTGCATCACTGCATCAACAATAACAGATGCACCTTGAAGTTAACAAAAAGAAAGACTCGTGAAAGAAGGAAAAAAACTTTTTTGTTGAACATACGATCGACAGAAGGTTTTTTATGATTTCGATTCACTTTTGTCGTGTGCCACCTGCACATTAATCCAACTTTTTATGAACGCAACACATACAAAAAAGTGTAATGAAAAGTTAATGTCTGTGAAATATATGCAGGTAATTTCCAGGTGAATCGAGATAATTTCAAAGCGTTTCATGAAGTTCGTGGTGAATATTCGAAAATAATTAAGTATTGTTAATGATTAAATTAAATAAAATGTCATTACAGAAAATTATTTTTAAAATGTGGCTAGATAACAATCAGTTATTGGTGACTACCAATTATCATCATTTAGAGCGTAAAATCATTGACCTCAGTGACTCGTTTTGTCTGCGATTGTTAATTGTCATGTAAATTTCAACACGCTAAAACGTTTGCCTTCTCATATTTTTCCTACTTACATGTCAAAGCAATTATTCTTCGTTGTTGACACTGGCAGGTATGATACGTGTAAATATTTATTTTCTTTATTTTTTGTCCTCCATTTTTTCCCCTTTTGTGAGCTTAAGTTGTCGCATTTTTATTTCTTTATATACAAAAAGGTTAAAGGGTATCGTCAATGTTATGTTTTGTGTTCTTTTGTTGGCTGCCATTAAACCAACATCTCCACTGAACATAACATAAGCCCCCTTGCTTTGACGAAAATGTAATTAACATAAATGAATTTTTTTTTCTTGTTGAAGTGCACTTTCCGGTTCAGCCGAGGGCGCTTTTTTTTCTTATGGAGTTCTCAAATTAAATTATGAGTTCAAAGTGCTTTTAATGTGTCACTTCTTTTGTTGTTCCTTTGTTCAAAAATCCAAAGCAAATAAACAACTGAATGGAATAGAACAAGTAATATCGACTCCAATGCCTATCAAATTGAACTGAAGTTTATTTAAATAGGTCTCATAAAATAAATGACTAAATTGAGTTATTAAAAAAGAAAAGTAACATTTACCTCATGGTAAATGGAGCTGAAAATCATTTAAGTGGAACAGAACGGATTCCTTTACGCATTTAAATCAAATTCTGACTCATGATCGACGAATGGAAAGAGAGATGTAAGACTACTAAAGAGTCATATTATATTAAACATCATCAGCATCGTGAAGATAAATATTGAAATTTGTATGGAAATTCTCTCACATGCGACAAGCGATGCTCTACAATTTTGTTTTATGGGCCATTATGTTCTCCCAAAAAATATTTTACAACCATAAACTTTTTACAGCATTTGATACCAAATATTTTCATACTAGTAGAGAAGCTCGTGTTTGCTTTAATATAAAAGTTGAGAACTTTATTCTAGGTTGACGATGAAAAGTTTAAGAAGAGACACAAACCTGAGAAAAAATGTCGTAAAATATGCCGCAAAATCTCAAATAACATCACATGTTGAACGCGGGTGAAAAGACGAGAACTTATAGGCGTGATATGCGATTTTTCACTGTAGTGACGGCAAAAACTCTGAGGATGTAATGCTAAGCGTTTCGTATGTAATTCGATGATCCATTGAAAATCCCTCGAAAATTTGATGTTCAGGAAAATCACCGACATGAAGATTTTTGTTTTGTTTAAAAATCGAAAAAGAATTTTTTTTGAACTTGTTTTGGGGGATCAACGAATTGAAATCTCGGCAATTGGGCCTGCATCACGTTTACCAATTATTAACACAAAATCCAGAAGCTTATATGAATTCATGTTTGAATATTCTCGTTCGATAAATCGGAAAGAAAATTTACATATTTATTTGTATAAATTTTCCACAACAAAATCCATATGTTAATGTATTAATAACAGTCAGTGGAATATTTCTGGAAAGCTTCTGGATCTCGTTCTGGTTTTAAGTTACATTGACAGAGTTGAATAGCCGAAATAAACTCGACAGTTTCTTTCATAACTGAATTGTAAATAAAATATCATAAACACAAAGAAAGAAACAAGTTTTACCGCTAATAATATCTTCATATGACAGCGGCATTGCTTTAAACTGCAGTTAAACAAATCGTTCCAACGCTTCTTTTTCCGTAAACATTTTTTGTTTGTGCGCTGTTGAATGCAGATAAGTAATGTTCAATAAACTGCCCTATTCGACTTTGCATTTTGAGCATAATGAAGTGGAACGAGCATTCACAGCATATCTGAATGCCATCGAAAGAATTCCGACAATTTATTATCCCAAGATGGTTAAGAATAACATCGCCACTTATTCTGGAAAGCATTTCTGAAGGAATTGAAAAGCGTCTGCAATTATTTCTGTTCTCAAAACATTCCATGAATTTTCGAAACATTCGATAAAAAATATTTTCCGGTCAATGAAATTAAGTCGTTCATAAAATGCAATGAGTTGTCGATAAGTTGGCGCTATAATTGACAAGTTTTAACAGTCAAGTAATTGACAAGCGACAATATTTATCACTTGTCGGTAAAGGTTCTCTGTCGTTTTACGTTGTTTTAACCAAGTCGGGTTTTTATTGCAAAGATTTATTTCACTTAGGTAATTGCTCGTCGAAGTATAAATTGTGTTTGCGTGAGAAGACAAAATTCAAGGCATTCTGGTGTGTAATGTTGTGTATAATTGAATTGCAATTGAAGAAATCGACATCGATTTACTGTACAAGTCATTTATGGTTATGATCAATCAGATATACGCACAATTCCCATTTACCATTCACCAGGAAAATTTATATCACCTAAGCCACTTAATTCAATGGAATTTATCAGTATTTAGGTAGGAAATTGACGCTTGAACGTGTATAATTTATCACAATTTGTATTTGCCACCCAATCTGGATTGATATTTATTGTACAAATGAATGACGTCAAAAAAGAAAATTTATACAAAAAATAAGTTGCCAGAGATGTTCGTTCATAATAACGCAGATTAAAGAAGCTAAATTATGCTTACCCCAATCAAGTTGTCGAGCTCTCCGAGCCAGTCATTGAGTAACTTATCTGGGTCGTCTGTACACTGTGACATTTTGTATCTTTTACACTTGATTCTGAAAAAATAAAAGCAAAGGAAATGTTTGTGTAAATATTTGATTAGGGAACGAACACTTTGTAGATACGAAATTTTAAATTCATCAAATTTTCAAAGAAAAATTAATATGAATAACTTCCTTTTAAGTCAAGAGACTGGAATTTTAAAGGCGACTAATGAAGGCGCCAACTTATGAATTCCAATTCAGTTTTGCTCGAGAAAACAACGCTCGGCATAAGCGAAAGAAGAAAAAAAAACTCATTCGACATTCAATCACTTTTAAATTTAAGTTGACCAGAAAATTATTGTTTTTATTTTCTTTCTCTTCATCGAATCTCGATGTGTAGCTTGTAATTCAACACCCGAAGAGAAATTTCAGTTGGAGACATAAAGAAAAAAAAACATTCGAATCATCCAATCAATCTGATTAATTGGAACAGATGCAAGACAAAGAATGTAATTTAAAAGTCAACCAAAAAAGATTTGATATAAGAGCTGCTTTCAATTTGATCCATTTGATGATACATTGCTATGTAAATCGCACCTTAATAAATCAAATTATGAACTTTGAGTTCATCTAAGCATGGAAAGGATTAAAGTTGCACCTTGAGAGTATGCAATCCGCATTTCGATCCCAATTACAGATTTAAGAACATTCACCAAACCAGTTCGCTTCAACTTACTTTAACTTATTAAGTTTCACATTCAAGAGGCTTCATCCAATTTAAAGAGAGTCACTTAAGTATTTAAAAAAGATTTATTTCCTTGCCTGTGGCTAATTTTTTGGTTCATTCAAATTTTGAATTCATAAAGAAATTTTGTGAAGTGCACCCGTTAACCATCGTAAATTTTGCTTTCAATTAATTAACGTACAGTAACCAAGGTAGGTTTTTACCATTTTTTTCTTGTTTAATTTGAGACGAAAACGCTTGAAGCTTGTTAGACCCAACTTTATATTTAGTAACTTACTTTATTCGAGTTTATTCAGTCGAAAGTATAACAAGAGTTCCTTAACCCGAAACCTGAATCCAACCGAATTGCTTTTTCCCTTTAACGATTTCCCAATTGTTATCGTTGTTTTATTCCAGTAAAATAACAAATTTCAATTTAATTTTCTGCCATCGCTTCAATGTGAAACGTTAAAACTTCTCGAGTAATCCGATTCTAGTTGAGTAGTCGTCGTAGATCCACCTTTGTTTGTTATTTCTTTCAAAAGCGCGAATACACTTTGTCAACATGATGAACCATCTCGCTATGACATAAAAATAAATTATTTTAATTGGACTTGAGCGAAAGATGGAAGAAACAAAAACAAACGAGAAGTTAAAAGCTGCTGATGTAAAAGGATTAGGTTTACCGAGTTATCAAATTAAAAATCAATTAATTTTATCAATTGTTTTCATTTCAAACAATTTTACCCCACTTGACGGATGATTTAATGTTTTTCATCAACTGAGAAAATAGGATATTGTTCTGAACAAGTGCAAGTGGTGGGATTTGCTTTAAGTATTATGTCATGCAGTGCATAATGGTTTGTTAGTCAGGTTTCATTATTTAACTTGATTCAGCATTATCAATGTGAAGTTTTAATACCCAATGACAGAAGTAATTTAATACCATGATATCGACAACTTAATCCAATTCATTTCAAGTGACCTTAAACGTAAGTGAGTTAAGTCGACAGTGCAACTTGTTTTAAACGATTTGAGATTACAACTTCCTTTGACATTGAATCAGACGGCGGAAATGTGGGAAATATGAATGAAATGACACCAATCGGAGATTGCATAAATTGGAAAAATCCTCGTCTATATTCTACATTTATGAAGAGTAAACTTAATTAAAGTTATATGCCAATAATTTGATTAAGTAGCTACATAAATGTAGAATGGTTTCCGAGTGAAAAAGTGAAATTAATTAGAACGTGCTTCATCATTGTGGTTGGTATACTCGTAGGGATTTCTAAACAAGTTGACTGGATTAACAACTCGCTTCTTAATCAGAGAGAGAAAAGAAGCTTTTCTTCTTGCGGTTTTGCTTTTCTGCTGAGTTCACAGATAATTTTAAAGTTGAAGGCGTCATGGATTGAAGCGTAAAATTCTCCATTTTATCTCATGATACATTTAAGCTTCATCAAACCGTGCAAAGTCCCATTTACAATGCTCGACAACAAACTTTTGCCTCCCTTACATGCTCATAAAATTTTATGCTGTCTAATGTACATTAAAAGGCAACAACAATAATGAGCTTTTTTGCTTTTCCCCCAATAGAAGAATGTAAATGAGCTTCACGAAGGATTCATCGACTCTTCATCATCATCTTGCTCATAGATTGCGTTTGGGAAGTAAAAAAGAAAATTCACATTTTCGCGCTTTTACGATCGTTTTTCTTCGATTCATTCATGAATTTTCTTTTTTTTATTCTTTTCTTGCCTACACATTCAAGTGAATTTCGTTATTATTTATTTATATCATGAGTCATTTCAACGAAGACTGCTAGAAGATGTGGGGGAAGGAGATGAATGGAATAAGAGAATGAAGTTGAAGAGAAGGAAAAAGAAGACAAGACTTAAATAAATATTTAACATTAGTTATGGGGAGAGATTTATTAAAAGCTTTTTTTTTATTTCCTACAGCCAAGTAAGAATCTTTTGCTGATTTCTGCAGAGTCGAAGAAAAAAAATAACCAGACTCATGATGCAATAAAAGTTAATGAGGATTTGGAATCGAAAAGGAATATTTCGTCATGACAATTTCTTTTTCTGTCCCAACAATAGCTAACATATAAATATCGACATTGAACAACAAGTTTTTTCCTTCCTTTATGCACGTAAGAATGAATCAATTACCGAAAATCATGAAACAGTCTTTCCTATTACGAGCACTTTAGCGTTTTTCCATTGGCAGAGTAAACAGGAAAAAGCCATATTCATGTTGAATTGCCTTACATCAAACATTTTTCTCAATAAATACTTACATACGACGAACAGTTTTATTTCCCCTTTTATTCGTTTTCCTCCCCTGCAGCTCACATATATCAATAACAATCTTGTGGACGTCGGGGAAAATCAACCGGGGGAGAATTTCCAACGATGATGACTCATCGTTTGGGACGGAAACGAAAATCGGGAGACTGAATAAAATTTATAGAAGAATAACAGTCTCAATTGAGTTATGCCCAAATAAACGTTGTTAGAATGGAAATAGAAGCAATGAAAATGGTGAACAATAGAAGAAATCGATTTTATATCGCATTTTATGTGATGAGGTTTAGCTTTTCGAATTAAATCGAATTCAATAACTCACATTACAACATTTGCCTGCATCTATAGTCTCCCGGAATGGATTCGATTAGGAGAATGTACAAGGTGCGGACAATGAATGCATTCAACGTCTTGTATTTAATTAACCATATTGGGCGGATTTGGTTCATGTCTCAATTTGAATTTAAGGTAAAAAGTTGCGAAATAAACAAGAAAGTAAATTTGAAATTCAAATAGGGTTTTAAATTCTGTGCGAAAACAACAATAAATGCACACTTGCAAACACTTTATCGATTCGAGAGATATTTCAATAAAAGAAAACCGATTTACTGATTTACCGCATTGACGATGGCAGTTAGTCGATATGACACGAGTGAATTTAAATCCAAATGTACTTGAAAGTTTATCTCAAACTCTTAGAGAAAGAAAATATTGAAATTCATCAAATCACGTGTCGGGGAGATGAAAATCTAATAAAACGAGGAAAAATTTCAATGTTCTTGTTGAGAAAGAATTCGAGTGGATGAAGAAGTGAATGAATGATGGAATGAACCCCCAAAATTCTACTCTAACGACATTCCGTGAAAATCCCTTTTTGCCGTGAAAATTTCCCAATTTTCCATTTAATTGAATAGAAGCACAACATTTCAACCCTCGACAGTTTTCCACCATGCAATGTTGACGGTTACGGTGAGCCGTCATAAACATTTTCAGGGGCGATGAAAAATCCGCTTTTGTATTCATTTTTATTGCGACATTGTCAGTTTATAGTGTCGATTAAAATGCAATATCTGGTTGAAGATTGAAGCGATACTTCGCGTAGATTACTTCACAACTTCCAAGAAACTTCATTGTCTTAAAGGGAATGAAAATTGTTTTGAAGTACTGACGACACACTCCATTCTCTCATTTGTTTCATTCCACGACACTGCTTTTCTGCTTTCAACATACGACGACTGATGTAAATTAAATGATAATCTCGCGCGTTTGAGTTTTCTGGATTAACACATTTTGCAGACGATAAAACGGCGGAATCTCATGTTTGCTCAAAGTTTTTCTTTTTTAATTAAATTTCTTCGACGTATTTATTTTAATGAAAAAGAATTTGTGGAGTTGAAACGGATATCAAGTGGCAGGAAATAACTCGTTCTGTAGAATAATAATTTATTGAAACGTGTTGAGGCATATATTTTTAAATAGCATGTAAGTTTGGTGGCTAACTAAGCTAAGTTTTTGAACCCAAAATGTATAAATAAATATCACGTATTCATCCCAACAAGTTTGTTCTCTTCCTTTGTAACTTGTACTCAATTCGAATATTTTATTAATTTTGATTATCTGAAGCCAATTAATTGACAATACAACAATAAACATTTCTTGACAAATAAAAGATTGACTATTAAGTGAAAAATATTATGAATAAGTCAGAGGGTCAAGTAAATAGACGTGATAATAAAACAATAAAATTAGGGTCAAGAAACTGAATAGTGCAAGCTTCATATTATAAATTTTATTTTATCGCACCCAAGAGGTTTTTTTTGGCGAAATATAAAACAACTCCATTAAACATTAAGCAACAACATAAAATTTTATGTGTAGTCTTAAAGACTCAAGTACTGTTGTTGAAATGTACGTGATTCAAATAGGAATGACCATTAATACTCATATTTAAATGCAATTACCAATTATTGATGTCCATTCAATGTGCTTCATTACATTGATTTCTTTTTATATTTCATTTCGTGGCTTGAGAACGCGCGCGTAATAAATAGCGGAACCAAAATCAACTCTTTTCGCGCTTCATTACATTTTGTTTTGCTTTGCTTTGGCTTGGCCGCAGAGTTTGGGATACTAAAGTTAATATTCATCATTAATGACGACCGATTTCATGGGTAAGGAATAAAAAGAAAGAAAATATTTATAATGGCTGTCGATCGTAATAATCTAAAATGAAACATTTATTAAGAGTTTCTCGGCATAATGAGATATGAATACCTTAATTAGGTAGAGAAACCCGTTCCAATGATTGATCAAATTTGTTTGCCAAATTTCATAATTTAACAAAACGATATCAACATTTTTGACACTTTCTTTTCGACTCCCCACGGTTTTATTTCGTTTTTTGAAGCAGTTCCGCTTATTTCTCAGTAATTACTTTTGACTGAAAAAGGTTGCTTACTTTGCAATAAACTAATATCCTATCTCACTTCTTTCTTATCTCATTACATCTTCCGCAATGCTACTACGGGTTATTGAACAGATGAAACGAGTCCGATGTAAATAATTAATTAATAATTTCTCTTTTTGCTTCTTTGCAATCAATATTTTGAGCTAATAATGTCTTAATTAATCCTGTTCGAGTTGTTTTGTTCATTTATCAATGTTTTGTATTTTTTTTTGCTACTTTAGAAATTGAAGTGGAAGTGGCTTCATTCATAATTGAAGTCACAAAAAATTATTGACAAGAACACAACACATTGACTTGCCCATCAAAAATTATTTCATGTTAACACTCCCAAAAGCATAAAAGAATAAAAGCATACAACATAAAGCGAAAAGCCATCAAGAACGGAACAAAAAACATTTTTGGTTATTGAGAATCATTCAGAAAAACGGCAAAAATCTTTTATATTAAAATTAATTGTTAAGTACTGGATGAAAAATTATGACTTTCGTCTTCCTGCTTTTGTTTTTTTTTATTCGATCGACGTGATTAATTTTTGTTTTTTTCTGCTGTCATCGAATGATTGGCATGGGCGTGCATATTACCGCACAAGTTTATAAATAGTTCAAACATTCTAAGTTATATGGCTGCAAAATAATTCCATTTGCGTTAGAAAAGTTAATAAATAATTATTTCAGAATTTCGATGAAGTTCATTGGAACCGTTTAGCAAGTTTTCGTTATTAAATTTTCGCCATCATTGGGCACAAGCTATACTAACTAATTTCGGTTTGCGCTTCCTCTTCTTTTTAACTTCCAGTAATTGACTCGAAGGACACAATTTGATTGTCTCCATTAATGAACATCATCACGATGATGTAGAGCATCAACTTTTTAATTGAAATTGATTGAAGCTAACGGATTGTTTGCTTTCATTCTTTAAACGACGAAACAAAAAAAAAGATTTTCTTTGCTCTTTAAAATTTTGAGTAAAGAATTTTAATAGCTTAGTGCGTGACTTTTCTTTTCTTATAGACTTTGAGAACAAATGATTCTTATCTAACATCTGAGTAAATAAGAACAGAGAGATCAATAAGCAATACCTTTCACCTTTCTATTAATGTACGCACAAATAGGATTTCAACAGTCGATAAAACATTTCCCCACGAACAGATCTAACAACAAAATTAAATCTACGACAAAAATGTGACTTGAAAATGTTTTCAACGCATTTTCTTTTAATATTCTTAAATATTTTCTTCTTCTTTTTCGGATATAATTCAATTACTTTTTCTTTTTTCACTTTTATTTATTTTTGTTGTTTCGAAAATGGTTTTGTTATGTTGCTAAGCTCTTTGTAGCTAAAGCTAAAAGCAAGAGAATCTTTATTTATTTTTCTTTAATGGAAACAGGAAATGTCTTCAGGAAAAATAAATAATTTAGCATTTGTGCAATGTTGGGGGAATTATGCGACCCCACAACCCACAAAAAAAGCTTAGCCGTAGGCAAAATTATTCTTAATTATTTTACTTCACTCTCGTCTGACTTTGTCGACATTCTAGCATGTTTCAAAACTATTTTTATTTCATGAAATATTCATACACGACGAGAACAAATGAAATGAGTTGGAATTTAAAGTCGCAACGACTGATGAATGTTCCTTCCCAAATTACCTAACACATGAAGTATGTTGTTGTTCTATGTTGATTTTTGTAACTATTAACAATAATTTATGAAAATGTAAATAGCTGCAAGACATGAAAATAAAAAACTTTCGAAATAAGATTAAATTAAACTTCACAGACTTAAAGGTTTTCGAGAGTTTTCCGCCCCCGACAACAAGTTGCGGAAATATCTTCTGTTCTCTGTTCATTCATTCCAGATCGTTTCATTAAATTTTATAAGCTGCAAATAAAATATAAAGTTGCAAGCTTAAGCTAATCCAATAAGCCGTTAGTATGGATTATAAGAACTAACAAATGTCACTTGGCGCCATAAACTCAATTTAATTGAATGAAGGGAAAAAATTGAAACTCAAACCGATCACAAAGATTTTTTTTTCTTCGTTTTTTGTCTCTCTCATAAATACTTGCGAGTTAATTGTCCGCTTGTTATAATCCATGAATGATAAAAAAAGACTTTGAAATGAGTAATGGAAATACATTCAAATGAATTTGTAGAATAATAAACAGTCAGAGAAAAATCAGAGTGTGCATTACGTTATTAATATTGGAATTGAATGATTGCGTTATTTACAATTCAAATTTATTTGTGCATTGCAACTTACTCGAGTCATTGAGTGGTGGAGTAAATTGAGATTTGTTGACGTAGATATTGCATCGAGTAAAAATGGAACATTGGCCAACAAATAAAACTGAAACCTCGTTGAATGAGTCAAAGTTTACGACTTCTCTGAACATTTTCTATTCAAGTTAATCTTTGTTCGATGGTTTTGATTTCCGATCGTGAATGAAACTTTATTACGTACGATGAATAAACGAAAGTAAAATGCCTTCGGGTTTAATCGTTAGACGATGAAAATATTAACCCAGATTGAAATCTTCTTGCGATCGATTAAAAGATGTGAAGATGATGTGCTTATTATCAAGTAAATGTTAATTGTAATTAATGAAGCCAGAAATCTTACTTCATGAAAGCGTCAAAACATTTATGACCTTAAAGATAAATTTGTTAAGGCATAATCAACAATAGGAAACTCACACACAAGCAAAAAGCTTCCAACCGGGCCAACAATAAAACGATCAAATTTATCACAACGCCGAAAACAAATCACAGCATAAAAAAAAGTTGAAATAAAATTAATTACATGTCTGTTGCATCGAAAATGTTTTAACGCCTACGAGTGTTTTGGTATTGAGAGTAAAAGTGGCTGTCAATCGTTTGAAGCTATTAAAAGTCTGTTTCTCCACTTCGTTGTCGAATGTCTCCTCTTGTTAAGCTCGTCGCCGAGGTCTGACCCATATTCGTGATCTTTAAATTGTTAACTCGATGCGAGAGAGCGATGGAAAATTTGCGCAATACAAAGTTTATGTCGAGACACGCAAAAAGACTTGAATCGACAAACAAATAAATTTCTTCTTTGAAATGGGCTCATTAAACAGAGTGAAAGTGCTTGTAAGTTGTTACGCGTTGCTTCATTAGGATAAATTTTGACTAAGTAGGCAGATTTACTTCTTAAAATACACAAAAACAAAAGCAGCAAAAAAAAATCTGCGTCGACAGATATAATTAATGAATTCAATTTATTCTCATGATTTTTGCACTGTTTATCCATTTAATTAATCCCACATCACTTGTTCATAAATCCCTCCAAAGTAACAGTTTAAGTCTGCAATAGCAACAGATACCGGCAGCATGTTATTACTGATTCTGACACTAATTTTCTTCCTCGTTCAATCATATCGAAAAGACGAGAGACGAGAGAAAATCAACTTCATCAACAACAATTCTGTAGCAGCTAAAGTGCTTGTTTCTTTTTGCAATAATCATAAATTTCATAATCTTACTTACTGCCTCAACCGATACGTGCATATGTTAGGTTTGTGTATATGTGCGACTGCTGCTGCTTAACGATCACTTGTCAGTCATTAAATTAACGATCTGAATCGCGAGTGATTCTTGAACAAGAGAGAAAAAGACTTCTGTGGATCTTATATGAAGTATATTCAAGTACGAGGCGCGTCATAAGGCGCCAGATTGAGTTGAGTGTGACAGAATTAACTAATTAATTACTTATGCTCGATGAAAATATGATGATGACTCAACAACACACTCGAAAGAGTTCGTTTATGCTGTTCAGTGTGGAATTATGTCCCCCACATTAATTATTAAAGTCATAACACTTATTTCTGCTGTTTTTAACATCATCTCTGATATGCTTTACATTTCTGTCTCATTTTTATCTACGGTTATGTTGAACGCTCACACGATGTGTTTAAATGAAATATGATGCCTTTGATGGCTTAACACTTTTTCACTCATAAATTATCATCATTGATTCAATCGCTTGAAATTGATCTTATAGACACACAACGCAAAAAGGGCAGCATCATCAAGAAGGTCAACCAACGATGACTAGCAAAACATTTTTTTTCCTTTTAGCATTTTTGCTGTTCAACTTCATAACATCAAATGGAAACCTTTAAAATCTCACTTGTTGGTTTTATTTTCCTTTTTTCAGAGCATATTATGAGTGGGAGCAGAAGGAGAAATGGATGATTGCAGTCGAAATTCAAAGTTTACGGTGAATACATTGAAAAGCTGTTTCTATTAGTCCCCGAAGGTCATAACTGTGACAACATTTATCTTTCCATTCATGATATAAATCCTTGATATTTGTGATTCGTTCTTAATGCTGATTACGGAAAATTTGTGTAAGATTATGAGGATCCGAATTCCGGATTCAACATTTCATGTGAAGAATGTTTTTTTAAAAAGTTGCCGAAGGAACATTTCTGTTCGGATGAAAACATTTTGATATCAAATTCATGCAGTCATCAGCTTACCGGTGGCAATTTATCTGAACAACTTTAACATGTTACCCACAACATTATCTTTTCATTTCTACTTTTCATGTACCTACATGTTCCATGTAGCATAAATGAATAAACGAGATATGAAAGCATGACACAAAATGCCAAAAAGGCGCTCTCTTGAGAGTGTTTCGAGAGGTTTCTCGAATGGTCAGTTTGAGTTTACTTTTGGCTGCCATCCTGTCGAGAGTTCTTTTTTTTTTGTGTGCTTTTGTTATTCATGGCTTCGTTCATACAGTTCACAGATGACTTGATGATGTTTCAACGCTTTCAAGACTTTTTTTTTTATCGCCTCACTGTTTTGACAGTTCATGAAATCAGCAAACCATCATTCACTCTTAGACTGCTCATATTTACTTCAAGTTGAGGCGTGTGTTCCCGCATCAGATTGTTATTAATCAGGTTATCTCAAAGAAAAGACGGATGTGCAAAAGACGCAAAAAGCAAAGCGACTTTGGTCTGAACTCATTCATTTCATGTTGTTTGTTGGTTGATCGTGAACCCACATCATGTCAAATTACTCATAATCGTTGTTAATGCTCGTTATGCGCGAAGACTGGTCTGCTTCGTATGAAAAATGAGTTCAGTATGTTGGGGCTATTGTTCGTTAATTTTTGGGCCTTGCAATCATAAAACATTTTTTTTTGGCTAAAGTGAAAAATGGGTCAGGAAAGCTACGAAAAGATTTATGTCTAACGGCAATTAAAAATCCATTCCGAGGGTTGTAACTTGTAAAATCATCCTCCTCTTTCGTGTCTGCCGATGTGGAAATTAAAACAATCCTAGAATGTTGCTAATAAGAGCAACAAGCTTTGGGGTATCTTTTCGCATGAAGAGGCAACGATGCTGATACATCATCGCTCAAATCAACGAAGAAATATTATTTTCAAACGAAAGTGTTCGTCTTTCTTGTTTAAAGTCATAAATTTCGGTGTCTTATGGAAGAAATTCTAGAAAGCATGAGTTGAACAGCCCATGGGTTGGAAGAGTTTAAAGTCGCTCCCCTTATGAGACATCAGAAACATAAAAGCGAAACACAATGTATAAGAATGCGAGTGTGTGTGAATGTTTATGAAAGGAGCCTTTCATGTTCATTTCTTTTGCGAAAATGAGTGAACTGCTGTTGAGATGAAGACAATAATAAAAATAGAAGCAATTATAAAGGCAATTTGCTTTGTTGAGACTCATTATGAATCAGCTAGCATAGTCAAAAGCGAGAGACGCAAGGGAGATAAAAGTGGTTTCCTTTCTTTCCTTCTTTTTTTTATTTTTTTTTTATTTTTTGTGAGCAAGAAAAAGTTTCATAGGCGTGTTTGAAGTTTTTCGCTTTAATTAAATCATTTTTAAATACAATTTTGCTTAAGAGAAGGGAATCTCCATTTTATATTTAAAAAAGAGTCTTAAATGTGCTAAATAACAGAGAACCAAAATCATTTCAGTTTCACTTGTTGTTAAAGATTTGCGAATGAATCTTTTTGGTTGTAAAATTTGACATAAAATGGACTCGACAGCAGTTTCGTTTCATTTGTTGCTGTGAAAAATATTCTGATTTATAAACTTGAAATAAGTCAAAACATTCAAACATCCCCAAATTAAAAAAGGAAAGAATTTTGTTCATTTGGTTTTTTATTTCAATTGCAGACAATGGAAGCAGATTACTCGGTCTGGTGCGGCAATTATTTATATTATATTATGTTGTATGCGCGAAAAGACAAGGCAACTGGGCAAGAAAGAGAGAAGCACGTCGTAAATGAGAACTTCTGTTAAGGAATTTTGTACATGGATGTCAGAAGAGTCTTCTGCTTTAACGCAAAGCAATATGTTCATCTAAATTAATATTTGCAGCGTTCTTGGAAACGCCAGCACATGGTCGTTGGAATGTGATCCAAATTATCTAAAATGCGATAGAGATTTTAGCGGCAAGATAAATTTGATGTGGAGAGACTATCATTATCGCACGACTGGCGAATGAAATTCTCAAAGTTATCCGCTTCACAGCTTCTCAATATTTATGGTTTCAACAAGGAGATCTCGACGAGTTTTTTGCATTATTTAATTTCTCACACTTGAAAAGCCAAGCCATACTTATCGATGATAAATTCAATCACGAACTTGAGAACGATGTGATGGAAGAAATTTAATGAAAATATCGGAAATATTATCATCATGAGATGAAAGCTTATGAGAACATGACTTCACAACAACAAACTTCTTTTTTTTGCATTCTAATGACTTTATCAAACTGTTTCGATCAAATATTAATATTTAATATATATTGCAATTTTGTCGAGTCGGCACGATCTCATTTATTCCTTGTTCGTGTCTGTTCCAATTTGGTTTTACAAGCTTTTGGTTTAAAAAACTTTCATTCAACTTTGGTTAATATTTTTCTTTCTTATGATTTAGTGTGAATGGTTTACATCAAGACAAGCAAAGAGAAATGAACTTCTTGTGACAGTCAAAAACTTTTTCACGTAAATTTTATAAGCTCGAAGTTAATCTTTTGAAGCTCTCATGTGATTAATGGAAATTGCTGCCTTTATATTACCTGACAAAACTTCAAGACATTCCCACATCCTAAGCCAGAATCATAAAAAGAATATTGTGTGGCAAACGTGCAGAAAAAGAAATAAATAAAGAGGAGAAGAGAGAAAGAAATTAGAAAGTAGAACAGCAGAGCTGGAACGTTTGCAGAATTTAAAACTGCTTCAAAATCACTTTTCAAATCTGATTTCGGGCCGGGGGGCAATGTTCAAGCTTTGCAAATGTGCAGTTTCGCTTTTATTCAATTTTTCTTTTGTAATTTTTATGTTTATTTCTTTTTCTCCATTTATTATTCGTTTTTTAACTGTCGACAATATTTTTTCCTCCGCACTTATATTGTGATCTCTAGCAACTTGACTCTGACAAAAACCAAAGCTATCAGGGTCATAAGGTTTCATTAAATCGATTTTTATTTAAATAACTTTTTTTTTCTCAAAATATAACTGTTATGAACACTTGAAGGTGGCGGCGAAAATCCCCCGCGTTTTATTCCACTGAAATAACTTTTCATTAACAACTTTTGTCCGAGTGAGATTCCCGGAATTTCATTCCAATTCCAATTCCATTTACGAAGCAAACAAACTCGCCTTCCCACTCACGAAATAAGTATTTTTACGTCTGTAAGACCATTCATTGAATGTTGATGCAATCGAGAAAACTCAATCCATAAATCTTATTGAATATCGAATTGAATTGCCCATTTAGTTGGGGAAATGGGCTAAGTGATGGAGAAGTTTCGATCAGCGACACATTTATTGAATGTGTTTTACATCCTGCATCGAATCCAATAATAAATATCAATCATAATACACAATTTGAGGGATATGTAGCCTAAAGGCAGGATAGGGATGAACCGTAATCTAAAAGCTCATGTAACAATTCATAATTCGGATTGAGACATAGCTAAGGGAGGGAAAGGAATTGTGTCATTTGCAATCGTGACCTTTTTCTAGCCGTAGCTGAGCTTAACATTCATTTTAATAGTCACAAGTTGTAAACAGTGTAATGCATTTCAAAACCGCCTTTGCTGATGATGCAACAAAAGTTTTATGGTTCTTTATTGTGCACTTTAATCATTCTCCATGCATGTAACCTGTGGTATTGTACGCCTTTTCTGAAACATTGTCGTTTCCTTGTGCAAAGTTACAAGAAACAAACTCTTGAAAACCAATTTATTTAAGAGCAAAACTATGTTGTGCTTCAGCAAGCTACAAAACTTCAACAATTCTTACTTAAGAAAACTTCTTATTTGTACATTTATTTACAGCACTTTACTGGTTCAGATATTCTGAATCGCAAATCTCGGAAACATTTCTTATTCTTCTTATATTCAAGATGGAAAAATGTATTTCCGCTTAAATTCTCTCTTAGTAAACCCTCGTCACAAAAAGTGCTGCATTGTCCACGCGATGAGTTATTTAAAGTTTTATCTTTCTTGAAATCTTTTTCCACAATTTTCCTCTCGTTGCTTAAATCTGAGTTGTGTAAGTAATGCATCAATAAATTATCAATGTCTAGTCACTTTTATCATGCTTTGAGACATTTTCTTTCTGTTCTTTTCTTTGGAGAAGACTAAACAAAAACTTTTTCTTCAAAGGAAAAGGGGAGAATGAGAAAAAGTGATTACGGAAAACGGAAGAAAGAAAATTCAAGTCCGACATTCTTTGAGTTGAAAACCTGCCGGAAAATTGAAGTTTCTTTTTTGGGAAATTTCCATGTCTTACGACATATGAATAAACAAATCAATTTTTTTTTCAGTTTACAAACTAACAAAAGCTTTCGTAATATTTTTCGTGTTACATAAGAATGAAAGCGGTTCCCCTTTTCTTTCTTTTTGAAATAAATAAGGAAGATTTCATTTGAATGAAAGGAAATAAGCAATTATTCATCTCTCATCCCGATCCACTTTCAAGGGAATCATAAGTTTTCATGAAATATTAAGGAACGAAATTGTTTACATCGAGAAATCGAAAAATGGAATTTAAAACACGCAAAGAAGCTTCGATACAATTCCAAACTGTGAATGGAATGCCCATTACAATAACCAGAAGTTCGAAGTTAAATTTAGCGTTTCGCTGGAATTTATAATTACACTTTTTGCAATTCTGGATTTCATCCCAGACTTTATTTATTTAAACAACGTTTGTTTAAAGCTCAATCAGATTGTTGGAAACAAAAAACGAAGAATGAAACATATTTTAATAAAAACAAATATCGGTAGAAGCAAATATAGTCGGCTGTGAAGGAAAAAGCGATAAAACTTGTGAATGAAATGAAAATGAGTTCAAGCAACACAAGAGAGAGCGTTGACCGAGTTCAAAGCTGCTGCTTCTTCCATTCACAGAAATTATTTATCGATGGAAAAAAAGTTTTACTCCTACTTTGTCTTAAATATATATTTTCTTTTTAATAAATAAGACAAGTAAACAAGCAAAAGTTTCTGCAAAGGCAATCAAAAGAAAATATTTCCTGAAGATTTAGTTGCCATCGAGGGAAAAAGAAAATTACGATAAAGCGTTTTCCACTTTAGGGAGGAAGAGAAAGAAGTTTTCAAAGTTTGCTTTCATGTTAAATGGCGATTCTCGATTCTCGAGTAAACAACTAAATATTGAAAGGAGACGACGGGAGACTTTGTAGTGTGGAAGAGAAGATGACGAAGGAAGAATAAAATCTATTCCTTAAGTTCACATCAAAATTATGCTGAAAGTACTAAATGCAAATAAAGTCTTGGTTAATGTTAATAGACCCTCGAGAAATTCCTTAAGTCGACAATATAATGGAAGTTGTTAGTATAGCCATGGAATGATGTTAAATAGTTGAGCAAAGTTCATCATCATCTGATAACAGTTCATTGTCAGAGAAGCATGTCGTAATCCTTTTGTTCTTATTAGCAGGTTCGAGAGCCTTCTCGGACTATTCATTGAAAGTTAAATATCTGCATTTTATCTAATTATCAGTCTTTGTCTTGTTCTTCTCTTGTGAACAGTTTTTGTAGTCATCTTGCATTTTCTTCTCTTACTTCGCACGACTGGATATTCATTTATTACATGATAGCCAAGCAGCCGGGAAATTTACGTGGCAGTAAATGCACGGCGCATGAAAACCTCTTTTGCATTCTAATTTATTGGATAGACTTCGTTGTTTTTGCTTGTGTAACTTGCTTTGCTTTACTCTGTACAAGCATATTGCATTTTTTTTAATATTTTTGTGTGAGCGGAACATAATGTGCTTGCAGATTATTAATTATGTACGTTTAAAAAGACTTATGAGAACGTGCCATATGTTTCATTTCTCTTTTAGGTTTTTGCGCTTTAATAAATGAAAAGAAAAACTTTTAATATTTAATTAGCAATAATCTTCTTTAAGTGGATTATTTTGAAAGTCAACAATTTTGTGTCAATGACGACTGTTGAGTAGGAATTGAAATGGAAAAGGAATACAATTAAAGACATTTCACTGAATAAGTCAAACGAACAAAGAAATGAGGGAGAATTTTATTCCGCGTGTGTCGCAGTCAATTTATGCACTAAAAATAGCAATGTAGTTGGTACCAGCAGCGTCGAACGATCACGAATGAAAGATTTAATTGTTGTTCATCACCAGACATTCGGAAACTGTCGTTGATTGTTGCACATGTAGGAAGAACATTTTAAAAGCAACTTTTCTTCTTTCCCTCTTTTGATTTCCATTAAAACGCACATCACTGGCAGAAGTGTTGACGTTATGTTTCTATTTAATTGCAATGACATTCAAACACGATGATGATAATGCATGAAAACATTTTAAAGAAGCTTGTCTGAAGTGAACATTCAGCTTCTGAAGAATGAACAATGTGCATTATGAAGTTGTGACAGTTCTGCATGAAAGAAAGCTTTCCTTTTGATTAATTGATTTTCCTGCGCAAAGAATGAAAGTCATTTGAGGTTGAATCGCATCTTAAGAAGATTTCTCTTCTTGTCAATCTCACTACAATTTTTCATCTTTCAAAATATAATTTGAATAAAATAAATTTTTCATTTTTAGTGCCTCTTCACATCAAGAAGAAAAGAGAATATCAAATCCCATTTTTCATAACCAATCTTCGTTCTTCGTGAAAGAAATTGTATCAAAGAAAAGTTGGAAGTGCATGACATACATTTTCTGAATCACACAATTGACCCACGATTTCTTGTTAAATTTTAAACAAAAGAAAACTTTTAAAAATATTTCCGCAAAACAAGAATAAAAAAAGAAGATTCCCGTCAAGTTTTATGAATCATTCATAGAAATGAAAACTATAAATTTAATTTACAACGCTCGACGGCAAGGAAAAAGGGGATTTTGTTGGGATGCCCATTTTATTTTTCATAAATATTTCTCATTTTTCCTATGTACATTGTAACGATACGATGAAAACGAGGAAAAGTCGGAAAATTTACAAAGAAGGAAAAAAAAGCTCATTTTTATTACAAACACAAAATTATCGATTTTCCATTCTGCAGTAACAATTTTTCCATTTCGTCTTGTTGGATAAGCATAGACGTATAAAGGAATATAAAATTTTTTGCTTGTTTTGTGTCGAAATTATTTTGCAAAGTTAGATATTCGAGAAGCAAACATGAAGATAGATTGTTGTTCGATCTACAATTACAATAACTTGCATTGCAGAAGAAGAGAGTGTAATGTGTTTGAAAAGAACAAACTAATATTTCACCAACAATGCAAACAAACTGCGAACGTTTCTACTTCTTAAATTACATCTTCCATCTTACAACATTAGACAAAGTTAACTTAAGAAGGTTGTCAAAAGTATAAAAACTTCCACGACAAAAGAAAGGAATTAAGTTTCCTCTTTACAAAATGTAATCATAAGATTTCTGTTGTTCCGAAGTAGTCTTGATTCACCATCGGGTAATGACATTAGATTGCCTTGAGACTCACAAAACAAATTTCAATTTCAATGAGTTGGTAAAGTAAAAAGTTTTTCGTATACAATGCCATGCGACATAGACACTTGCATCAGCCTTTTCTCCCCATTATTCAGTGGATTAATTTACGAATTTCATTTCGTTAGACAGACAGAAGGAAGTTTATTTAAGTAGAAGGGATGAAGTTACTGTCACATGATGAAGTTTTGTGCAGAGAATTGAAAATATTTATAAAAACGAATGTCCGGAAGTCGAAGGTGAAAATGGATAACCGAAAGAAAACGAAAAAGAAAATATTTGAGAAAAATGTTTTTCGTTCCGCTCCAATTATTTCACTGATTTTTATTTCACAATCCTAAAGGAATCTTCATACACACAGCAGGATATGAAATAAATCGTGACAAAGGTTATCCCTTGCAGTCTTGCAGGGTTGGTTGAACTGTCGGTTTGGTAAGAAAAAATTGTTAAGTCAAGTCACCATTGTTCCATTCATTCATTATAACACGTAAGCACTTGAAGGGAAACACAAAACTGACTCATTTCTGAAGAAGAAGTCAAGATTGTAATCGCAAGAAAAAATATTTTCATCACCCGTGTTGGAAAATCCGGAAGTGAATTTACGCACCGAAAAGAGAGAATTCATTACGATAAGATTTTCTTGTACGTAAATAATGAAATTACCATGAATTGTGGCTGACACGAGAAGCTTTAACAGCACGTACTACACGTTATTCGTTCATTGTACAAGACAGCATGTTTTTGTTTTTAAGACGTTTGAAGGTTGAAATTTTGAACCAGTTTCAATTTATTTCTCCTGACTCATGCACTTACGTAGATATAATGCACACCTTGATTTAATTTCAACGAAAAAGTGCACTTCGCCTCGTCTCTTTCTCTTTCATCATCAACAACGAGAAACTCAAACAACTTATTTACATAATTTTAATAATTTAGAGCTCAACGAAGAATTTTTAGATGTTTTTATTCCATTTCTGTTGTGACTGTTTGATGTGTATTTATTTTATTAAAATCACAACAACGCCATCAAACCTCCAAGATGAGTGCATTCATTCGTATTTATTCATATTCACTTAATTTCTTTTATGAACATTAAACACTTCTACTTTTATTTTTCCCTTCTTCGTCTTCTTTTATTGAAGTCTGTAGGTTTATAAATAATGCGATGAGATGGGCAGGGCAGTTGTTGTGTTTCACCGCGGTCGTTATTGCCGCCACCATCTGAATTATGACAATGCACATGATTTTATTTTAATGTTTTAAAACTGCCATCAAACATTTGGTGTGATCAAACATTGGTAACACTTACAGATTTCTAGGAAAAATAAAATATTTATCTAAAAGACGTAGGAAAAACAAAACAGAAAAAGAAAGAAGACAAACAAATTTGAGGTGAACAGATAAATGACTAGTTTCGTCTTTTTAAGGCACATTTGAATTTTGAATTTCGATTCGTTTTTCCGAAAGTATTTCTGTTTGTAAATATCTAAAGTTATGCATGGGAATTTCCACTCAACGTTTACAAAATCATGTTTGATTTTGATCTTTTGACTAAAATGCGATCGTAAAGATTTCTAAATAAATTTTCTATTTAGGACCATTGAAAATCAGAGCATTCATTGTAAAAAAGAGATATTTATTTTCTTAAAGTTTTACGTGATAAGCAAGTGTGAGCGATTTCTATGCGACTCAATAACATTTGTCGGTGACATGAAAATGTGGGAGATTTATGTGGCACAAGACAAGAACTGTGGATTAACCCTAACGTGTGATTTGTGAATAAAAAAAATGTCTCTAAGTAGTTTTCTATTCATTTCTATTTCCTAACATTTTATATTCAAAGCACACAGCACCAGCAAAAATTGAACATATCTGCCAGTCGTAGAAGAGAAAAATGTCCGAAGACAACAGCGTGAATCTTAGGATTTATTTTCTTCCTCTTTTTTCAATTGAATAGCCGAGGAGATTTGAATAAAAGAAATAAAAGTGTGGGCGATGATCTGTGTGTTTGGATATCTCATTGACTCTGAATGAGAAAAAGTGCATTTAACGCTCTTCGTCTTTAAAGCAAACTTAAAATTCTTTTTCTCGAATCGATGTTCAATATCTGCTTATTTTTATGGTTAGCACGTAAATGGGGAAACTCAAAGTCTTTTCGCATGCTGAACAATGCTTAACTTTTCTTTCTTTCTTCAATAACCCGTTAACACAAAAGTCAGACGTTATCATGAATTTCATTTTACTTTAAGACCTTATGACCAACACACACAATACTGAAGAAAATTTCTTGAAGATGATTTTCTCTTTGTCGATGGTCAATAAGAAGCAGAAAGAAGAGGCTTTACATGTCTTGTGCAATTACTTTCAAATTGAAATTTTCGCCATTTGCGAAACAAACGCCCTTTCAACCTCAAGATTACTGTTCATCGTGGCTTTAGTAACAATCAAGGCGTTTGGTATCGCAACTTGCGATTGTTTTGAGTTTCAACTGCAGAAGAAAGCTATTAAAATGCGTGAGGAAAGAAGATCTCCATATGGAATAGAGATGAAGAATGCAATAGCAATTACAGTTCTGTGTGTACTCAAGTGTTTTCAAACACTCCACACGCATTTCAATGGAATGACTGAAAATTTATTTATTACTGTTTAAATAAAAATACGTCTTTAAACATTCTATCCTCCACTCGTTTCGTCGGTCGGGCTATTTGTTGTTAATATTTTATACAAACAGACACAAAATGTACACAATATCGCTTGCATTTCTTTTCCTATTTACTTATTTACAAACATAAAATGGTCATAAGAAGATTTTTTGTTTTGTTCACTTCTTTGAATGCAGTTCAAGTCGTGGAGGTTTCGAAGACGAAACTTTAGGGAAATGTTGTCTGAAGTCTTTCTTTACTTTTCTGGTTCTTAAATGCCTAATAATAACGGCAATTGATGTCAATCGGCTTTCATGGTACTTAAGTATTTAAACATTCAAACAAATGATGGATGAGAAAGAATGCAACATTAAAGCTGCGGTCATTGAAATTAAGTTCTTCTGCATTTCTCTATTTATTTGATGTCAACGAATGTTGACAAGTTCAAAATAAATAAATTAGTATTCTGCTTCAGATTCAATCAAATTCCAATCAACATAAAATTTTCACAATTCTTATCCGAGAAGCAAGAGCGACAGAAAAGCTACAAGAATTCGTGTATTAATAGGAAGGAAAAATGAGAAAAACAGAAAACTTTTTGTCTTTCACAACTGAAAACAATTGTTTGAGAATGTCTTTTGCATTTTAAAATGTCTAAGAAAAAATCGATTAGTTCGTGAGTTTTGTTATTTATTTCACCGACAAAGTTTTCGTCTTTATCATTGGGTTTGACCATTTAAGGACATCATGATGGGATGGATCCCGCTATGTTTTAGAAGTTTCAATTCCACAAGTTATATTTTTTCATCGTGAAATACGACACAATGCGCTTATTGTCTTTCTTGATATGTTTACTTGAAAGAACAACACAAAAAAGGAAGAGAAATGAACCACAAATAAATGAAGAACAAAAAAATAAATTTCTACGAGTATTAAAGACGTTTCCATTATGAATTACAAGCAGGGAAAAAGTTTTTTTTTTTGGGTTCTTTCTAAATTAGGAAGCAGACGAAATTCCATCAGCTTAGGATCACGATGAAAAAGTGAGATTGTGAAACAATTTCGATGCCATATAAGGCAGAGATCGAAATGTTTCATTTGATATGCAAAGATAAATGCCGAACTACAACATTTTATATTTTCGATACTTATTTTTCTGCCTCTCTCTCACTTTTCCCTTTTTTTCGGGAATCAAGAATTACAAAGACTTAAAGATCCGCGCCTCTTTCGACTGAACCACGACCGCATTAATTATTTATTCAGATATTCGTGGCTTGCTTGTAAGTAAACCCTTTTCAGCTTCATTCAAAGGCGACAGTTTTCTTTCTTTACGTCTTTGTTATGCCTTCAAAACCGCATCGAAAACATAAACGCTTCACACGCTAGTTTATTGTCTGTTTTGCTTCGTCGGAAAGACTTTACGACAGAATTATTGATTCGATCAAATCATTTTATCGTTTTGCATCTCATTCTCTTTTATGGGCATTGATCTTACATTCATTTTTATGTCGCTTTGGGTTGGAATAAAATCTTGTAAAGTAATTTTCTTAAATTGTTTCTGTTTATACCACAATCAGGAGTCCAGAAGTTACATCTAGAAAGCAGATATCAATTTCATTTTGTTGTCTTGAACGACTTGTGTTGTTCATGTGGTGTTTGTCTTGATTTTATTACACTGAACATAACGTCACAACACAAAAACGATATAAAACAATTTCCCATCTCACCTTCTCATCGATTTTTTGTAATTAATTTCATTTGTTATCATTATCAATCACTATGCGGCCTTCTCTTATTATTCAATCACTCCCTCAAACCCCAATTATCGACCTCAACAGTCTGTTACTTAATTCAATAGATTTTAATTATTTTTTTCATTTGTTCTCATGATTCACGAAGTATCAGAATAACATTCGAGTAGATTAACAAACTGAATGATGAATTTGCATATGGAAAAGTTTTTTTTTTGCTTGTTTGTTGGATGTTCAAACATTTGTAGGATGATGATGAGAATGATGTGTAAGCCAACAAAAAATGTTTGAAATGAATTCGAAAATAAAATAATCCAGACAAACACATTGTGATAAGCTCATAACTGATGTAATAAGAGACAGCACGTCATGCAAAGAATCTGGAAGTGACGCCAATTCAAATCTTTATCAAAAAAACTTTTTCTTTTCTGAAATTTATTTTCTCAACTTTCATCGTCACCTGAATGGCCTTATTTACTAAGAGGAAGAAACACCTTTCGTTTAAGATATGTGGGTGGATGATAAAGAAAAAGCATTAGTGCGGAGAAGAAGCTGTGGAATTTCAATAACGAAATCATCCTTTTATCCCCAAAAAAAAGTTGAAATTTATAAACCTGTTTTCACATATTTTTTGGATATTAGGATGGGAGTGTTTGGATGGATGTTGATATCGAGATATGTTAACAATCCCGAAGTTTAAATATCAAAATAATAAAATAGAAAAGCTCAACGAAACTTTTCTTTTGTTCCTTTCTCCATTATTTCGATTATCAAGAGTAATTTAGAGTCTCAAAGTTTTCGCTAACATTACTGCCAAACATCGTTATCTTATCGCTTGAATTTTTCCTTCCATTATTCTTCATGTTTTTCTTTCTTTTTAGAGTGTCACACATATTTATAGTCTTATCAGCAAGCTATTCTAAATGAATGCGCAAAATTATGGAACGCTAATGTTTGCAGTCAATCTCTGAGCCTTAGTGGAGTCTCAGCATACGACCGTGAATGAGCAGTTAAATTACGTTATTCTTATCTCGCATTTAGTCTTTAATTAAGGGTCATGATCATCATTTTTTGTGTGATTTTTTTATTTTACTGATGTCTCTATTGATGCCGCTCTATTAAGTAACCTGCCATAATATTAAAGTCAATAAATAACAAAACAGAAATCCGCAAAGCGTGCTAATAAATAAAGTTATGACAATTCTGACTCTTGTGGGGAAAGGAAACCTAAGAAACAGAACAAATGGAGTAAAAGAGAAAATAAATGTGATTGTTGTCGAGACGCTGCAAGGCGCGTTTCGGCGTTAAATTGGCATACATTTTTCTTTCTTACTAACAAAGCTGACTCATGTCTTTTCATTTCATTATTCACGACACTGCTGTTGCGGGATAAATGAAATTGTAATATAAATGAAAAACTAAACTTACCACGTTAAATATTTTTTTGTTCTTCAACTAAGAGTTGATGACTTCTTTCTCTCGTTCCTTGCAAAAACAATTGGCTTCGACTGAAGTTTAGCAAAAATCTACTAGCTAATCGCTGCAGCTATTTTTTCGTGGAAAATCGTTTCGAGCGTAAAAAAAAGTTACGAAAGAAAAATATTATCGTCGCGTGATTTCAACAACTTTATTTTTGTATCGCTTTATACTACAGGTTTGACTTTATTATTGTTATTAATTTTATTTTTTCGTTACTATTTTTTTATATTATTTTATTAATTTTTTTCTACACGTTCTGATTTTATTTCTCACTATATCAAACACACAAAAAATGTTTATATTAATTTAGCTAAATTCAGAACTTTTTCTTTGTGAATAGTATTAAGTCAATGTGAAATGATTCTCATTACCACAATATCCGATAATCCGTGTCATGTAATATATTGAAATTTCCAATGTGACTATTAAACTAACCGCATGAAATTTTGCCTAATCCAAACGGCTCTTGATGTCGTCTGAAGATAATCTTGAGTTGTTTACAAACGATTGAACCAAGTAAGTTTGTTTTTCACTTCACTAATTAATGACTCAATTTCAACTAAAGCTCAGTTTCAAGTTGCAATGACAGTACACAAATTATTTCACAAAACAGAAAAGAAAAGCAACAGCGACACGTCTAGCGGCCACAACTCTCAACTAAAGACTGACGAGAAACTCGACGAGTGGAAATGAAAACATTCACAATCAAACATGCGCGCTCAACATTGGAGAAGCAGGTTTGATCCACCAAGTTTCTTCGTTAAATAAGTATTTTATTTGACTCTTTAATGAAGTTTAGGTTGATTGCAACTGGATGGAGCCTTTCGTTAAAAACATTCATTCAACATTGAATGGGGAGATTGTTTAGACAAATATAAATTGGAGTCACGTTTTCATGTCAAATGAAACACAGAACGACGTTAAAAAATTCTTCTAAGTCAATATTTTGCAAAAATGTCGAAAATTGCTCAACTGAATAATTATTGTGAAAAATAAAAACTGAAAATTCTTCATCACACTTTAACAATGAAGTTTAGTTTATTTTTTAGAATGATTTTTAAAATATGAAAATGCAAAAGATTAAATGAAACTTTTCATAGTGAAACCATCATGAACAACTTTACAGAAGAAAAACGTTGTGTAGGAAATGGTCAATTTTTTATTCTAAAAAAAACTAAAAATATATAATCTGAGAATTAAAAACAAATAATAAATTATGAGAAATTGACAAGTAATTAAAGTATTAATGCAACAGATTACGAGTTTATAAATTATCTTGTCTGGAATTATTCCAGAATTAGATGAATGAAACGTAACTTTTTTGTTTTATTTTGTTATTTTTTATTGATCAAATAGAATCTATTTGTTGAATCCTCAAAAAAAATAACTAAAAAAAATTCATCATTTATTGTTTCGACTTTTCTTTCTTAGATCGTCTCTCCTTTTAATTCCTTTTTCGGCCTTTACGTGATTTTCTTCCACCGGATCGTTTTTTACAGGCGGGGAACTTAGAACATCCTTTTCCATAGCTTACCAGTGCACTACATTCAGCAGAAGTGGACAATCCAGGGCATTGGAAGAACAATTCTCGATGGATGCAATGAGCTATAGCCATGTTGAGAGTTGTCGAGTCTGAACATTTTGGGAATTTACTGCCTTTCTTAAAAACATTATCACGCAAAGCTTCAACCATCGTAGGGGCTTTGACAGACGATAAAAGTTTATTAAGTAAAAATATTTAAATTTGAATTGAAAATTACCACTTGATACGCATTCATTTATGATGTTTTCAACAACCTAGATAAACAATGGAATAGCTAATATGATTAATTAATTTAAAACATTTCTCATACCTCGCTAGACCAAATTTCATTATTCCCCAATTGTTTCGTAAGAACTTCTTTAGCTTTTGATGCATCAAAGTTGTTGTCAGTTACTAATCCAAGTTTTTCCATTGAACATTCAACCATGCAGCATTTATGATCGTTCTTCTTCTTAGGTCTGCAAGTCTTCTTACATTTGTTATCCATCATACCATTATTAAAGAATTTTGGAAAGTTGCTGCAGCATTCGGATAATTCGGTCTTTGGAGGATTTTCACAACCAGGAATTTCTAAGGATATCAATTTAACATTTAAAGCTTTTAAATAGATTTTCGCGAAATTTTAGAAATAAATGTTAGACCTTCGACATTTCTTCTACCGCCTCTTGATTTTCTGCCATCTTTTCCTTTTTCTGCTGCAATCTATTTTATTATTTAGAAGTAGATTTCGTAGCAATACATTAAGTTAGAATACTTACCACAGCAATCAAACATAAGAATATCAAAAGACTTTTCATTTCTCACAGATATATTACAATGATTAACACGAAAATTAAGCTTAAAGCTTTTATAGTGTAACTATGGAGAAAATTTAAAACAAAAAATAATATTTTGTAGGAAGTGGTGAATGTTTGAATTCCAGAACATTTTCAATAGTTCCTGTGACTTACATTTGCCCGATCACTTTTTAGTTCTTCCTATGACCTTTCAAATTTTAAAATTAATTGGATTAAGGTGAAAATACATGAAATTTTTAATAAAATCTAAAATCGAAATTTAATAAAATCCTGCTGAAAAGTCATTGCATAGTCACACGACGAAACACTAATTTCTGAACTATTTAAATAAGACTTCAAAATTATTTTTTTTCTGTAGACCTTAATAATCTTTCAAGAAATTCAAAAGTTGATTGAATAATTCACCTTTCCTTTTTCTTACAGAGATGATGACGACAGAGTGATTGATAACAAACGAAAATGGAATCATTTTTGTAAACATAAAATTTTCTTTTCCTTTAAAACTATCTACAAAATTTCCAAGGGAATACAAAAGTTTATAAGAGAAATTTCCTTCATTTGAAGAAAACTGAAAAATAGCGAAACTTTTATTTGTACACCAAATTAATTAGCTAATAGACAAAATTAAAAAAAAAGTCAAAAAATTTGAATGAGAAAAAACATTTTTGCTTTGCTATTTATTAATATTGTTGATTATGTTGCAATATTGTAAAATTTTATTATTAAATAAAGAAATGATATTTATTTCAGTGTTATTTGCTTCAAAGTGTGTTTGCTATTTCTATGGTTATTCCTGAATCTTTCTGAATAAAGGAGCCTCATGGAAGGGAAATTTAGGACATCCTTTTCCAAAGCTGACCAGTTCTTTACATTCATCAGAAGTGGACATTCCAGGGCATTGGAAGAACAATTCACGATGGATGCAATTAACTATATGCATGATGTTTTTAGAATCTTTTGATTATTAAATAAAATATTTAGATATATCAACATATTAATCTCAAGTTTTATCACTCACCACTTGCTGCACATTCTTTAAAGATTTTGTCAATGATCTGATAAAATGAGAAGATAAATTGATTTATAAACCGATGTACCAAATCTTACTTACAACATTATTCCAAGCATCGTTTTCTCCCAATACCGATGTTAGACCTTCTTTGGCTTTTGATGCATCAAATTTGCTGTTAGTTGGGATTTTAAGGGTTTGCATTAAACCACCAATGAGAGGTTTCGGAAAATTAGCACAACATTCAGGTATTGTAGTTTTTGGAGGATTTTCACATGTGGGAGTAGCTATGAATAATCAACGAACGAGAATGTTAAATCCTTTTTACGAATTTTTAAAACATTTTTTAATTTTAAATAAATATTCACCTTCTCTCTTTTTGCCAGCACCATGGTTTTTTCGAGCCGTGATCTATAGAACAATTTTTAAAAAGAGCTAGAGAAACAGAAGTACCAAGCTGTAAGTATTACTTACCACTGCAATGAAACAAAATAATATCAGAAGAGTTTTCATTTTTTCAGAGATTTGAAAACGAATAACATGCAGAAAATGAAATCCAAACCATTTTATAGTGAAATTTAGGACACTAAAATTTTGCAGAAGAAAAAATGTTGTGTAGGAAATGCTAAATTTTATACACTAAAAATTAACATGTTCTTGAAAATAAAATGAAACAAATTTCCTGTATCTAATCTACGCTTCTTGTTTTTTGATAATTTGAAGTTTCAAATTACTTTTAAATAAAGGTACCTAGTAGGTATTTATATTTATATCCTATATATTTTATTTTAAAAGTGTTTGTAGTTTCGCTGCTGCTTCCTGTTGTTATATAAAATAAAATAAAAATATTTCTTTAAATGAATGAAAAAAAATTGTTTTTATTTAATTAAACAATTAATCGAACACCTATTGATGCTGAATTATAACANGAGTTTATAACAACACAGCTCGTTATGTCGACCAAGGTGGCAACAAACGTCCAGGAGCTTTCGCCATTTATCTTGAACCTTGGCATGGCGACATTTTTGAGTTCCTTGATTTGAAGAAAAACACTGGAAAAGAAGAAGCTCGAGCTCGTGACATGTTCTATGCTCTTTGGATCCCCGATTTGTTTATGCGTCGTGTTGAAAGTAATGGAATGTGGTCTTTGATGTGTCCTCATAACAGTCCAAATTTATTCGATACTTGGGGTGAAGATTTCGAGAAACTTTATGAAAAATAAGAAGCTGAAGGACGTTACATTCGTCAGGTGAAAGCTCAAGATCTTTGGTTTGCGATCATCGAGTCACAAGTTGAAACTGGAACTCCTTACATGCTTTATAAAGACGCTTGCAATCGCAAATCGAATCAACAGAACGTTGGCACTATTCGTTGCTCAAATCTATGCACAGAAATTGTTGAATATTCAAGCAAAGATGAAGTTGCAGTTTGTAACTTAGCTTCAATTGCTGTCAACATGTTTGTCGTTGCAAATAATGGAAGTAAGGATTATGACTTCAAGAAATTAAAGGAAGTGACAAAAACTGTCACAAAAAATCTCAATAAAATCATTGACGTTAATTACTATCCAGTTCCTGAAGCCAAACGATCAAATATGCGTCATCGTCCCATTGGAATTGGAGTTCAAGGCTTAGCTGATGCTTTCATTATGATGCGAATGCCTTTTGAATCTCCCGAAGCACAGAAACTTAATCAGCAAATCTTTGAAACAATTTATTACGGAGCATTGGAAGCAAGTTGTGAACTTGCTGAAGAATTTGGAACTTACGAGACTTATGAAGGATCGCCAGTATCTAAAGGAATTCTTCAATACGATATGTGGAATAAAACGCCAACAGATCTTTGGAATTGGTCCACTTTGAAGGAGAAAATTGCTAAGCATGGCGTTCGTAATTCATTGTTGGTGGCACCAATGCCGACTGCTTCAACGGCTCAAATTCTCGGCAACAATGAAAGCTTCGAACCATACACAAGCAACGTTTACAACCGACGTGTTCTTAGTGGAGAGTTTCAAGTTGTTAATCATCATCTCATCAAGGATTTGACTGAACGTGATTTGTGGGATGATGACATGAAAAATAAAATCATCGGCAACAACGGATCAATTCAATCAATTGAAGAAATTCCACAAGATATTCGTGAGATTTACAAGACCGTTTGGGAAATGTCAGTAAAGAATCAAATTCAAATGGCAGCTGATCGTGGTGCATTCATCGATCAATCACAATCATTTAATATTCACGTTGCTGAACCAAATTATGGAAAGTTGACTTCAATTCACTTCCATGCATGGAAAATGGGATTGAAAACTGGAATGTATTACTTACGTACAAAGCCAGCTGCTAATGCAATTCAATTCACTGTAGATAAGCAACGTTTGAATCAAAATGCATCCACAACTGTTAAGATGAATGGTAATGGAAATATTTCTTCACCAACTTCGCCTTCTTCTGCTCATAACTCACCAAATAAATCTGTTAATGGAACTGACGAACGTGAAAAGAAATTGGCTGAAATGGTTTGTTCATTGGAAAACAAAGATGATTGTTTGATGTGTGGATCTTAATTAACACAACATTTTATTCTTATAATTTTAATTCAATTGTATTTTTTAATCAAATAAAATTCACTTATCGGTTTCCATTTCATCAGAATCAGCTGAACCTTCATCTTCTTCATCGTCACTTTCATCTTCTTCACTTTCATTAGACGAAGAATCTTCACTGTCGCTTCCAAACCATGTCAATGAAGGAAGATTTCCAATATGTGTACGCCAAGCTTCAGTTTTATTGATGTCGAGTGAGTAAAAGTCACAAAGAGTGAAAAGTCGATTGCCTTGTTCGTAACTTCCACCAAAAACGTAAAGATTATGACGAACAAGAACAATTCCTGCATTCATTCTTGGTGATGGCCCGCCGACATCAATATAATCATGTTGCTCAACTGATGTTTGTTTTGATGGAGCAGCACCACCAACTGTTACTGTGAAAACACCGTCAGTTGTGGTCTTAATTGGAGTCACTTCCATCACTTCTTCATTTGATGATTTCTGAGGCTGGAAAAAAGAAATTAAAATCTTATTTGATTAGATATTTAGCAATTTCTTACCTGTTCAGATTTTCTTGGTTTAATTTCAACTTTTCTCCAAACTAATCCACCACCAGATGTGTCGAGAAAATGAATTTCATTGCTGAATTGACCTCTAAGATTTTCATCATCTTCTTCTGTGTCCATTACACCTCCAAATGTATAAATTCTTCCACCATAACCAGATGTACAAGCGACAGCACTCCTAGGTGCTGGTCGACGACCACCAGGCTTGATATTAAATGAATGAAAAAAAATTGTTTTTATTTAATTAAACAATTAATCGAACACCTATTGATGCTGAATTATAACATTTGCTATTGGAAGCTCTTCTCAACACAAATGGTGTTAAACCTTTAAATTTTTTAAACATTGCAATGAGTTGTATAAGGCCGTTCCATGTTATGTATCCAATTCCACCAACTCTTCCTTCAGAAAGGGAAAAACTTGACATGGTGATGTAGCCGATTGTTTCCCTTGAACATTGATTTCTGACCTTTGTTGCTTTCATCGGCAATACCAATTCACAATTTTTTTCAAATTGTGCCTCGATAATCTTTTCTGCTGTTGACTTTGGGATTGTCACATGATTAGTTGCAGTTGCTTGTAACTTTCTTTTCATTCTTACACGACGATTTCTTAATCGCTTCAAAAGTTTCTTGTGATGAAATCGCAACAATTTTCTTTCCTTTTCACAAGGATCTTTAGCATCAGGTTCAATGAGTATTGGCTCTTGACTGTGTTGATATCTTAATGTCAACGCTCTTTTAATGTCGCGTTTTCTTGGTAGACATAAAATTCCAAAATCTCCAGGCGTTCCTCTTGCATTTATTGAAATCTTAATAGGAATGACAGCATGGGAATCCACATGAAAATCACAATGAAAATTACTTGGATTTTTAAGCAACTCTTTAATATTTTCAAGTGATTTTCTATTTCTTAGAACGTAGAATTTCTCTGACTCCAAATTTCCCCATTCTTTAACTAATTGAACAAAAGGAAATGAAAATGGCGATGTTATGCTCATTTTCCTATAATTTGTTCTTTTATTCGGAGGTTTCTTAAAATATTCATCTCGTTTCAACTTGAGATTTCTCGAACTTTCTTTTAATCCTGAGACTGTATCTGGAAGGAACGTATCAACTATCACTTCATGGTTGAAAGTTAAAATATCTCGCCAACCTCCTGGTTTCGATCCACATTTTAAAAGTGATAGCCAAACACTCATTCCATAACCAGCTGGCACAATAATGTCCCATCCAGCTCCTAATCCCAATCGACCGTCATTAAAACTTGAGCTTCCTGGTCGTTGAATTAAAAGTATTGGAACAGGTTGCAGTAATTTCGTTTCAAATATCGAAGCAGTTCCGGGCACAAGTTGCTTTTGATTTCTTAACTTTTGTAACTCTGCTGTTGTCATCATACTCTTTGTAATGTTATCTCGAAATTCTTTATTCCAAATAGGAGATTGCGATATATTTTCTAAAGCATCAACAAAAAGATCTGAAACATGACTTTGTTCGAATTTAGAATTTTCTCTTTTTGCAGGTCGATTCGTTCTTGGATCGACGATGTTAAGCCCAATGACAGCGAAAGGTGAGAACTCTGATGGCGAGTTAAATTCCATTGTTTTCCAAATTTTCTCTTGATTTTCTAGAATTTCTTTCCATTGCTCGTCTTCAGTAACAAAACTCTCCATCCATTGACTCATTCCAGAATCACAACATGGCTTCAATGATTTATGAATGACAGCATTTGAATAAGGTCCAGTCAATCTGAATCTATTCAAAGTATCTCTAAGTTCAATAACTTCAATTGAATTTTCTTCGTTTTTATATTTAGGATTTCTTTGAAATGAATCGTTTTTCGTGGTAATCTTAGGATCAGAGCTGCGTTCATCATGACTGACATTCTGAAGTTCAAAGAGAGAAACAAGCTCTTCAAGAACTTCTTGATAAGCTGTGGGGTGAACAAACATCCATAAAGTTCTTCTAAGTTTATCACTTGAAGGTTTCCACATAAACGAAACACGAGCCAAAGCACCATAAGGATATTGATTAATTTTAAATAAGTCAATGTGTCCTTCTCGACAACCTTTCTGATAGCATTTTGCCATTAATGTTAATCCACAGTCTTTCGATGTCATTAATTCAAACTTTTCTCCAAGATAATCAAAATTTCCTGAAATTTCAATTCCACCGAAAAAGCTTAAATCGTGGACGAGACAATGATTTGCTGCTGCTTTGTAGTTAGCTCGATAACGTTTATCAGTTGTAACAAAAGGAATCTTATAGCCCCAAAGTTCTTTCATATGAAAGCGTTTTGCATGCCAAATATGAGTTTCAAGCCATTTAAACTTCTTCGTTCTTCTCTCGTACTCCTTCATGAGATTGCTTGGTTTTCGACGATATTTTCGAGATGGTCTTGATTTCTTCACGTTGGGACCTGATTTACTCATTTGATTCATGTGTATTTGTCTATATTTTAATGGTAATCTCTTTGGATTATGCGACATTGCTCGTCTCCGCATATGGTTTGGAAGCATTTGATGAACAAGCATCTCACTCTTTGTCGTAGTAATATCATTATATAGTTTTCTCAGTTCTCGAATACGAGCAGCTACATGTTGAATTACTGGAACTCCAGATGGTAAACAAATTTTTCCTTTCCGATCATCAAAACTTAAATCTTTATCAACTTCCATGATTTGTTTTTATTTCTTGCCAATCTCCTAAAAAATCAAAAAATGCAATGACAATTAATACTTGAAGTAAGAACATAATTAAAATACTACCAAAATGATGATGTAATATAATTTTTTCTTCTTTATTAACGTTATTTATTCAATTAAGTCATATAAATTTGCCGATTTCTTAAATGTGCTTGTTTACGTTACGTTCGGATTTTATTCAATGTTTTGTTCGGATAAAATATTCGAAAATATTTTCAAAAACGCGGGAATTTTCAAATTTCTTCCTATCGTTTTTCTTTAGGTACCTATTATAAACATTAATTGACTTCAACGATCGATTTTTTAAATTGAAAATGATGATCAGATTCTTACTCCCGCGGGGCCTCAGAATGAATTTTGAACTTAATCGAAGGACCCACAAGTTTGATCTTATTTATCATCTTTCTCTTCATTTTAGTTTGTCAGTCAAAGAAGAAAGACGTCAGATAATAAACGCTTCAGCCTGAAAAATATTTAAAGGAAATTCAACACCAAAGATTAAAAATTAAAGGTGAGTGTAATTAAATGAAAGTTTTCAGACTTGTGAAATGACAAATATAGGTATTTCAGAAGTCTCATGAAAACTTTCAATAATAAAACAGAACAAGGAATCATTTTTTTAATTAAACTTTCTTTTTCTATTTTCAGTTTTTTAAAGGCAAGAAATTAGAACATAATTCTAAAAATGGAAACCGGAACGGAAGGAAAATATACTTGCGTTATTTTTAGACATCGATACAACGGGTTGTCGTTTAACTCATGAGGTAAGCAGTTAAGATAACCTATATTAAACATCTATTTAGATTGTTAACATTGCTTGCTTACACATCAGATGCACAATTTCAACTACATATCATGCCTTTAATGAATTTGAATCATGGGCACGCCAAGATGATCAGATTCGTGTAATGAATGCTGGATGCTTCCGTAAGCTGAAATCTTTAGAAACTTATAAGGTAAAGTTATGAAATTTACGTCACGTGTTTTCATTTTGTTAATCTAAGAAACAAAATTTTCACAGATAATAAACAAAAACTGAAATCGAAGCACTCTTAGATTGCCTTGATTGGCTGGATACCATCAATGCCAAAGATTGAATCATTTCGTGTATCACGATCAGGCGAAATTTACGCCTTACATAGTTATAGAAGCCATGTGCAAATGTCGTCTCATGGAACGATTTGAAAAGATTGTCAAGTCATTTGCTACTGGCTACAATTTAGCGAGTGAAAAGCATGGTGCAATTGAAACTCGTTTTCTGAACTTATGTCAGAATATAAATGCTCAGAGAGAACTTCAACTGCTCGTGCCAAACTTAGTTATAATATTTGCAGTGGCACTTGTAGGATTAATAATGCATCTGAATCGTTCTCGAGAAATCGAATTATTTTTGATTTCTTATATTGATTTTTTTTTCAGCAATTTTAATTCCTAAGACTTGCCAAAATGAAACGCTAGAAGAATGGTCTGTTTGTATTTGTACTCCTTTATCTTCTGTTGTTATTGATCTTATTTCAGGCTACAAATATAAAAAAATACTTGAGATAAATGATTCTTTTCAATAATTCATTTAGATAGGAACAATACTTACAAGATGGTGCTTTAAGTATGGTGCAAAGCTGAACTCCTTCGTTAAGCTGCCCACATAGCCGCCTCGAATTTCGATCCGAATTTTCTGCACTCTTCTATGTCTGCTTCTTTATCAATCTTGGAGTGTTCCTCTTGGACCTTCTTCCATACATAACAAAATAAAACATTAAACATTGATTTTGTTTGGACAGTTCTTCGTTTAATGTTTTCTATTTTTTTTCTTGTTCAGAGTTTAATTTATTAATTTCTTCATTATATGAACAAAAATAAATTAGTAGGTACCTAATAAATATTTCTTACTTACCAATTTGATTTTTTAATTATGAGAAAAGTTAGTATGTACAATAAACATTTTTCAGCTTGCAATACATCGGAGAAATTCTTCACATTTATAAGTAGTCTACATTGTACATTTATAAGTAACTTTAAATCATCAATTTTTGTCAGTTGCAAAATTTAAATTTTGCAAATTCATGTGACATCACTTATAATGTTGTCAATTTACTTTTCCCGCCATAAGTTATCAACACAGAATTGCTGAGAGTTCATTCTTTTATTTTGTTTTGTTGCGTAAAGAAGCTACTTAATATACAAAATAATCTTAAAATTTATCTAAACCATTCATTAATCATATTCTCGTCGTTTATTTGCAAGAAAGAACGTCAAAATGGGAAAAATCGGCAAAATGTTCGTTGTTAAGCGAGGTTGGTAAAATGAAACTAAAGAAAATGTCGCTTTGACTAATTTTAGCCTTTTCATGTTTAAATTAGATGGAAGAAAGGAAGAAATTCATTTCGATAAAATTACATCAAGAATCCAGAAACTTTGTTATGGTCTCAACATGGATTTTGTTGATCCTGTAAGTTTTGAAATGTTGTGAAATCTTTCCAATTAATTATCAATCACATATTTAATAGGTTTCCATAACATTGAAAGTTATTAATGGTCTCTATACTGGCGTAACAACAGTTGAACTTGATAATTTAGCAGCTGAGACGGCTGCAACAATGACAACTGACCATGCAGATTACGCCGTTCTTGCAGCTCGTATTGCTGTATCGAATTTACACAAAGAAACTAAAAAACAATTCAGTGATGTTATGGATGACCTCTTCAACATGGAAAACGAATATTTGAAGAAGAAAACACCAATGATAAGTGATTTCCATCATGACATCATAATGAAGAATGCTGATCGCTTAAATTCGGCAATTATCTATGATCGTGACTTTGGTTACAACTATTTTGGATTCAAAACCTTGGAGCGAAGCTACTTGTTGAGAATCAAAGGAAAGATTGTCGAACGTCCACAACATATGTTAATGCGAGTTGCTGTTGGCATTCATGGCGAAGATATTGATGCAGCAATTGAAACTTACAATTTATTGTCGGAACGATATTTCACGCATGCCTCTCCAACACTCTTCGCAGCTGCAACACCTCGACCACAATTGTCTTCATGTTTCTTATTGTCAATGTCCGAGGATTCTATTGAAGGCATTTATGGAACTCTCATGCAATGTTCATTGATCAGTAAATCAGCAGGAGGCATTGGATTAAATGTTCATTGCATTCGAGCCAAAGGAAGCTACATTGCTGGCACAAATGGGATTTCAAATGGTCTCGTTCCCATGCTGAGAGTTTATAACAACACAGCTCGTTATGTCGACCAAGGTGGCAACAAACGTCCAGGAGCTTTCGCCATTTATCTTGAACCTTGGCATGGCGACATTTTTGAGTTCCTTGATTTGAAGAAAAACACTGGAAAAGAAGAAGCTCGAGCTCGTGACATGTTCTATGCTCTTTGGATCCCCGATTTGTTTATGCGTCGTGTTGAAAGTAATGGAATGTGGTCTTTGATGTGTCCTCATAACAGTCCAAATTTATTCGATACTTGGGGTGAAGATTTCGAGAAACTTTATGAAAAATAAGAAGCTGAAGGACGTTACATTCGTCAGGTGAAAGCTCAAGATCTTTGGTTTGCGATCATCGAGTCACAAGTTGAAACTGGAACTCCTTACATGCTTTATAAAGACGCTTGCAATCGCAAATCGAATCAACAGAACGTTGGCACTATTCGTTGCTCAAATCTATGCACAGAAATTGTTGAATATTCAAGCAAAGATGAAGTTGCAGTTTGTAACTTAGCTTCAATTGCTGTCAACATGTTTGTCGTTGCAAATAATGGAAGTAAGGATTATGACTTCAAGAAATTAAAGGAAGTGACAAAAACTGTCACAAAAAATCTCAATAAAATCATTGACGTTAATTACTATCCAGTTCCGGAAGCCAAACGATCAAATATGCGTCATCGTCCCATTGGAATTGGAGTTCAAGGCTTAGCTGATGCTTTCATTATGATGCGAATGCCTTTTGAATCTCCCGAAGCACAGAAACTTAATCAGCAAATCTTTGAAACAATTTATTACGGAGCATTGGAAGCAAGTTGTGAACTTGCTGAAGAATTTGGAACTTACGAGACTTATGAAGGATCGCCAGTATCTAAAGGAATTCTTCAATACGATATGTGGAATAAAACGCCAACAGATCTTTGGAATTGGTCCACTTTGAAGGAGAAAATTGCTAAGCATGGCGTTCGTAATTCATTGTTGGTGGCACCAATGCCGACTGCTTCAACGGCTCAAATTCTCGGCAACAATGAAAGCTTCGAACCATACACAAGCAACGTTTACAACCGACGTGTTCTTAGTGGAGAGTTTCAAGTTGTTAATCATCATCTCATCAAGGATTTGACTGAACGTGATTTGTGGGATGATGACATGAAAAATAAAATCATCGGCAACAACGGATCAATTCAATCAATTGAAGAAATTCCACAAGATATTCGTGAGATTTACAAGACCGTTTGGGAAATGTCAGTAAAGAATCAAATTCAAATGGCAGCTGATCGTGGTGCATTCATCGATCAATCACAATCATTTAATATTCACGTTGCTGAACCAAATTATGGAAAGTTGACTTCAATTCACTTCCATGCATGGAAAATGGGATTGAAAACTGGAATGTATTACTTACGTACAAAGCCAGCTGCTAATGCAATTCAATTCACTGTAGATAAGCAACGTTTGAATCAAAATGCAACCACAACTGTTAAGATGAATGGTAATGGAAATATTTCTTCACCAACTTCGCCTTCTTCTGCTCATAACTCACCAAATAAATCTGTTAATGGAACTGACGAACGTGAAAAGAAATTGGCTGAAATGGTTTGTTCATTGGAAAACAAAGATGATTGTTTGATGTGTGGATCTTAATTAACACAACATTTTATTCTTATAATTTTAATTCAATTGTATTTTTTAATCAAATAAAATTCACTTATCGGTTTCCATTTCATCAGAATCAGCTGAACCTTCATCTTCTTCATCGTCACTTTCATCTTCTTCACTTTCATTAGACGAAGAATCTTCACTGTCGCTTCCAAACCATGTCAATGAAGGAAGATTTCCAATATGTGTACGCCAAGCTTCAGTTTTATTGATGTCGAGTGAGTAAAAGTCACAAAGAGTGAAAAGTCGATTGCCTTGTTCGTAACTTCCACCAAAAACGTAAAGATTATGACGAACAAGAACAATTCCCGCATTCATTCTTGGCGATGGACCACCGACATCAATATAATCATGTTGCTCAACTGATGTTTGTTTTGATGGAGCAGCACCACCAACTGTTACTGTGAAAACACCGTCAGTTGTGGTCTTAATTGGAGTCACTTCCATCACTTCTTCATTTGATGATTTCTGAGGCTGGAAAAAAGAAATTAAAATCTTATTTGATTAGATATTTAGCAATTTCTTACCTGTTCAGATTTTCTTGGTTTAATTTCAACTTTTCTCCAAACTAATCCACCACCAGATGTGTCGAGAAAATGAATTTCATTGCTGAATTGACCTCTAAGATTTTCATCATCTTCTTCTGTGTCCATTACACCTCCAAATGTATAAATTCTTCCACCATAACCAGATGTACAAGCGACAGCACTCCTAGGTGCTGGTCGACGACCACCAGGCTTGATATTACTCCACTTCCATTTACCACCATCAACTTCTTGTAGCATGAAACTGTCGTTGTGAGTGATTCCTCTTTCAGCATCTGACTTGGCACTTGTTTTTGTATAACCACCAGTAATAATGACTTTACCATCTTCAGTTGCTCCCATTATAACTCCTGAACGGGGTGATGGAGCAATACCTGAAGTTTCCAACTTTGTCCAATTGTAACTTTCCAAAGAAAAACAATAAACGTCGTTGAAATATTGATAACTGTTATTGTTGTCATGAAATCCACCAAATAAAATGATTCGTTTCTTTGTCAAGACCATTCGATGACCACTGCGAGCTGACGGGCCATTTGGTGCATTGAGTTTCTCCCATTTTTTTGTTTTTAATTGAAATCGCCAAAGATCACGAAAGTGAAGATATTGGAGTTGAGATGGAGAAGCAAATTCACCACCGAAAAGATAAAATTCGCCACCATTTTGAGCTGAAACAATCATTTGATGTCCTGATCTTGGTGTTGGAGTGGGTGAGGCATTTATTTGCTTCCATTCGTTCTTAATTGTGTTAAATGTGAAAAAATTTCCAAACACATCGGTTTTATTTCCATTGAAAAATTCCCCACCAAAAATATAAATTATATCATCAAATGAACAAATTGAGAAGTTGGTTCTTGAGGAAGGTGGTGCACAGAGCAGTTCTGCTGTCTCAAGAGCGTTTGACGTTTGAAATGATGAAACAATATTCTCGATATCGTCCTTTAAAATAAATTTTTAGGTTAAAATGTTTTCATTTGTTTACAAATAAAAATTTTTCTTCGTTATTTACTTCGCCAAGTTTTTGAAGCAATTTCTTTTGTTTTGCGATGAGTTTCTTATCGGTTTTTGCTGTTGTTTTCTCTACTCCGAATCCTTTTTTCTTTTTCTTATCTTTTTTACCCATTTTTATTTTTATTCACTACTTAATAACAGAATTTCAGAATAAAAAGTTGTAAACGAGTTTATATTCAGTTGATTGAAGGGGAAAATAATAAAAAACGTCATGTTAAAATATATTTTAAATTTTATTTTTTATCAATTTTTTCGTTTTGCAAAACTTTATGTTTCTTTACAAAGCTTTTAAAATTTTGTTCTTCCATTTCTTCATCTCCAACACTCACAAACTTTTCTTCAACTCCTTCTTCATCCTCTGAGCTTTCATTTGCTGGATGTTTGAGATACATATCAGATATTTCACGACCTGTGTTTACTTCATTGAGTAGTGGTGCAATATTCACTTCTGCATTTGATGATTGACCAGCTTTTTTTAGTTCAAGTTCTTCTCTTTTTTTAATTTCTTCAGATTTCTCTTTGCGTAATTTCTCATATTCAACTTTATAATCTTTGTGATATTCTTGAACAGCTTCTGCAACAAGTTCATAAAAATGGCTGAAACCTGCTCCTGTCTTTGCTGAAACACCACAAGATTTTAAATCATTATAGAACTCATCAAGTGTCAATGACATTGTTCTTGTTAAGTTGCTGACATAAGATGTCTCAGACTCGAGTGCTTCCTGAAATATTTCGAAATCTTTCATCCAATCAATAGCAAATTCGTGACTTTGAACATCAATCTTATTGAGTACGACAATAAATGGTAATCTGGTTTTGTAAAGAATTGAACAAGCATACAACATGTTAGACATAAATGTTGTGGGACTTGCAGATCTAACGACATCCATAACATAAACTACAATTGTCGGGAATCTTGTAGCAAGCGCTTCAGTAATAATTGTTCCAGATGCCGACCATGTGAACACTTCAATTTGGCCTGGAGTGTCTAATACGCAATATTTGTGATTCTTCTCTCCAGCTTTCTCAATCAATTCAATAACTTTGTCAAATTTTGTTGAGAAAAGATTTAATGCAGTTACAATGCTGTGAATGAATCATTTCACATTAAAATGAAATTGAAATAAAGTTTATGTTAATTTACCCGCCATTTGGACCAAGATTATATTGTTTCATTACTTGTTTGTAATTAATAGTATCCCTGATATCAATATTTACTGGATAAGGCACTTCTTTGCATGCCGGATCGAGGTTGACAATGTAAGGATTGAAATCTTCCCGTTGAAATTGTGCTAACTTTTTGACAAACGTTGTTTTTCCACTTCCTGCCATTCCAAGTACTACCATGCAAATGGGTTGTTGCTTGATATCAAAACTTCCCTGTTGTTTCGCATCCATTCTTGTAATTTTTTGTATGATTTTGTTAGAGTTTGTTTATGTTTACTATTCCTGCCTTTGAAAATTCCTTCACTACCAGTTCATACCCCTGAACATATTTTTGCACAATATTTTTCCAACCCCTTAAACTTCCCCTCAAAACGGTCAGTAAATAAGGAAGAAAATTTTATTTCGTTAATAATAAGTCATGGACGCTGCAGGAATGGATCAAGGTGTCCATGTAAAGTCTAAGCGACCATCAGGTTTGTTGAAAATAATGAGTAGAGCAGTTAATTAAGAAGTACTCATGGATTTCTTTCGATTTTCAGATTCGAATTTTAAGCAACAAAGGTGTTGATTTTTTTTTCTTTTCGTGAGAACTTATTTGACATTAATTTTTCATAATACGTTTTGAACATAAATAGATTACCCAGCTGGCAACCTGTTCTCACTGCTGGAACAGTATTACCTACATTTTTCATCATTTATTCCAGTTGGTGTTACTTTGCTCTTCTTTTCCAATAACGTGAGTCATAAACACGAAAATCATTCAATTAGAAAAGTATCTTATCCAAATATCATTTAATTCTTAACCAACATAGATATCAGAACATATCGAAGACTATACGCAATGCATCAAGGTCGGTAGTAACAACATTACTTGTGCTGATGAGATTAAATCCAACCCCCAAGGGTCGTGCAAATGTGAAATCAGATTTGATCTCAAAGAGGATTTTATTGGAAATGTCTTCATGTATTATGGATTGACGAATTTTTATCAAAATCATCGAAGATATGTAAGATCACGCGATGATAATCAATTGCTTGGTGAATTAGATTCACCAGTGTCATCAGATTGCATTCCGTTTAGAGAAAATGCTGATGGAAAGTCAATCGTTCCTTGTGGTGCAATTGCTAATTCATTGTTCAACGATACCTTGACTTTAAGTTCACTTTCACATGGAACAGTTGAAACAATCAACACTGGAATTGCATGGCCATCAGACAAAGAAATCAAGTTTAGAAATCCGCCTGGGGACTTAAGAACAGGTGAATGTCAATTTTCTTGCATAAACGATTTTCAATCACAAAACGTCGACTTTTCATTTCACAGCCCTTCAGGGATTTTCTCGACCAATTGCATGGAATCGAGAGTTGTGGGAGTTGGATACAGAGAATCCAAGCAATAATGGATTACAAAACGAAGATTTGATTGTTTGGATGAGAACAGCTGCTTTACCCAACTTTAGAAAACTTTATCGTCGTGTCAAATATGAAGGAACACACTTTGATGGATTGTTACCAAGAGGACGCTACGTTTTGAATATTGATTACAGTAAGTTGAATTTGGATCGATAATTTATGTTTATTCAATTTTAAACGACACATTTTACGCAGATTATCCCGTAACACAATTTGATGGAACCAAATCTTTTATTCTCTCAACGACGTCAATTCTTGGAGGGAAAAATCCATTCCTAGGCTACGCATATATTGTTGTTGGTGGCATTTGTCTTCTTCTTGGTTTTATTTTGCTATTTGTTCATCTAAAATACCGAAGGTCAGTCTATCAAATCAATTTTAATTGAATATCCTGTGGCAATAACATAGAATAATTTGTAATTAAAATTTCAGCCACCCGCAATCAGCAGCTACAAGCGCAACTCCGTATACGTAAATCAATGACAAAAGAGTATTAAAAAATTAATTTTGTGAAGAAGAGAAAAGGAAATTAGAACAAAGCTGTTTGCCACTTAAAAACAAATTTTACTGACACTGCAGCAACTAAACAATTCACTCTAATGCAAACAACCAAGTTATTAATTTTTATTATTGCAAGTTGCACCATTTCAGCATTGAATTTAAGTTGTTGCCAAAACAAGCAAAGCACATAAAAAAAGGGAAATTCTTGTTAATTTCGTTACTCGCCCCCGATCTAAAATTGATTTTTCTCCTTTAAATATGAAATAGAAAATTTGTATTCGTTTCTTGTTACGGTAGAAAATTCTGCGCCCAGTTTTTCCAACTTCTCAATTTCTCTTCAAGTCAATTTTCACATTTCGTGACTGTTTAACATCAATTTTTCGCAAACTTGTTATCTTTTCTTAGTTCTTTTATTATTTTTTGTTGCTGTTGTTCCCTTTATAGAGGCGAACGCTCGCAAAATGAAAGCAAAATGTCAAGGAGAAAGTTTTTTTTATTTGTGATTTTAATTAAATCAAGGCTCTTAATAGAGCCTTTTGGCTAATCAACCTCTTATTTAATTATTGCTTCGACCTTATACTTGATAGTTGTAAGTCAGACTTTAAATTTTGTTAATTGTTATCAAAGCTTATATCTACTTATAATATTGTACACGCTATTTGACGTATGTACCTCCAAAGAGACAGACAAGAAGCATTGACTATTTATTAAATATATTAAAAAGCTATGTTTGAAGCACTTCATAACATGAAACAGTTTTATTAATGTCTAAGTGTCCTTTAAATGTTACAAATATGTCGAAGAATGAAAGCGTTTCCACGACAAACGTGAAAACGATAAATAAAGCAAAGGTTTATCAATAAGCAAGCCATGTGTTTTATTATATTTTCATAAATAAATATCTGCACCTCAACTCTGCTTAGTAAGTACTCTCTCTATCTCTCTCGCTTCTAGCTTCATTCAATTTCTTTTCTTCCCATTCTTGATTCCCGACGAAGTGATTCATTCAAATCGGAATCCTTTTTAACAACCGAGAGCGAAAACTTGACTCTCTCTATCGAAGGAATATGAAAGTATTGTCAACATTTCATTCAAACTGTTTTTACTTTTTTTCATTCTGTTCATTCTCGACGAAACGATTGTTTTCTTGTTGGTGGAAAACTACGCAGAAGCAGANCGTGAGAACTTATTTGACATTAATTTTTCATAATACGTTTTGAACATAAATAGATTACCCAGCTGGCAACCTGTTCTCACTGCTGGAACAGTATTACCTACATTTTTCATCATTGGTATTGCATTTATTCCAGTTGGTGTTACTTTGCTCTTCTTTTCCAATAACGTGAGTCATAAACACAAAAATCATTCAATTAGAAAAGTATCTTATCCAAATATCATTTAATTCTTAACCAACATAGATATCAGAACATATCGAAGACTATACGCAATGCATCAAGGTCGGTAGTAACAACATTACTTGTGCTGATGAGATTAAATCCAACCCCCAAGGGTCGTGCAAATGTGAAATCAGATTTGATCTCAAAGAGGATTTTATTGGAAATGTCTTCATGTATTATGGATTGACGAATTTTTATCAAAATCATCGAAGATATGTAAGATCACGCGATGATAATCAATTGCTTGGTGAATTAGATTCACCAGTGTCATCAGATTGCATTCCGTTTAGAGAAAATGCTGATGGAAAGTCAATCGTTCCTTGTGGTGCAATTGCTAATTCATTGTTCAACGATACCTTGACTTTAAGTTCACTTTCACATGGAACAGTTGAAACAATCAACACTGGAATTGCATGGCCATCAGACAAAGAAATCAAGTTTAGAAATCCGCCTGGGGACTTAAGAACAGGTGAATGTCAATTTTCTTGCATAAACGATTTTCAATCACAAAACGTCGACTTTTCATTTCACAGCCCTTCAGGGATTTTCTCGACCAATTGCATGGAATCGAGAGTTGTGGGAGTTGGATACAGAGAATCCAAGCAATAATGGATTACAAAACGAAGATTTGATTGTTTGGATGAGAACAGCTGCTTTACCCAACTTTAGAAAACTTTATCGTCGTGTCAAATATGAAGGAACACACTTTGATGGATTGTTACCAAGAGGACGCTACGTTTTGAATATTGATTACAGTAAGTTGAATTTGGATCGATAATTTATGTTTATTCAATTTTAAACGACACATTTTACGCAGATTATCCCGTAACACAATTTGATGGAACCAAATCTTTTATTCTCTCAACGACGTCAATTCTTGGAGGGAAAAATCCATTCCTAGGCTACGCATATATTGTTGTTGGTGGCATTTGTCTTCTTCTTGGTTTTATTTTGCTATTTGTTCATCTAAAATACCGAAGGTCAGTCTATCAAATCAATTTTAATTGAATATCCTGTGGCAATAACATAGAATAATTTGTAATTAAAATTTCAGCCACCCGCAATCAGCAGCTACAAGCGCAACTCCGTATACGTAAATCAATGACAAAAGAGTATTAAAAAATTAATTTTGTGAAGAAGAGAAAAGGAAATTAGAACAAAGCTGTTTGCCACTTAAAAACAAATTTTACTGACACTGCAGCAACTAAGATCAACGATTCTTACCCCTGCGGGGCCCCGGAATGAATTTATTTGAACTTAATCGAAGGACCCTCAAGTTTGATCTTATCATCTTTCTCTTCATTCTATTTTGTCAGTCAAAGAAAAAAGACGTCAGATAATAAACGTTTCAGCCTGAAAAAGATTTAAAGGAAATTCAACACCAAAGATTAAAAATTAAAGGTGAGTGTAATTAAATGAAAGTTTTCAGACTTGTGAAATGACAAATATAGGTATTTCAGAAGTCTCATGAAAAATTTAATTAAAGGAATCATTTTTTTAATTAAACTTTCTTTTTTTNATTCTTGAACAGCTTCTGCAACAAGTTCATAAAAATGGCTGAAACCTGCTCCTGTCTTTGCTGAAACACCACAAGATTTTAAATCATTATAGAACTCATCAAGTGTCAATGACATTGTTCTTGTTAAGTTGCTGACATAAGATGTCTCAGACTCGAGTGCTTCCTGAAATATTTCGAAATCTTTCATCCAATCAATAGCAAATTCGTGACTTTGAACATCAATCTTATTGAGTACGACAATAAATGGTAATCTGGTTTTGTAAAGAATTGAACAAGCATACAACATGTTAGACATAAATGTTGTGGGACTTGCAGATCTAACGACATCCATAACATAAACTACAATTGTCGGGAATCTTGTAGCAAGCGCTTCAGTAATAATTGTTCCAGATGCCGACCATGTGAACACTTCAATTTGGCCTGGAGTGTCTAATACGCAATATTTGTGATTCTTCTCTCCAGCTTTCTCAATCAATTCAATAACTTTGTCAAATTTTGTTGAGAAAAGATTTAATGCAGTTACAATGCTGTGAATGAATCATTTCACATTAAAATGAAATTGAAATAAAGTTTATGTTAATTTCCCCGCCATTTGGACCAAGATTATATTGTTTCATTACTTGTTTGTAATTAATAGTATCCCTGATATCAATATTTACTGGATAAGGCACTTCTTTGCATGCCGGATCGAGGTTGACAATGTAAGGATTGAAATCTTCCCGTTGAAATTGTGCTAACTTTTTGACAAACGTTGTTTTTCCACTTCCTGCCATTCCAAGTACTACCATGCAAATGGGTTGTTGCTTGATATCAAAACTTCCCTGTTGTTTCGCATCCATTCTTGTAATTTTTTGTATGATTTTGTTTAGAGTTTGTTTATATTTACTATTCCTGCCCCTGAAAATTCCTTCACTACCAGTTCATACCCCTGAACATATTTTTGCACAATATTTTTCCAACCCCTTAAACTTCCCCTCAATACGGTCAGTAAATAAGGAAGAAAATTTTATTTCGTTAATAATAAGTCATGGACGTTGCAGGAATGGATCAAGGTGTCCATGTAAAGTCTAAGCGACCATCAGGTTTGTTGAAAATAATGAGTAGAGCAGTTAATTAAGAAGTACTCATGGATTTCTTTCGATTTTCAGATTCGAATTTTAAGCAACAAAGGTGATTGATTTTTTTTTCTTTTCGTGAGAACTTATTTGACATTAATTTTTCATAATACGTTTTGAACATAAATAGATTACCCAGCTGGCAACCTGTTCTCACTGCTGGAACAGTATTACCTACATTTTTCATCATTGGTATTGCATTTATTCCAGTTGGTGTTACTTTGCTCTTCTTTTCCAATAACGTGAGTCATAAACACGAAAATCATTCAATTAGAAAAGTATCTTATCCAAATATCATTTAATTCTTAACCAACATAGATATCAGAACATATCGAAGACTATACGCAATGCATCAAGGTCGGTAGTAACAACATTACTTGTGCTGATGAGATTAAATCCAACCCCCAAGGGTCGTGCAAATGTGAAATCAGATTTGATCTCAAAGAGGATTTTATTGGAAATGTCTTCATGTATTATGGATTGACGAATTTTTATCAAAATCATCGAAGATATGTAAGATCACGCGATGATAATCAATTGCTTGGTGAATTAGATTCACCAGTGTCATCAGATTGCATTCCGTTTAGAGAAAATGCTGATGGAAAGTCAATCGTTCCTTGTGGTGCAATTGCTAATTCATTGTTCAACGATACCTTGACTTTAAGTTCACTTTCACATGGAACAGTTGAAACAATCAACACTGGAATTGCATGGCCATCAGACAAAGAAATCAAGTTTAGAAATCCGCCTGGGGACTTAAGAACAGGTGAATGTCAATTTTCTTGCATAAACGATTTTCAATCACAAAACGTCGACTTTTCATTTCACAGCCCTTCAGGGATTTTCTCGACCAATTGCATGGAATCGAGAGTTGTGGGAGTTGGATACAGAGAATCCAAGCAATAATGGATTACAAAACGAAGATTTGATTGTTTGGATGAGAACAGCTGCTTTACCCAACTTTAGAAAACTTTATCGTCGTGTCAAATATGAAGGAACACACTTTGATGGATTGTTACCAAGAGGACGCTACGTTTTGAATATTGATTACAGTAAGTTGAATTTGGATCGATAATTTATGTTTATTCAATTTTAAACGACACATTTTACGCAGATTATCCCGTAACACAATTTGATGGAACCAAATCTTTTATTCTCTCAACGACGTCAATTCTTGGAGGGAAAAATCCATTCCTAGGCTACGCATATATTGTTGTTGGTGGCATTTGTCTTCTTCTTGGTTTTATTTTGCTATTTGTTCATCTAAAATACCGAAGGTCAGTCTATCAAATCAATTTTAATTGAATATCCTGTGGCAATAACATAGAATAATTTGTAATTAAAATTTCAGCCACCCGCAATCAGCAGCTACAAGCGCAACTCCGTATACGTAAATCAATGACAAAAGAGTATTAAAAAATTAATTTTGTGAAGAAGAGAAAAGGAAATTAGAACAAAGCTGTTTGCCACTTAAAAACAAATTTTACTGACACTGCAGCAACTAAACAATTCACTCTAATGCAAACAACCAAGTTATTAATTTTTATTATTGCAAGTTGCACCATTTCAGCATTGAATTTAAGTTGTTGCCAAAACAAGCAAAGCACATAAAAAAAGGGAAATTCTTGTTAATTTCGTTACTCGCCCCCGATCTAAAATTGATTTTTCTCCTTTAAATATGAAATAGAAAATTTGTATCCGTTTCTTGTTACGGTAGAAAATTCTGCGCCCAGTTTTTCCAACTTCTCAATTTCTCTTCAAGTCAATTTTCACATTTCGTGACTGTTTAACATCAATTTTTCGCAAACTTGTTATCTTTTCTTAGTTCTTTTATTATTTTTTGTTGCTGTTGTTCCCTTTATAGAGGCGAACGCTCGCAAAATGAAAGCAAAATGTCAAGGAGAAAGTTTTTTTTATTTGTGATTTTAATTAAATCAAGGCTCTTAATAGAGCCTTTTGGCTAATCAACCTCTTATTTAATTATTGCTTCGACCTTATACTTGATAGTTGTAAGTCAGACTTTAAATTTTGTTAATTGTTATCAAAGCTTATATCTACTTATAATATTGTACACGCTATTTGACGTATGTACCTCCAAAGAGACAGACAAGAAGCATTGACTATTTATTAAATATATTAAAAAGCTATGTTTGAAGCACTTCATAACATGAAACAGTTTTATTAATGTCTAAGTGTCCTTTAAATGTTACAAATATGTCGAAGAATGAAAGCGTTTCCACGACAAACGTGAAAACGATAAATAAAGCAAAGGTTTATCAATAAGCAAGCCATGTGTTTTATTATATTTTCATAAATAAATATCTGCACCTCAACTCTGCTTAGTAAGTACTCTCTCTATCTCTCTCGCTTCTAGCTTCATTCAATTTCTTTTCTTCCCATTCTTGATTCCCGACGAAGTGATTCATTTAAATTCGGAATCCTTTTTAACAACCGAGAGCGAAAACTTAACTCTCTCTATCGAAGGAATATGAAAGTATTGTCAACATTTCATTCAAACTGTTTTTACTTTTTTTCATTCTGTTCATTCTCGACGAAACGATTGTTTTCTTGTTGGTGGAAAACTACGCAGAAGCAGATCATCGTGTGTTTTTATTGTAAGGCTGCCCTTTATTTGGGGCAACGAAAAGAAAAAAAAAAATCATAAAAAGTGCTTTTGGAGAGCTTTCAGGTTTCGTTAAGGAAACGTTCCGACATTACGTTGAAATATTTCATTGAATTAAGAGGTGGAATATTTTGTGATGTCATTCAAAGTAAGTTTCGTAACTTTTGAAGCATCTCTTGCTCTTCTTCCTTTTATATTTCTCTGCTTTTCTCTCTCCCATATTTTCATTTTCCAATACATTATGTTTGGTTCGTTTTATTTAGCTATACGAAAGCGCACGGTAAGCACAGGCATTTATTTTCTTCTAATTCTCCCAAAAGAGGTATAATCGACAGATTTAAAGATTTCACTTTTTCTTTTCATTTTGCTTATTTTATTGAATTTTTGAATATTTATTGATACAAGATTTTTTTTATACTTTACTTAAAAGCTTTCAGTGACGATTAGATGCATGTTGAAAGTGGAAATATCTTTGGAAGTTTCAACTTCCTTACTGTAAGTATATTTCACTTTCAGTCTCCCTTTTGCACGATTGTAGGAAAGTGTGAGAGGCAAAGGAAATTACTTTCAAGTGCTTTTATAACTAATAGCTTGACTAATAGTTTAGTTCGTTCATGAATAAAGTTTATGGAAGTAAAGAAAAGAGTGAGTGATTGAAATTTTCCTTGAATGTTGCGTATAATCGTGAAGTTTTATGTACGAAATCTAAAAGAAATAAAAAGAATGAAAACGGTTAAAATATTAGTGGCGAATATTGAAGTCAAGAAGAAAATAAGGAGAGAAAGAAAAACTATCTGAGGAAAAATCAATAAGTATTTTCCGGCAAGGATTTGTTAATAAGTGATGTAGGATTTTTATTTTCAATTCATTCATGCGTTGATAAAAAGCAAATTGTTGGGAATGGTGAAGAGACTTGGGAGTATATAACGTTCTCAAAGCCGATGAATATAAATTGGCCAATTTTCGCTATAAGAAATTTCAAGGTGAAACATAAAACACCTTTTCCAACTTTTCACCCTCTTTTATTATTTTCTTTCTCCCTCTCCACATATATTTTGTGGGTCCACTTTGCCAATGTTACACTTCGTTTCATTTCTCCCTCCACTCACACTTCAATCCGCCACCCTACTTAAAGCATAAAGGCACAATTTTCCCCATCAGCTTTCTTCTCATTCATTCGAGGATTGAAAAGGCTTTTGCTTCTTCTTTATAAGTTCTATCCTCCATTACTCATGAGGAAATAAGGCTAGAGTGAAGACAAAGTTATTTGAAACGATTCGTTGTCGCAGCCTTTAACGAGGGATTTTTTTTTGTTTTTTCCTACACTACGCTTCGATATAAATTTTGTGTTTTTGTTGACCTAAAAAGCAAACATCGCCACACAAAGCCGAAAATTTTCGTTGGCCAATGTGGGGACTGGAGGAAATTGTGTGAATAAATCGACTTGTGGTTCAATCCACAATCGAATATCTACAAACGAAAGAGATTCATATTTATGCTTCGAAATGACTTTGTTGACAAGAATTCTTGTTGGACGTTTACTTACCATTTCCAATCATGTAGATAGTTAGTGTCGATTAAGTGGTAAAATCTATTACATAACAATCACAGAACATTCATAATTTACTTGTCAACAGTCAGATTTCTGTTTATTCATTTCGTCACTAAGCAAATGAAAGTAAATTGGAGTCAAGTTTTATGATCCGTTGATTTCGCAGAGGTGTAGATTTAATTCGATTTTCCACTAATGAAATATCTTTTGCATCACTCAACCCATGGCACTCAATAAGAATAAATGAGAAGAAAAACGTCTCAATCTGATGAATAAGATGAAAATTCTTCTTTTTCCTCAACATTTTCATATCTTCATCAGTCGAGATAGAAACTGGAAATGCCTAACATTATTTTAGATATGTATTTATTTGAGGAATTTTTTTCTTTTCATCTTTTGCAACCTCAATTTATCTGACATTGAATCCATTCAGTGAATTTGCAAAGCTTTTTACAGAAAATTGAGTTTATTTGATGAGCATAAAAAGATCAACATTTGATTCGTGTTTACGCACCAGTGGTAATAGAATTTCATTTATGTTCAGGCATTTCCACGGCAATCTTCTTATTTATCAAATGGTGGTGCCAATCAGTCTTCACCATCTACCTACATATTATTGTGTTATTACAGCCCACGTGAAGAATGATTATTCTTCTTATAAGATCTAAAACTTTCATAAATACCTAAATGGAGACTGAACTGAAAGAGTAAATTAAAACACGCGAATGGTTTTGTAAATAAATAATTAATAACATTCATTACAGCTCGTTATACAATAAAAACATAAATTTATAAATAAATATAAGAAGCAGACTTGTCGACTCGCGTTGTGGATAAAAGCGATGAAATTCATCATCATGATCATGATAATGAGAAGGAAAAATTCTGCTTATAAGATTAGATTTTTCTTCAAGAATTTGGGAACGTGTGTTGTGGCTTAGAAAACTTTGCGTATTCCATCATCATCAACGAATAAGAGCGAAGCAATGAATAATCAAATTATCGCTGTATCCTCAAGACTAAGGAAAGCATTATGAAGGCAAAGAGGGTTAATCCGAAACAGACACTGAATTTTGCCAATATTTTATCTTGACACTATGTGAAGTCATACATCCTTTATTACTCAAGAGACTTTTGCTTGGATAATTATCTGAAATGTGTTTGGTTTCACGGCAAACTCACATATATCATCAGCACTCATGCTATCATCAACAACAGCTCAAGCGTCATTTCATTCCCATACTCATTACATCAATCACAATACAAAGTTTTTTAATCATTTGAAATTTTAAATATTCTCAGTATTAAGTCTTATCACAGTGAAGCGGCTGGTGTAAGAGTGAGAAAGAGAGCTACGATAAAATTGACTGCTGATATCAGCATTCAAATGATTATTCGTTCATAGCTCTGAAACGACAGTTTCTCTTTTCTCAACATAAGTAGAAATTCTCTTTCTGACGATTTCTGACAAACCACATTCCACATTTGTAAGTATATAAAGGATGTGTGAAGATACGTGAACAATTCATTTTACTTTAATTATTAAACAAGTGAACAAGCATGTAAGTAAGTAGAAAAGTGTGTTGAAAGGAGAGAAATTGAAGAAAAGCAATTTCACACGCAATCCTTTTTCTAAAGTGCTAAGGAGAAAAATAATTAAATGTGCTGCATACCTTTGAGAAGATTTGTAGTTTGATTCCTTCATCAGGCATGACTAATTAGAATTATGACATTTTCTAGCTGCCTTATGAAGGGACAAAGCATGAGTCTCATACCATCAAGTTAATAAAATTATATGAATAACTTAAAATCTCGTGAAATGGAGTTTCTAAGGCATAATTATATTTCAAGCGTGGGTGATTGAAACAAATGAATTTAAATCTTTCGACTGTTTCAAATGTCATGACATTTAAATAATGTTTCAGATACTTTCTCTATAGCCATCATGATAAATTTTACATGATTTTTCAAGGCATGAACATTTAATATGTAAAAGAACACACAAGAGGATAACATTAACACTCAACGAGTGGGAAGCATAAGATATAAAAATTTCATATTCTCATACACAAGAAACGACTGACAGTTATGCTGGTTTCAGCGCCAACATTTCAAATTTCCATTCCTTCCAAATGATCAAGTACGACATAGAAAATGCGTCCTAGATTTTCCAGTATGTTTCCTAAGAAAAGAAAAGTAAGGAATTTTGTCTTTATGTCAAATTTATTAACATGAATTAACGTAGCAAGATGCATTATTAGCATTAAATGTGATCATGAAATGAAAATTGAGTTAATCAACTCTTTCGTCACATTTCTATCGATTAATGCATCGAGCGCTGCCAAAGAAAATTTCACAAGCCACATCAAACTTGCACAAAAAATTATTGATTTTTTGATTCGGGTTTGTTAAGGAAAATCTTAATGGGTGAAAAATTAGTGAAATAGTAAGTGAAAAATGATTAGTTGTGCATAAAAATGTATAAAAAGTCGAATATGTGACGCGCCGTGCGATAATTAATCGAAACTCAGTTATTTCTGACAAACGCAAACGCAGAACTCGAATGAAATTCTGAGCAAGGCAAAAATTTCATTTAGGCACAAGCTCATTTTTATTTTTTCAAAAAATCAGACTTTTGTGCGCTTAAAGACTATTTTGTTTACATTCCGGCTTCAAAGCACGCGTTCTGTTAATTGCTGTCGCATTTTTCACAATAAAATTGAAAATGATGAATGAAAGTGCAGAAAATGTCGATTGAAAAATATGAAACGCCATTTATAAAATCGAAGCGAGTCTGAGTTTACGTATGGAAGACGAACAAAATATACAAATTATTTGCCTTTCGTCCAAATCTTTCTTGCCGCACCATTTCCTGTTTTTACTCTTCACTCATGGCCTCTGATAACAAGTAGAGGTTTTTGTGTCATGATTTTTCTCGTATTTTGTGCTTTATTTATCTTTTTTTTCTCAAACAATATTGTAAGTGAAAGATTAATGCGGAACAAAAAAAAACAAATTCACTTGATGTGCATAAAACTTTTTTTTTATAAATCTAAAATTAGAAAATTATAATGAAAGAGAAAAATTCTCATTTTCATCGAAACTATAAACATTGAATTTTATGCAATGAGTTTTCTTTTATCGAGTTCTGAATAATTAAAAATTGAAAATTCACAGAATAGTGCAAACACTTGCATAAATGAATTAAAAAATTTGTTAGAGAAATTTATTTTTAATGCTCCCGAGCGATAAGAGTCGAGTTGATGATAAGGCTTCTAAATATTCTTTTATGATTTCCATTAAAGGTCGTTACCATTTATTGAGCATACTTAGTAGCAGCTAACAATAAACCAAAGATTTCATTCATATATTGACAATGAATACGCTGACGACCACCGAAACAATGGAAATTGTGGACGAAGGTGCAATGAGTGATACATCGTCAGATTTGGATAGTCGAGCAAGTAGTCCCGATCCTGATTATCAGGAAGGAAACTTGTTGACAGAGGCAATGGAAAATGAAGTAACGGCTCAATTAGTAGCTGCTGGAGTTGTTGGAGTTGCAGCTGCTGCTGCTATCACATCATCAAAGAAACGGAAACGTCCACATTCATTCGAGACAAACCCTTCAATCCGAAAACGTCAACAAAATCGCTTGCTGCGCAAGTTAAGAGTAAGTCTTGTGTTTTTATCTCAAATTTCTTTTATCTTCAGTCACAACAATGTCTCACTTTCCCTGTTTTTGTCTAATCTGTTCAGCAAACAATATTCGAATATGCGACTCGTGTCGGTCAACAGGCTGTTGTTTTGGTGGCAACGCCAGGCAAACCCAACAATATTTACAAAGTATTTGGCGCAAAGCCACTCGAAGATGTCATAAAGAATCTTCGGAACATGGTAATGGATGAGCTTGAAACAGCGCTTGCACAACAAGCACCACCAAAAGTCCAAGATGATCCATCATTATTCGAACTGCCGCCTCTTATCATTGATGGCATTCCCACGCCCGTCGAGAAGATGACGCAGGCACAATTAAGAGCTTTTATTCCACTCATGTTGAAATACTCGACTGGTAAGTTAAGAAAAGCTTTAATTTGAAAGTTGAACATTTAATTGATTTATTTATTATTTGTAAAGGTCGAGGAAAACCTGGCTGGGGACGTGATTCAACTCGTCCTGAGTGGTGGCCAAAAGAACTTCCATGGGCGAATGTTCGAATGGATGCAAGAACAGAAGAAGAGAAACAAAAAATCAGTTGGACACATGCATTGAGAAAAATTGTCATAAATTGCTATAAATATCATGGACGAGAAGATCTACTACCAGCTTTCTCGGAAGAAGACGAGAAAGCAAATGCAATCGCAACAGCAAATGCAAATGTAAGTGTAAATGAAATGATAATGAAAATTGAAACATATTTACACCAGTGTTTCTCAAACTTTTCTTTATCGCTTGTTTGTGGGATACATTTTGAGAACCACTGACTTTGAAATAAAATTCTGAAAAACATTTCATTTAAAAAAATCATAAAAAATATTAATTTAATCTTTCTATCGTATTCGTCATACTCACGCATTTTTAAAACGCTTTCGATCAGGTCGGAGTATTAAAAGTTCACAATCCAAATACAGTCACATCGTCTTCATCAAATGCAAATCAATCGACAACAACGACCATCACAACTGTTAGTTCGAATAATGCTGCTAATAACAATAATGTCATCACAACATCACATTCAAAACTTGAGGTTCCCGCAACGACAACGATTCAAATCCAATCTTCAAATCAATCGCTAGCAAACTCCACTCAACAGGTTTGCCTCGAGTCGATGCAACTGAATGATGTGGATGTTCGTACTAACCAAAAGGCTTTTCTACTTTTTATATTAATCTTGTTTTTTTCATTATTTCTATCTTTTTCGTTGTCGATTTTCTTTGATGCTTTTTTATACTTTTACTTTGGTTCAAAATATTATTTGCGCATTGCTTTCATTTTTATTTATTCAATTCTTTAAATTCATTGTTAATGTTTAATTATTTTCATCATTACAGTATCAAACAGTGTTACAAACAAATGGTGATGGAACATTCTCATTGATTCAAGTTGATCCCAGTACATTAACAAATAATCCATCAATAATCACGTTGCCAGATGGAACGACAGCACAAGTACAAGGTGTTGCAACGGTAAGAAGATTTTCACTTTACAATTTGACATTTGAATAATCTTTAATCTTACTTACAGCTACATACTCAAAGTGATGGCACAACAGTTCACACTGTTCAAATGGATGGACAATCTGAGAATATGCAAGTCGACTTATCAGAAGCATTAGCTCAAGACGGTCAACTAATCATCACAAATGAAGATGGTAACGGTGAGTAATTTGAAATCTTCTCACTAGAAAGTTTTATTAATAAAATTTCTTACATCTTTATTAGTCTTCCCAGTTGGCATAAGTGGGATGATAACTCTACCAGTCACCGCCCAAATGTATCATTCACTTGTACAACAACAAATACCAAACAACGACAACACGGTGTGTGTTACACCCATGCAGGTACAGAATTTCATTTCAAATAATACTTTGTGTGGTAGCATTGCGAATAGTAATTTAAATTCACCGGCAACGTCCTCATCGACAACATATCTCATGTCAGCAAATAGAAATGTGATAAATTTGCCTATTCAATCTTCACCTGTGATGAAGAGTATGGAGAAAAATTTTTATCTTCCTCAACAACAAAAGAATCGAACGATTATTAAGAAAAGTTATTTGAAAAAGAAACTTATAAATTTAGCGATGGCAAAACCAAAGAAAATTGTCGCATCATCATCAAGTCAAACTGATTTTATTGTTTGTAAGCAAACTACGAGTAGTGGCAGTAGCAATAACAATAATTCAACGAATGTGAGAGATAAAAACCAAAAGAAAGTATCAAACAATTTAAGTAAAGTTGAACGACCTGAACCTAGTCAAAATAAAGATAATTCCTTGATTGATGATTCTGATGGAGTAAAAATGAAAGAAGAGCAACAAGAAAAAATAGAAGAAGCTGCAGTTGATGCTGAATAACACTAAATTATAATTAAGAAAAGATGAAGAAAACTTAAATTATTTTTATTTAAAGTACAATTAATGTTTTTAATTGGATGTCTAATCCTTGACCGACCAAAACGATCTCTTTCCAAATAAGAAGCAGTAAAATGTTGCAAATGAATCCTTAAATGTGCCTTAGAATGTTTTAATATAATTATAAAATTAGTTATTTATTAGTTACTATGATATTATATTTTGATCTATTCGATTTGAGCTTTAAAAGCTTTTATTATTTTTTTTGGTAATTCAATAGATGTTTTAATATTTTGTGTGATTTTCAAGATATTTAATTCAATTAAATGTTATAGATTTGTAAAACTCAATAAAATGTTTATTTTCTCATGTTATTCTTTTCAACTTTTGTGTTGTTTGTTAGAGTTTAAGAAAGTTTTGAGTAAAAAGATTTTTTTGAATATGAAAGGTTGGTGAACTTTATGATTTTAACACAAAGAAATAACATCGTCTAACAATATTAAGAAGAAAAAAATTATTAATTCAATTTAAATGCTACTAATATATTAAAAATGTTAACAAAACTAATCATCAAAGTCAAACAATTTCTAACAATATTTTTTACTTCTTTCTTAGATGGAATCTAATGAACAAATGGAAACAATAACGTTGAACTCATCAAACATGCCCCAGGTAATGATTCAAGGAGCGAATGGTGAACTGAAGATGTTGAGTTTAGCAGATCTCAAATCTCTTGGCGTTAATTTGATTGAAGACATTAAAACAGATGATCAAATAATGGGCTGATCTTCAGTCATATTTGAATTGAATAACTAGATTTAATTCAAATATGGCATAAAAACAAAACAACAAAAGAATGCAAGTAATTAGAAAAAGAAAAATGACTTCAAATGAAATCTCTCAATCACAAAGTGAAGTTTAATTAAGTTTTTTTTAATCAATTTCCGAGGTCAACCAAATTTATTTTGCATTTCATTTGCCATGAAAGTTGAGAGTTAATTGATTACAGTTTGATGAAAAGTCAGAGCTTAATCATTGCAATATGAATGAAGACATTTATTCATCAAATGGACCTATCTAGTCATTCTTCAACTCTCTCCAGAAACATTAAATCTAGTCGATTGAATTTTATTTTATTTCCATCATTTTTATAGCGAAAAATAAGTTCGTTTTATTAATTAAGTGAAATTAATTCTAAATTGTGAACAAAAATGATAAAAAGAAACTTAGTTAAAGCTTAAAAGTTTTTGAATTTTAGTGCAATTTTTTTACAAAAAGATGTTTTTTAAGAAAATAATTTATTTAATTTCTTTCTCTTGTGAGTGCGCGAGGATGTAAGGGTAATAATCTAAATACTTAAATTAAGAACAAAATGACAAACTAAACAAAAAGATTGTAAATATTTAAAGATTCCACACCAAAATATTAAGAAAATCTGAAGAGTCGATTCATTTTCATGGTACATAAATAGATGATTAGTTTATAAGTTCGCAATTAAAGTCAGATTAGTTTTAATGATTCACCACATCAAAGCAGAATTTTGTAAAAACATTAATCAGTGTAATTAAAATATCATAAAAAGATCTTTCAAGAAAGACGATTGACATGAAATTTCGAATTTTCTAAAGAATTGAAATAATTTAAAGTCTGTAGCTAGTCAAACTATTATTGATTGCTTCAATCGAGAAATCGAAATCCAGATTCAGTTTAAATTTATAAGAACAAAATGTTTGCCAATAACTTTTTTTATATTTTCAATCAATATTCATCATTTTTTGTTTTGCAATTTAATTAATCTAAGTGGAAACACAAAAATATTCCATGATTAAAATCCGCAAATATAAAACAAACATTTAATGACTGCTTTTGCGGAAAGTCTGTGATTTCTTTTTATTTTATTTATTAATTTATTTTCCCTAATTTCCCTTCTCAACTTCTCTAGTCACATAAATGAGATCTTCAGTTATTTATTTTTTAATTTAAATTGATGATTTATCTATTTACAAATGAAATCAAATGTTTATTTATTAGTTTTTGGTATCTTAAACAATCTGAATGTAATAAAGTATTTAACTAAGATAAATGTAACATTTATTGTGTTGTTTCTACTTTTCTCTTGTTAATATTTCAGATTCACATTTATATTTCAGTGGTAAGTAGTCAAGGTCTTGGTAGATAACAGCTGATATCTTGTTTCACAGCTTTCAAGATTCGCGTGACTTTAATTGCGCGAGATTTGCATATAAACAAATTTTGACTATCAGTGCTCGGTGTCGACGTGTTGTTGAATTTAATCAGATAAACAATTAAGAAGGAAAACTCTCAAAATTTTTATTACATAAAAATTAACTTAATTTAAAAATAGATTTTCTGATGATAATTTCATTGTATTAACTTTGCATCAACACCTGGGTTTGCTCTTATCAGATTGTATTTTATGAGATGAAATGAATACGCAAAAAATAGGCTAAATAAACTGAATAAATATGTCGACTCATTTGAAAAAATTCTGAGTAGAGAAATGGATCTTAACGAAGCTGTTTCCAAAAAACCAGTGAATCTTGAAGAAGCCTTAAGAAAATGTGGATTCGGAATGTTTAATTACATTTTCATTTCGCTTGCTGGTGGTTTAATGGCGTGTGCTTTTCTAGAATTGACTTCAATTAATTTTGTTTTGTCTATTGCACAATGTGATTTAAATATGTCAACAAGGGAAAAAGGTTTCTTGAGTGCAATCGGATATGTTGGAGTGATTTTGTCGTCGCATCTTTGGGGATTTCTTGCAGATACAAAAGGAAGACGAGCTACTCTCATTCCATCATTGATTATAGCATTTATAAGTACTTTCATGTCGAGCTTAGCTAACAATTTCTGGTTGTTATTATTCCTTCGTTTTGCAAATGGATTTTTGTGAGATTAAACAGAAATTAAATTATTTTCGTTACTTATTTATTTCTTTTAGCATTTCATGCGCATCGTCAACAACTTTTGCTTATTTGGGAGAATTTCATGACAACAATAAACGAGCTAAAGTTCTCATGATTGGTAAATTTTCTTTTTAATATTTTTTGTAAGATTTTTTTGAAGTTTTGTTACTTTTATTCTAGCTTCGATTATCTATTCAATATTTAATGTTTTACTTCCTACATTTGCTATTGTAACTTTGAATCAAGATTGGAGTTTCTATGTGCCTTTAATTGCTGTCACTTACAAACCATGGAGACTTTTTCTGTTAATTTGTGGTCTTCCAAGCTTACTTTGTGCTTTAGTTATGATCGTTTTAATTCCTGAGTCACCAAAGTTCGCGTATTCACAAGGAGATGAACCTGAAACTTTAAAGATTTTAAGACGAATTTATCGATTGAATTACAGAAAGTCAATTTTACTCTATGAAGTGAAAAGTATTGTCAAGGATGACGAGTTTAATAGTCGAGTTCAAGCAAGGCCAAAGGGATTCTTAAACTTCATGTGGTCACAATCTTTACCTTTTCTTAAAGGTCATCATTTGCGTAACATTATGACAGCCTCGTTTATTCAATTCTCCGTTTGCAATGCAGCCAACGGTTTTTGGACATTTTTCCCCGAATTTATGAATAACATCAGCACTTGGAAAGAATCTTCTCGTGACTCAGCAACAATTTGTGAAATTTATAACACTTTGTCCGTGCATAACAATCAAACTGAAAACGTGTTGAAGTGTAAACAAAATCACGAACTTAGTACTTATGCACACATATATGAAGTTGTCATTATTTATGGGATCTGTTATCTTATCATGTCTTTGTTAATTAATTGGACGGGGAAGCTTTATTTGATTATTGCTATTGTTTTACCTGCTGGTATTTCTGCATTACTTCTAATCTTCATAAAAGTTCCGACCTTCTCCACGTATTTATATCTTGTATTGTTATTGTCGGGTCTGACAATAAGTGTTGTCAATGCATCAACAGTTGAACTGTTTCCAACTAAAATGAGGTAAGAATTGACGTTCCATTCCAAGCGATTAAAAATCATCAATAATTTTATTTAAAGAGCAATGGCAGTTTCTATTTCTATGATGATGGGAAGATTGGGAAGCACGACAGGTTCAATGGTCATAGGACTTGTTATAGACAAACATTGCAGTAAAACTTTTCTTATGCCAATGTTTTTACTCATCATAAGCTGCTTGTTAGCTTTTACCATTCCAAATATCAACAAAAGACGAAATTAATTAAATAAAATTGAATTCAACATCTTTCTATGACTTGATGATAATTATCGATAAGTTCATAATTAATTGGCTGACAATCTTAATCATCGATTCCATCATCTTATAAATTATCATTGCAACTCTAAATTTCATTTAGTTCAACGTGAAACTTCAACTGGATATTCAAGATGATTAAAATTGGAAACACAAAAATTTATTCAATTTGGGATTCTGCAAATTCATTATTTAAATTTGTAAAATATTTTGGTTCCGTTGTTTATACNTTATGCCAATGTTTTTACTCATCATAAGTTGCTTGTTAGCTTTTACCATTCCAAATATCAATAAAAGACGAAATTAATTAAATAAAATTGTGTTTTTCCACGAGGGATTTTTCGAGAAAATTACTCGACGAAATTTTTCAAATTTTCTGAGCCTTTTCCATAATTTAATAAAATAAAATTAAATTCAATATCTTTCTATGACTTGATGATAATTATCGATAAGTTCATAATTAATTAGCTGACAATCTTAATCATCGATTCCATCATCGATTCCTTCATCTTATAAATTATCATTGCAACTCTAAATTTCATTTAGTTCAACGTGAAACTTCAACTGGATATTCAAAATGATTAAAATTGGAACCACAAAAACTTATTCAATTTGGGATTCTATAAGAAAATTATTTAAATTTGTCAATTTTTTTGGTTGTGCTGCTTTTACAATTGACGGGAAAATTGAAAATGGAAAAATTAAAACAACATTAATTGACGTTCTGTATTTCCTGCTGCACCTTGGTTTTGGAGTGATGAGATGTTATTGGAATATCAAATATGATCTCGTGTTTTGTACAACAAACTCTGTGATCATTAAAATAGGAACTCGATTAAATTCATTCATATCCATAATTTCCTATCTTACTTCTTGCATTGCTATTCAATTCCTAATGAAAGATTTCTGGGCTTTAAATAAGAAATTATCTGACATAGACAAAGAGGTGAATAGCGTAAATCCAATACGGTGGCCCGTCACCCTAGGATGGGGCCTCCGTGACTAATTCTTATTCAAAATTTTATTATTCTTTTCTCAATTTTTTTATCTTCATTAGATGGAAAAATTTAACTTGCGAGTTAACCACAAGCTGGTTTATTACAAATCTTTGATTTTGATTTCAATTCCATTAACAATTATTTTAACCAGCGGAATTTATTTATGTGTTCTGACAAAAGAATTTATGGAGCCTGAAAATTTTATATATTATGTACCTTCAACGTTAATGAACTTTGCAGTGATAAACATGATCATGGTGACATTTTTCTTCAACACGTTTTTATTTTATGACCGCTTCAAGTTGATCAATGATTGTCTGAAAAAATATTTCAAAACTGATGCAGATTCTAAATTTAAGAACATCAAAAAACTCTCAACGAAGTTTCAAATAGAAATGGTTTTGAAGTTAGCTGAGTTGCACGACAATTTAACAGAAAGTTTACTTTTTATAAATGAGAATTTAGGCTTTACAATGCTTAACATAACTGCGTTCACAGTTTCTGGAAGTATTTTCAGTATTTTTTCTTTATATCGAATGATTGTCAGAAATGAACTTCAGTATTTTAATCTTGCTCTTATGAACAATTTATGTTGTGGATATTTCTTTATCTTTCTTGTGGTGATGATCGCATGTTGTAGCTTACTAACGAAAACTGGAAAATATGCGGCCATTTTGGTACACAATGTCATTGCATACATTGATGATTATGATGATCCAATCATTGATTACGTAAGTAGAAGTGGTTAGGAAGATTATTCTGAAATAATTAACATTGAATATTCATTCATGNTAACCAGCGGAATTTATTTATGTGTTCTGACAAAAGAATTTATGGAGCCTGAAAATTTTATTTATTATGTACCTTCAACGTTAATGAACTTAGCAACGACAAACATGATCATGGTGACATTTTTCTTCAACATGTCTTTATCTTATGACCGCTTCAAGTTGATCAATGATTGTCTGAAGAAATATTTCAAAACTGATGCAGATTCTAAATTTAAGAACATCAAAAAATTTTCAACGAAGTTTCAAAAGGAATTGATTCTGAAGTTAGCTGAGTTGCACGACAATTTAACAGAAAGTTTACTTTTTATAAATGAGAAATTGGGTTCTACAATGTTTATCATAACTGCGTTCACAGTTTCTGGAAGTATTTTCAGTATTTTTTCTTTATATCGAGTGATTGTCAGAAATGAACTTCAGTATTTTAATCTTGCTCTTATGAACAATTTATGTTGTGGATATTTCTTTCTTTTGCTTGTGGTGACTATTGCTTTGTGTAGCTTACTAACCAAGACAGGAAAATATGCGGCCATTTTGGTTCACAATGCCATTGCATACATTGATGATTATGACGATCCAATCATCGATTACGTAAGTAGAAGTTGAATGAAAATTTTCTGAAATTAATAACATTAAATATTCATTTGCAATCAGCTGAAAATGTTTTCTCAACAACTGGTAGGAAAATTATCAGATAAATGGAAAGACAAAGAATTTTTAATTATTAATATTTATAACATCAACAGCAACATCGATCTCCAACTGTTCACTGCGGATTCTTTGCTTTTGACTTTACACTTTTGTTCATGGTAAAACAAATCAAGATTAATTTAAAAATAATTTTCATTGATTTTTCTTTCAGATCGTGGGCACATCAACAACATATGTTGGTAAGTTTGAAACATGTCGTCAATAAATTCAATTATTCATTAACATTTTCCTTCAATATCTTAGTTATTTTGATACAGTTTGACTCTAATGGTAGAGCTGCACATACCGATTTGATGGGGAATGGAAATTCAACCATTTTTTAAATGTGAAAAGTCATTGAAATTGTAACAACAATTTAAAGCACTAAATTTTGATCAATACAACACGTTAATGATTTAGATAATATATCTTTGAAGTCATTAACTTTTAATTAAATTGATTGCACTTCATTAATTACTATTTGATGTTATGATAACATATTTGGATATCTGTTGAAGCCTATAAGAAATAAATTTTCAATTAAGTTGAAGCCATTCTCAGTTTGTCTCAGCATCAAAATGATCACGACAAGTTCTTTAAAGAAATATTCTGTTTGGAACACAATATTAGTGTTTTATTATATAACAAAATTTGCTGGATACATCTTCTTTTCAATTGATGGAAAACCCGAGAATGCTAAAATCAAAACAACTTTTCCAGATGTCGTCGCATATTTGGCCCACATGGGTGCTGCGATATTTTTGTTTTACATAACCTGTACTCATGACATCACTTTTATAACGACCAACAACTTTATAATTGACTTCTGCTCTCGAAAGGTGTTGCAATACATGACTCTGACACTTACCATATCTTCTTTTATGATGGGAGCTAGACGCTGTCAAATTTGGGAAAATTTTCAATTACTTTTTAATTTTGATAATGAAGTAAGTACATTGGAATTGCATTCAATGTTTCAATTAATAATGTTCAATTATATCATTAGATGGAGCATTTATCGATGCGTATGAATCATAAAAGGACGCTTTTAAACTTTATTTTATTTTGCTTGACTTGCACATTGATAAATCTCATGTTGGTTGCTTACACATTTTATATCAGAAATGACGTCAAAGATCCTGAAAGTCATTTTTACACTGCCCTTTGTACATCTATGATTTATTTGACGTTATCAATGTGTTTCTTTGGATTCTTCTTAATCATGTACTTAGCTTATGAACGTTTCGATTTGATCAACACTTGCATTGAGAGGAATTTTAAAACGCAAGAAGACAAAGAAGATGGAATTATAACAGTTCGAAAGAATCAATCAAATGACACTTTAAAAGTCATTTTGAAATTGGGAGAATTACATGATAAGCTTGTTGATTTCATTATGATAATTAACTCATTATTTTCAATTTTATTAATCAATCTTTTCGGAAATATTTTCTTGTCAAATGTCTTGAGTTTGTTTGCAATGTATCGAATATTTTTTGGTCATGATCAGGAGAATTACTACAATGGAATGATTCAATTTTTGTGGAACGTTTATTTTATGACTTTAACAATATGCTTCATAGCTTTGTGTAGTCTCATGACAAGAACAGGAAAATCTACAGCGGTTTTGGTTCACAAAGCAATCAATTACATTGATAACGATAATGATCCCATCATATTTTATGTAAGTCTTTGCATATCTTATGCATTTATAAATTTATTTACATTTTTATTTTACAGCTTAAAATGTTTTCACAGCAAATGGTAAATATTAATAAATCAAACATTAATGTAAGTTATTAAAATGACTGATGTCATATTCAGTTTCATCGTTCACCGACAGTTTCTTGTGGACTTTTTGTCGTTGATTTCTCTCTTTTGTTCACTGTGAGTATTTTTATACTAAACATAGAATCCAGTGACAGAACATGTTAATGACTTTTTGCAGATACTTGCAGCAACAACAACTTATATTGGTAGAATTTATCATAAAACTTAATAATGCCACTAATTTCATTAAAGACTGATTTTTATTCCTTTAGTGATTTTAATTCAGTTTGATTCAGACATAAATGGTTCAGAAGGCACAAACCTCATCAACAATAATAAAACTTCAAACAATATGACTGTAACATTTTCTTAAAGTTTGAATTTCGAAGCTTTTGTTCTTCTGGTTTTCAATGGCACGTTCATCAAGATTTATGTTATTAATTAATATTCAATATTTATGCAATAAAATGTGATTTTGTTTATTTCTGTTTGCAAGCACCACAAATTGGCTAATCAAATATCTTGAAACAAACAAATAAAAATATTCTTTGTTTTCAAAAGCTCTTGGCTATGCCGGCAGGAATACTTTTAGTTATTAATATTGCCTCACGAGTATTTAATAACGTTAATACACGGGTTAAGGCAGAAACCCACACTATATGCTACACACTTCAGACTTTACCAAAAAAGAAGTAATTCATAAACAAATATTCAGTTGTGTTTCGTTCGCGAAGAAGATAAATTCATCTTTTTTCTTAAATGATAATTTAAATATTATTTTCAAAAGTTGTGATTCATTAAATATTTGTGATTTGTATTGAATAATGGAATCGTCTTTAAGATTTTACATATTTTTTAGTGCTTTGATTGTTAGTGAAACAACAGATATTTCCATAAGAAGAAATAATTCTTTTCATAATATGTTTACGGCACCAGCTAAAAGTGACATCGACAAAGGTCATTGAATATTTGACAAATAAATTTACAAAAGCTGGCATAAGTTGAGAAGAGATGATAATAACTTTTTTATATTATTTTTATTAGATTCAATTGAAATGTTAAGCTCGAGGCTATTTCAGTATAAAAAGCCATTTGATTTAACAAAAATTTCTGGAATTTCGGAGAGCTGTCGAAGAGATTTCACACATTATTTGGATTCATTACAAAAATTCGAATTTTGGGCATTGAAAAGTAATGAACGATTGAATCTCAAACACTTCATTGTTTATATTTATTTACTCACCTTTTTAAAGTGTACGATGCGAATGGTGAAATTTCTTTTGGCATCTTGAGTGGAAATGTCAATATGTACGGAGACTTTGAAGAGTGTTTGAACATTTATGAAGAAAGTTTACATTTTCGGGGGAAACATTGCTTTGTAGAACTGCAACCCTTTGTCTTAAAGTCAGCAGTTTATTTAAACTACTTAAGAAGACTCGCACAGTCGTACGATTTAATGCAAACAAATTTTAATGATGTGAGTAAACTTTACTAATCATCACTGAATAAATTTTTATTTTATGACGATTCTATTATTCAGCCACCACACGTGTTTGGACGGTTTCAGTCTGTGACACATGGCATTTGTGTACCTTCGTCGTGTTCGTATCATGATGTTGAAATTTCGATGAGATTCATACTCAATGTCTTTACAAATAATACCGGTTTACGATTTGAAACTAATGTTAAGGAAGAGATGTGCCATGTAAAGAAGATTAATGAGTACAAACAGATTACGTTCGGTCAAAAGATTAGCTTGTGAGGAATTGTAAAATTAACTTTCGTAGCTTAAGCCAAATATATTCAAACTTTACATAGGCTTGTGCTGCTGCTTATTTTAGCTCTGTCATTACTCTCAACCTTTTACGATAACAAATGGGAAGGCAAGCGATGTAAGTTATCAATTACTACTCATTATTTTAAATTATTTGCATTTAAACTTTGTCGTAGATGAATGGATGACAATTTTTTCCGTTACTCATAACTGGCGGGAATTGACAACAACGAATCGAAGTAGCGAAGACATCAATACGATTCATGGAATAAGATTTCTCAATGCAATAATGATTTTTCTTTGTCATAAATCAGTTGATGGCTTAATGCCGAGAGTAAACAGAACACAAATGGCAATAAATTCAGCAAAAAGTAGTTCAGTTTTGATAAGAATGTGTGCATTGTACACTGATGTGTTCCTTATGTTGAGTGGGACATTAGTCGCATATTCAATGTCAAAGAAAGTTATGAGGGGACAGAAAATAAGAATTTTCCGAGAATATATTGGAAGATATATTCGAATCATGCCAAATATTGTTACAACAATGTTGATTACTGCCAATATTATTCCTTTATTCACAAATCATGGTCCACAGAGTTTTGCTTTAGTAAAAACACCAGCAGAACTATGCAAGAAATATTGGTGGAGAAATTTATTGATGATTCATAATTGGTTTAAATTTGAAGACATGTGCAATGTTCACACACATCATGTGGGATCGGATTTTGAGCTTTTCCTGATTGCACCATTTTTAGTAATTCTTTTATGGAGACGAGGGAAATTCGGAACTTATTTTGTTCTCTCATTATGTCTCGTGTCTGCAATTGCAAGATTCTATGTGACATATAATAAGAAGTTGATGTATTTTATACCTTTTGGTGCCAAACTCTCAACGTTATTTGAAACAGCGAATCATTTATACTCACTTCCAACTCACCGATTTTCTGTTTATGGAATCGGATTGTTATTAGGATTTATTTTAATTAGATTTAAAGATTTTAAGTTATCTAAATTGGCATTTGTGATTGGACAAACTATCAGCACAATTCTTTTGATGTCAGTTCTAGTCTGCGGAATTTTAATGACAGGAATTGACTTGGAGTACAACGTGATGTTGCATTCTTTTTATGCTGCATTTGCTCCGATATTTTATTGCTTATGTGCTTGTTGGACTATCTTTGCTGCACAAAAAGATTACAAAAGTAAGGAAAACTAATCTAAAGCTACGATTACAGCAATAAATTTTATAATCTCTTTTTTAGATTTCATTATCAGACTTCTAGAATGGAAAGGATTCATAATTACAACAAAGTTTTGTTATGCCTTTTATTTAATTCAAATTCCATTATTTCAATTATCACTAGCCAACACCAAGGATATTCATTACCATAATTTATCATCGATTATCAATTTAAATGAAGTGTTTCTGATATGTTCTGTGTCCATACTTATAACACTTTTCATCGAAACACCTTTCAATAGAATTAAGAATATTTGTTGTAATGAGAAATCAATTAAACTTAATTAAAAAGTTCACAATTTTTTAAAAGAAAACTCCAATGTATAAAGGAATTGAAACGAAAAGAGTGTTTAGTCATCATTTTCCCTTCGATATATCAACATAAATAAAATTGCAATGATCACAGTACGATCATCTAAGAAGTACTCAATTTGGAATTGTTTCAAAATGTTACATACTTATGGCAAACTTAGCGGTTTCATATTTTACTCATTCGATGGGAAAATTGAAAATGGGAAAATGAAAACAACCATATTTGACATGGCTTTGTTTGTTATCAGTGCCGTTTTCTGCTTTTCTTTGTTATATCTTCACTACACTCACGATTTTTTATTTATGAAGACAAATAATTCCATAATCGATGATGCCTCGAAAGGCGTTTTACAATTTGTAATTCTAACTATTTTCATGTTTAATATTAAATTTTATTATAACAGAAAAGAAGTTTGGATAAGTTTTAAACGTTTGATGAAATAGATAAACAAGTAAGTGATAACTAAATATCTTTTCTATAAAATCTCTAAAGAACTTTTCATAATTTCTTTTTTCCACAGATCAGTAAATTGTCCATGAAAGTAAATCATAAAAGAACCTGCAAAATTTTCTTAACTTTTATGCTAATAACTTCTTTAATTATCTTAAGTTTAATACTTTTTACAGTTTATTTTACATCCTACATATTTGATAGTACTTTGGCAGTTGTCGTAATATCAATTACTATTATGTTTAACAACGGAAAGATAATTGCGTCTTTACTTAACTTTATTTGCGATATCTATTTATTTTACGAACGTTTCGATGCTATAAACGCGTGTTTAGAAAAGTATTTTAATGTCCACGATGAAGAAAATCAAAGAGTAGAAAAGAAATATCATTCAAAGTTCCTTCAGAAAATTGTTCTGAAATTAGCAGAGACGCATGACTCAATCATCAATATCGTGATGGATTTTAATCGCTACTTTTCTATGCTGGTTATTAATTTTGTTGGAGTTATTTTCATTGTGAATGTTTTTAGTTTATTCTCATTGTATCGTGTCTTCTTTGGCAACGATCATAAAAATTTCTACAACGCGATTATTCAATCTTCGTGGACTTTTACTGTGGCATTATATTTGTTGGGATTTATATCAATATCGAGTTTGATGACAAGAACAGGAAAATATTCTGCGGTTTTGACTCATAAAGCCATTAATTTTATCGAGGATGATGACGATCCGATAATCTTTTACGTAAGTTTCATGAATTAAGAATTATTAAATTATTGACGAGATATTCTGTTCATTAGCTTAAAATGTTTTCTCAACAAATGGTAGATATTAAATTAATTAACTAGCGTATCATAAAACTAGGAACTTAGAATTTTTTTAACTCTAATTTAAAATAGCTGCATCGATCTCCAACAATTTCTTGTGGTCTTTTTGTTGTCGATTTCTCTCTTTTGTTCACTGTAAGTGATTTTCTATTAACATTTGAATTTTATAATTATTCTATCATGTTTTAGATATTGGGAGCAACAACAACTTATTGCGGTAGGATTTAATCATTTAAAGATTTTTGTTTTTTAATTTTAATGATTTTTTAGTAATTTTGATTCAATTTGATTCTGGAGTTCCCATGAATGGATTGGGCAGCAATCACACTTTCAATGAAACGTCCAATGATTTTTACAACATTTCATCTTTGAAGTGAAAGTTTTAAAATTTTCTAAAGTATCCTAGCACCTAATGTATTTGTTTAATCTGAATTTTGATTTTTAAAAGCTTTCAATCGAAGTTTTCACTTGACAAAAGCTTTTTATGGAGATTAGATTAGTTTAAAAATTAAACTGGATTAGATTGAATGATTTTCGGATTAAGATTAAAAACTTAATCACAACTCCCTCGTTTGTTTATTGTGAATTTGTGTAATTTTACACACTACTTTTAAATTGGATTTATCGCTGTGAGTTTCAAAAATAATTAAATTACAAAACAATTACATTCACATTTTAAGTTATCCAATTTATGAACTGTTCCCACGTCTTATGTGTGCGAAAGTGCTTGAACTATAGATAAGAAATAAAAATATAAACAAACATAGAAAAAATTGAATTTTAATAAAACCAAGTTGATAAGAGTTGAGTGAGTGTTCCACTTCATCGGTCTGGTGCCTTCACTTGTATAATAATGGTCAAATTCAGTGCCAACTTAGGATTTTTATTCCTTGAAGCTGCTTCAATTGTTGAGCAATACCAGCTGGCAAAACAATATGGATTCAAGGCTGTAGAACATCCATTTCCAGCTAAACACATCGATCATCAAAAACTTTTGCAAGTGAAGAAAGATTTGAATCTTGAAGTAACTCTCGTCAACATCGACACAGATCCAGATGCGAAATTTGGGTGTGCTTCGTTTCCAAATCAACAAGAGGCATTTAAAAGAAATTTCCACAATACTCTTGACTTTATGAAGCTTTTTGGTTGCAAAAAGATCCATTTGATGAGTGGAAAGCTTGACTCACCTCCAACTAAGGAGTATCATGAAATGTTTGTGTCAAACTTGAAATATGCTGCAGGTTTCCTTGAAAAGGAAAATTTAATTGGTGTCATTGAATGCATCAATCATTACTCTGTACCTGGTTATTATTTGAATAGCTATTCATATGCCGTCGATACAATCAAAGCTGTTGGAAGCAACAACATTAAATTAATGATTGATTTATTTCACATGCAACTAATTCAAGGAAACATTGTTAACAGTCTCAAGGATTATCAATCCCACATTGGTCACATCCAAGTTGCTCAAGCACCAAATCGTAATGAACCAAACAGTCAAGGTGAACTCAATTACAAATTCATTCTTCAAGAATTGGAACAGTTAGGCTACGATGATTTCATTGGATGTGAATACAAACCGATGACAACTACCACAGATGGTCTGAAATGGATAACTGACTTTGGATATGAACTTTAAATTCTTATTAATCATCATTTCCTTTATTATCCCTCCTCAAATAGTGTTACAAATTTTATTATGATTTTAAATCAAATGATAACCAATTTTAGTACTTTCGAAACAAAATTTTAGTTTTTAGCCTAAAATTAAAATTATTCTCGTGTTTAATTTTTAATTTCAGAAATAAAAATGTCAGTGTTTAAATTATTATTTAATTGATTATATTTTTTTGTTGAAGTTTGAGTTGAGGTTGGCATTTAAAGAAAATATTTCTACTTATCATCTTAGATACCATCTCTGAGAGAAATCATTCTTGCAATTTGATTTTACTGATGTGAAATTAATAAAAAGAACGAAAATTAACTTAGACGAGTTAATGACATGATTGAAATTTCTATTAGAATTACTTTAAGACGACTTCAACATTTCTTCGTCTCTGTTTTTAAAAGCCTAGTCAACTAATCATGTTCAGAAACTAAGATTATGGTTAATAAAAACTTTCATCTATTTGATGTGATTTTTTGTTTCATTTTTTTTAAGTTTTCTTAGGCTCACGTTTTGGTTGCCTAACAAGCTGCAAACGTCTTAAATAGAATTCAATTTATCATAACGGGATATTCTTCATTTCTCTTCACAAAAAAAAAAGTTCATTTATCACCTTGTTTCATTAAAATAATTAACAGCTTTCTTTCTGCTTCCATTTAATCTACAAACGATACTCGATCGAGTAGTTTCCATACATCTCATATTGTTGTAACTAATTTATGTGTCCATTTAAAATCATCAATCAATCAATATCAAATATTAATCTATTTTCGAGACTTCATTTACTCATAGGATAATAAAAACTTCCCAGGTACGAATTTTTCGAATAAAAATAATGAAAGAAATTTTAATAAATTTAGTTGATGTTTTTGTTTGTTGTTATCATTTCAAAACAGTTTTGTGAGAGAAAAGAAAATAAAAACAAAAACATATTTTGACTTTTGTGTAATCAGAGAAAAAGAAGCCAAAAAAGAAAAAAGAAAACAATCAAATAAAAAAGAAGATAATAAGGAAACAAATATTTTGATGACATTTCAATGGACGTTCGTTTTCGAGGTGGAAGTTTGATTATTGTTTTTCCTATTCAACATATTCCCACCAATCTTTATCGTATCCTTCATGGACGTGATCTAATAAAACTTTTCGACGTTTCTCGCAGTATCTAAAAGAAGAATTAGAAGAATAAAATTGTCTTAAATACAATAATTTAATAATTAATCAGCTTACCTGTACTTATCCTGAACTTTCTGTTTAATGTCAGCTAAGTTTTCACTCGTTATATCGCGTTCGAGATATTCACTTAATTTTTCTGTTGCTGACTCCAAATCCTTTTGATTATCTTCGAAAATCATCGATTGATTGTTCTTTTTCAAATAATAAGCAAACACGTATGTGCACATGAGTGTTTGACGACATTGGCACAGAATATCGACGGCCTTCTTTAAGAATTGTACCTAATAAAGAAGAAAACTGATTGAGAAATTGTCATTGAGATGTCTCTTAATTCATTTTACCTCAATCCAAGACATATTATGTTGCTGCATTTCTTCCATCTTCAATTTCACTGACGAGTAGAGTTTATGCTCAAATTTTAAAGATTGCATGTGATTCATGTATCGATTGTAGTAGTGCAAATACCTACAATTGATGATAATAAGTAAATTAATTGAAAACGAATGAAATGAAATCTTACCTAGCTAGTGACGATCTCAATTTCTCTTGTGCATCTCTTGCCGCACGTGCTTCATCTTCATCGTAGCGATTACAGTTGTACCAAGAGCTTCCATGTGGTTCCCACGATCCTAAGCACACCCAGCAAAAATCATGTTTGCAATGTTGATTTTTACACACCATATGATTGCATCCACCGTCTTTCTCAATCGTCACATTACACTTTGGACATTCTTTCGTGTTGGCTGCAATCCAGTTTGAAGTTTCCGAATCATCATCACATTTTTTGATCCATTTACGTAATAAACGACATTGCACGGGATCATGCCACTGTTCACCACATTCGAAACAAAAGACGTGACCACATTTACATGTAACTGGACGAGCATCAACATATTGAACTTTCACTGCATAGCTGCAATCAGCTGATGGACACCAGCGAAGCAAACGGTTGCATTCAACAAAACTGTTGGTGATTAATTGTTGGTATTTGGTTTTGACTCGTGGTTCAGTTAATAAGCTCATGACTGTCACGTCATCCACCAATATATCACAGCCATGTGCAGCACAAGCAATTGACTTGCATAAGCCTTCTTCCATGATTTTTGTCGTCAGATATTCCACCCAACACGATTTACAAAAGCGATGTCCACATTGAAGTCCTGTCATATTCGTATATTGATATTTGAGGAAACAAATGTCACAATCTTCCATCATCGAGCAGCGAAAGGTCTAGTTCAGAAAGAAAGGAAGTTAATATTTTTATTACTATGAAAAAACCTTTTTTCGGAAGTGACCATGAGATCAATGAACGAGTAAAGATTTTTCCATATAAATCGCGTGTGACTATGAATAAATAAATCCAGATGTGTGTGAAGGTCATTGGCATTTTCTGCCTTTTTATGACAAAAAAAAAGAAGAAAAGTCACACAAATAAGAACAAACACTAATTACCTTTGATTCTCTTTTTGGTTTCACATAAGGATTGATGACATGTGCTGCTTTGAACAATGCCTCTTGATCTCCGTCATAATATCTTTCCATAAGTTTTTCCTTATCCCATCGAAAATGATTGAGTAGGATTCGGGTTGTTGTTGCTGGGATCTTCAAAGGAAAATATAAAACATAAGTATTTAATATTTTGTTGACTTTTTAATTTCTTTTATCATTGATCTTTTAATTAGGTCATTCGTTTGTAAACAAAAAAAAACTTCCTGAACTTTAGAAACTTTATAAGAAAAAAGTAATTTGTTATTCATTGACTGTTAAGAACCCACACAAAAATCTAAACAAACTTTATGAGGATGTTGTATGATAACACATCAAAAACACGAGTTGTTTTTGCTTCTTTGCGAAAGGAATTTTTTTTCCTTCTTGTTTTTCCTTCTAAAAAAATGTTTAAAAATAGTCACTGTCAGAGACGAAACTTTTTTTTACAGTTTGCAAATTGTTTGTAATCACATTTCAATGAATCCTTCAGATGAGGGAGAGTGAATTGATTTATCTTATAGAATTCAAAGACACGCGAACGCTCTTGACGTTACAACAACAAAGGGAGAAAAGAGTTTGGTCCAATTTTTTTATTTGAGGAAATAAAAGTGATGAAATTCATTCTCGATAATTTCAACTTCAACTAACCTCGACTACATTATTGACCTCAGCAATACAATCCAACATATGCTTAACGATTTCTTCTGTTGTAAGGACTTCAAATGGATATTCTACTGGATCTTGAGCATTTCCACTTTGTCTTTGAATTTCATCAACCTGCATGAAATCGTAATCTTCATCATCAGAGGAATTCCCTGAATCAATTCCAATTTCGTCCTCGGAATCCATGATCAATATCTATACTGTTATTTTAATTAAACTTTCAATACAGCTGGTTTTATCGAGGAGAAATTTTTTGCGTTTTTCCTTTGTTGAAAGTATAAAAAATTTAATTTGCCCAATTAGAACTTCCACGAATACTTTGCACTGACTAAATTTACAGCAATTCAAGATTACTTTGAATGACAATGGTTTCGAATGTTTAAAGACTTTCAAATGTGGTCAAAATACATCAAATTTCAAGTAAATAAGAAAAAAATTGAAAATCTGAATTTGAGTTGTTTCCTTGTTACACTTTCGAATCAAACAGAACTTTCGACAAAATATACTACGAAGTATACTTTTTCGACAACTTCCCAGGTAGTATGTGCAGTGACGTTGCAACAAGGCTTAACTTTTTCTGTTTTCAGTGTTTTAGATTTTAAAATTTCGTTTCATTTTAAAAAATAACATTCCAGCATATAAATAGCTTTAGAAATGGAAGAATCGTTCGAAAAATATCATTTAAGTGTCAATAATTTGACAAGTAAACAACCTTCTATTGTAAGTAATAAATAAAAGAATTTTCTGATAAGATTTTTAAATAAAAATATAAAATCAATATTTTGCTCTTATTTACAGTATAAAACTATTGACATAAGTAAAGATTTGATTGTATATGGAACAGAAAAAAATACTGGAGCACTGTTTATATACCGAAGAAACCCTCATACCTTTTTTAAAGCCATTCCCGGCAATGTTATTCGAGGTTTTTAATCATCACTGATAATTTTATGTTTATTTGATCTTGAACTCTTTTGTAGGTCCGATAACGCTGATAAAGATTTCAAATGATCAGCAGACTCTCGCCTATGCCAACCCATTCGGTGATATTGCTTTATATTCTTTAAATAGCTTCATATCTAAGTCAAACCATGTGAAATTACCAAACGGCTTCTGTACTTCGATTTATTGGCATTATACTGATAAAGAACTTTTCTGTGGAGACTCAACAGGAAATGTATCAGCTATCAGTCTCACATTCTTCATTGGAAGAAATCTAATAAATATTCAACTTAATCCGATACTCATTTTGGACAGTAAAATTGTTCAGATTGATGGATTCAATGATTATTTGCTTGTGTCGTCACTGACAAAAACAATTTTGTGCAATAATGAACGTGAAGAGTTTAAACAAGTTGGCAATCGTCCAAGAGATGGACCGTTTGGTGCATGCTTCACAATTGATTTTCAATCGCTTGAACGGCAACAAAATCGAATAGCAGCAATCGATGAATATGAATATGATAGGCTTTTAATGGAAAATGTGATGATTTACTGTTCAAGACCTGGCATGAGACTTTGGCAAGTTGATCTCAATGGGAATGTCCTCAAGACACATCAATATAAAAATGCAAATTTTCCTGGTGCGCAAGTTAACTTACTTAAGGATGAAGATGAACATTCATCTGATTCCTCGCCATCCATGCTAGACAAGACAAATCAATTTCAGTTGATCACGTCTTTGAATAATACTTTCGTTTTTACATGGAACACCAGTGGACTTTACATTATAAATCCACAACAATCAAAAATCTTATTTTGGACAAATGAATTCAATGGGCAAATTGTTGCAGTAAAAATAATTGAAAATTCAATATATTTGTATCTTAGAGATGGAAGACTATTAGAATTAAAATTCTTGACACTGCAACAACATGTTCTCCATTTGTGCCATAGTGAAAGCTATGAAGAAGCTGTTAATCTGATAAGACAAAATGTTGATTACTTCCTTCACCTGTTGCGAAATGATGAGAACACCCCCAAGGAAAATCATCAGTATGAAGTATTACTTAAGGTTCGAGATCATCTCATGGCCAATGAACGAGATGATGTGATTAAAGCCTTGACAGATGTCTTCGATGAACTGATGAGAAAGAAGAAGGATCATAATGTTCAAATTTTAGCAAAGAATGTTTTAAACAAGACCTCGACGACCACGACGACAAAAACGTTGAATAGTCAAGAAGAGAAAGATTCGAATGATGAAAAAACGACGATTTTATCACAAATTCCTCCAATGATCAATAAAGATAATGAAGAAGATGTTGAAGACGCTCAAAATGTGAAGAGAGCTGTACGACAACTTTACATTCTTCATCAAACATCACTCATTAGTAATCTTAATTTTCGTGAGCGATTGTGCAAGATTTTTGATCATTTTAAGAGTTCGACGATTATCAAAATTCTTGCTGAGTTGGAAGCATTATTTGTTGAGAACGATGATTATGGGAGAGAAAATTCGAAGAAAGTTGTTGCCAAAATGTTTCTCGATTATCTGCAACCGGAAATTATCTTCGAGATTGATGATGAGAAGACATTGAGCTTCATCGCGAATGCTTTGATGGAAGTGCAGAATGAATATATTGAAGTGAGTCGATGCCATCGATGTGACTTTCCTTTAAATTGTGGATTGAATCCATCAGGTTATGAAGAGATTGGGAATATTCTTCAACAGTTTTATTGGTCGAGAGGAGAATATGAAAAATGCTTTCAATTGTGCCAATCGCTTCCCTATTTATTAAAAATTACTGGGAAATTTATCACTGACGAGAAAAAGTTTGATAAAATGATTCCGTATGCCATCAATTTAGGAGATTTGGAAATTCTTCACAAGTCTCTTGAATTATTTAATGATATTTCATTATTCCATCAACTCCTTGACGAATATGTGTTGGCGTGCGATGGAAAATTCAAATGCTTGAAATGTGATGAAACAAATGAAGTGACTACAGTGTCACGAATTCTCACATGGGATTGTTTATTCCAAGCAATTGAATATTACTTATGTGGTGGAGAGCTTATTGAGCTACTCATGCGCTTTTCACAATTCATTCCAAATGGTTCATTAAGCCGTCAGTTTTATATGAAGCTTTTGCTTCATGCTACTGATTAATCAACACGCGAGTCTCATTTAGCTTGCAATGCGAGAAATTATAAAAAGTTGAAAAATATTTTCGAAAAATGTGGCCAAAGACCAAACAATATTTAATAAAGTATGTAGTTGTAAGAGAAGAATCTACAAAGTGTGTATTTTATCATATCATCAATATGAGTCTCTGTCAATAAAGAAATCAATATGAGAGATCAAATAAAATTTTATTGGTGTTTGTTTTGGGAAACCTTGAAATATCTTGAATTGGGGGAAATGGAAGGATGTTGTTGATTGGAGACAAATCCTAAAAAAATATGAACCTTGAGCTTTTCGTAGCCACACAAACCTCAATTGCTGTCTGAAAAACAAAGTGTTACGTAAAATTTTGTTTCCTAACTTAATTTATTGTTTAACTCTCGGGGAAAAGTTGTTGTTATCTCGCCATAAGCATTTAAACTTGCCTTCATCCCTTTTCATATTTATCGTTGACGAAGAAGCATTTGACATAATTTTTAAAAACAGCCAAAAAATTTTTTAATGATTCTCAATGTTAAGTACAGTTCACTTCAATTAATTAGATACAATTAATCGATATGTTGATGTTCTACTTCATTGCTTAAAGAAAATTTATAACGCATTAGGGTTTACTTAATCTTTATTCCACTTCTCTTTTCACATTGATTACAGCACAAATAATTTAACATACGGCCTGACAAACGGTTATTCAATTAGTTAATTAATTCATATGGTTTTTTCTACTCAGAACTTTTTTATGCTGCAAAAGGATAAGTAAGTGTTACGAGAAACGAAAAAGTTTCTCTATTTAATTTGCAGTTGGCATACAATTTCCTGCGAATATTTTAAGCTTCTCTGTAATTACTCTTTATTGCTTTTGTTGAAATTTTTCGTTTTTCCCTTAAACTTACACATATGTATGAAGAAGAAGTTGTGTAGAACTTGAAACAAAAGCGATTTCCTTTTTTTTTTGTGTTTTTATTTCCCTTACGCTCGCAAATATCATTTTTCTTTTCATACCTTTTTTATTCTCATTTTCTTCGTTTTTATTTCTTTTTTTTGCCATGTGCTGATTATAATTTTAATCCTATTCAAATGTTTCTGCATAGAGCTAGAACGGAAACCTAGGTCAGAAGGGCATTGAAAGAGGCTTTTACATCTACTACGATTTTAATCTTTTGATTGATATTTTTTCATGGGCGATAATTTATTATCCTCTAGTGTTCGCCTATTGAGTGGAATTGTTTTGGGGCACGGCTTTGGGGGGTTGACGGCATTTGGACAAGGATGTATTTGCTTAATAAATATAAATTGAATCTTTTTGGTGAGTTTCATGCTTCAGCTTTTGCATGAAAAATGTTTTATTTAAAGTTTCACAAATCCTTCGAGCAAGGACTTCTCTCATTATCTTATTTTCCTCGTTCATCTAGATATTTATAAGCAGCAAATATTTCCATTGCATTCACATTAAAAGTTTGCACTAGCTAAGTTCAAACTGAAAAATCCAAATTGGATTTTTCTTTCTTGCCTCTAAGCAGAAAGAAATAAGAAAAACGTGCGCTTCTCATTAAGGAATAAAATTCTTGCAATCAATTATAAACTATAAAAGGATGTTAAACAAAAAGATTCACTTAAATAACTCTGCACATAGCTTAAAGTAATAAAGTTTCTGCATTAATTAAAAGCGAAATTTTGAGGTCATTCAGAAACGTGTTGGGAGGAGAAAAAGGAAGTTTTCTTAATTTTATATTATTACTAAAGAAGTTACAGTTAGTGTTTCCAAAGTTTTACAAGATTTCTACAAACTCGTTGTCGTAAATGTTAGGAAAATGTCATTTATTTTTAACAGTAATAAGAACATAGAGAAAGGGAAAGAGATTTATTCTCTGTGGTTTTTCATGAAAATTTTTTACGAGCTTTATATGCAGCAACAGTAGCAACATCAGCAATGAACTTTAATACTGTATTTATGTAAAACACGCATGCTACACAATTTTAAAAATATTTTCGGGGGTGAATAAGGGGAAATCATATTAAAAATATTTCAAACAACTCGAAACATTTCCACTGGTTCCACTCATTTCAATTAGAAAAAGAAAAAAAGAGAAGTGAAATGTTTTATGATTCTAGGAATCCGTATTAAATGTTCTTGCTTACATGTGCATGAAGTGCGATGGATTTACAAATCTTGTCAAATACTACACACTTTAATGATTCATTTGCAATGGCTTAAAATTTACATATTTAAAGGGAAATGAAAAAAAACGAACACACGGCAAAAATGTTTAAAGTCTAAAATATTAAACGATGGCTATTTACGAATAATTATTTGCATCATACTCAATTTATAAACAATCTCCATTAAAATGTATGCTTCTGATTAAGGATATTATATGTAATTAAATAAGTCAGTAAGTAAGAAAGTTAAGGAACACTAAAGTTTGAGTAAATGTGCAGCCAGTTAAAAATGAAAGTAAAATCGACAGAAATTAATGAATAAGTATTTACTTATAGACAAAACCATATGAACCTCCTTCATCAACAGTTTAACTTCAAGTTAAAATAAATTAAGTTTTTATAGCAATAAGATCATGTTCTACCAATCAACAGAGTATCCACTTGTAGCTCTTGCGGTTCTGTTTGTGATTTGCTGTGTACAATGCATTCCGAAGGACTTTTGCTTTGTTTGTACGGTTCAACTTTGAAAGCCAACGAGACGAAACAACATGCATTTTTTATTTTAATTTTTATTAAACATATCATTTGCATCATCATTTGTCCTGCAAAAAAAATTACACAATAACAGTCACTTCTAAAAGTTTTCTTTTTTTCATCTATAAAACTGGAAGAAAGCTTTTTTATGATTCTTCTATAAAGGGTATTAAGAACGTCATGCACGTATATAAATTATGAGTTAATGTGATGTTGATGAATAAAAACATAAAGAGTTCATGTACATACTTAATAAGAAAGAAAATTCAGGATTGGTAAAGAAAAGTTTTATCTCTCTAAGAAACATTAAATAGAAATTAATGTCTCATATTTAGAGTATTATTTAATGCAGATACTTGTATAATTAATTCATAAGCTGGTTTGTATGAAGAAGCATGTAGGGGAAGGAGAGAGAAAGAAGATAAATATAATCAGATAATATAATAAAAAAGTTCTGGGGAAAGTTTGTTCAAAGGTTTATTTATGTTTTTACACACAAGCGTGGTAATTGAAAGGTTTCATAACATTACGAATCACATAAATATTACAAGGTTATTTCCGATCGGTATCAGCTTGTGCGGAATTTAATTAATAATACCACCAGGAAAAGAAATCAATTTGAGGTACATATAATGAAATTTAAGTCTTGAGATGACGAGTAAGAGATAATTATAATCTTGTTCCAAACATACAAATAGATACTTAAGGTAGAAATAAAATTTGAAACCAGTAATTCCAATGAAATGTGTTGTGAAGTAAACCAATAATAGAAGTATCAATGAAGGAGTAAATTTTGTTTTGTCATTTTATATGTGTCAGGAAAACAAAGCAATTGACTTTTAAATGAATGTTATGTCTATGTCAAAAGATTGAGAAAGATATCAAGAGAACATTTCTATTTCAGACTTTATCTCTGATTGCAATCAATAAATGTGTAATTTTATGCGAATGTTTAAAATCCACAAAACTTGGTGGATAATCTTGCAAGACTCATTAAAAGGAGATTAATAAAATAAAAATAGAAATATTCCCTTAATAGCTAATGTAAATATCAGTACAACATAAAAGAATACAATAGCATAACTCACGTTTCGTTTCCAGTAACTTTGCTAGGATACAAAAATGCTCCAATCATTTATTTTTGCAGACGAGAACTTAAAGCCATTAAAAAGTATTTTGCTGTTTTATTTATTTTCATATACCTTCACACCAACACCGTTTTGTTTTATGTAATACTAAGTAAATGAGATTGCACGATAATAAAAAAAAGTTCAAACTGTGACAGATATTTAAGCGCTAAACTATGTAAATGGAAAAAATCCAAAGAATTCTCATGGATTTTTAACATAACTTTATTTTTACGCTTTTCTTACTTGCAAGCAGCTAATACAAACGAAACAAACTTTTTTTCCCTTTACTTTCCGAGAAACAAACGAACAAAGAATGCAAGTGAAGGAAGAATATTGTTTTAAGCTTTGAATTCCAAATCATTCAATAACATTGAAGAATTATCCGAAGCAGAAAGAAAGAATGAAGAGAAAAGTTTTTATATGTTTGAAAATGGAGCAAATGAAGAAAGAAAAAATTCCAAATCGCATTCTTCCATATTTTTTTTACATTTCAATTCATTTGGAGAAGAAAAAGAAAATAGTAAATCCTGATGATATGATGATTTGTTAAATAAATAATGAATATGTGTGGTATGTAATATTTCAGGTGTTTAACATAAATTAAGCAAAACATAAAATAATTATTCAACATATTTCCTCTCGCTGATGCATTAATATTTTCGTGCAAAATCCGTGAAACTGTAATAAACTTGACGCAAATACTTTTGGTTTATAAAATAATTAATAAATATGGAATTTCTACAGCTTCTCAGGGAATTCTCCAGAAATGTTTTAAATCAGAACCGAAAAAAAAATGGTGAAAAGCTTAAAACTGAAACAAAATTATTCTTGATTTGATTATATCATGTCTCTCACAATTATTTGCATTCCACCATGAACAAAACTTAAGAAATAGGAGAAAGGAAATCAAAACAGATACAAACACTTAAAATTTTCATTTTCCATGATTTTCTTTTCAAATATTTTACTAAAAAATATGTTTAGGTACAAAAAGCGATATAATTAATTAATTACTAAGGTTTTCATCCATCTTCAAAATGTTATCTATGATAATTTGTTGCATCTTTTCTTATGCGTTGTTAGATATTTTACAATTAAATGTCATTCTTAAAGATGAGCTTTTACAATGGAAACTGATCGGAAGTGTTGAGAGTTCACACGAAAAACGAAAACATGATTAACTCGCTTTAATTAATAGTCGTGACATCACTTTCGATCAGCTTTTTAAATATTTAATTACAAACAACTTCTGTTTTATTCACTAAAGAATGGTTTACATGTGGCCACAATTAATAAATTGTACAAATGTATTCATAAAAAAGGCACACCTAAAATTATGCATGATTTTGGTTATTAATATAATTTTCCATTTCCTTTTCCAACTAGATATATGATGAGAATAAGTGAATATAATTAAAGAAAAGATTTTTGTTTTGTAGCTGTAATTAAACTACTTTGTGTCAAGTTAAAAAGATTCTAAATATAATTAATGCAAGGATGTTACTTTTAAAATAGAAAACTGCAGTGCTAACAAAGACAGTAAAGCATAAAGGATGTAAACTTTTCAACTTTCAAATGCATTGTTTATATTTTCATTAAGTCAAACATAAAGATATTTATGAGGTTGAAAATAAAAATAAACATTGGAAAATTAAGACCACGATCCAGAAAAATTGCTGCTCAACATCAGCATTATTTATTCATGTTAGCAAAATAACTTTGGAATGAGTTAAGAACGTTCGACTAGGACGAGTTGAAGGAGGGAAGGATACATCATGTTGAAGGCAACAAAATTGAATTTCTCTTTCAAGGAAACTTTTAAAATTTTAATCGCAACATTTCAGCCAAATATTTTCTATACTTAGACTGTTCGTCTTTCTTTTTTTTTCTGATGTAATTTCACACAATTTATGAAAATCAATAATCGATTTCAAAGTTTGCAGTCTGAAATACATAAAACATTTATTCATTGCGCACAAAACAGAAACGAAAAAAGCTTTTTTATGTTGTAGATGAAATTCTTATGTTAAGTTCAAAAAGAGTTTCTGGACATAACGTAACTTCCTACATGCATTGCATCTGAGAATTGTAACTTATCACTTTATCGTAGAATGAAGGAAATGTAAGTCAGAATATGAAGATTAATGAAAAATACAATTTCCACATTTCCTATTCTGCCAAAACAAGATCAAGGGAAATAAATAAATGCGCTTCAATTTCCGAAACTCTCTAAATATTAATCAATCAAAACTCTGACTCACTACGGACTGTGAGAATATGTTAGTAGCATAGCATCAAATATTAAATTTTAAACTATTCAAATAAAAATTTTATTTCTTGACATATCAAACACAAGAAGTTTCCTTTCATAATCATCAAATTCTCCTTTTGAATTCATATTTATGATGTTTAATTGAATATGGAAATGTTCTAGTAAACATTTATTAAATTTTCCGTCTAATCTTATTTGAACTAGCTTGAGTGCATCTCT